AAATATGGACTTTATTTCTCGCGTTGAAGAGAATATTGCTAACGAGTGGACGAGTGAGTTTAGGGCACATATATTTAAAATAAATGTTCAGTAAAATGCACTTATAGTCATAGTGTCTTGAACGTGTATAGGAATATAGTATGAAATAAAAACACACGAAAACAGAAACTAAAAAGATTTTTGATTGCTCAAACATATTTCCTACGCGGTGTTTGATTGGCTTAGGAAAATTATATTTTTATACGTAAAAATATAGTATTTATTACGGGTGTTTAAATACGATTTTTCTCGGTGGTGTAAAACTTTATACACATTGTTCATATAATAAAAAGCATTCTTCACTAAGTAAATTAACTTTATGCAATTTGATTGGTCGAACGATTTTGTGGGAAAATGCCATGCACGGCTTTTGATTGGATGTAAGATTTTCATCACTTGTGAAATTTGTCGTCTAGCATTGTGGCGGCAATTTGTTTACACGTTTTTCAAGATGGCGTCGAAATAGCGGAAATATGGGAGTGAGACTGGAGACATTATTTTCAAATTCAAATCTCAAGACATTTTTTACATTCCACATATAATAAAATCTTTCGGAAAGGATATCTAAATTTCGTCGAACAAAATTATGAAGAAACTAAACGGTAATAAATATTTTAGGTTTTTTGCTCGCCGGGTGTATTTTTGTTTTTAAAAATGTGTCGATCGCTGTCAATTGATCTCTATGAAAATTTAATAAGCAAATTACTTCATAGTTGGCTTGTTTTTACGATCTTATATACAGTAATCACTAAAAAGCATGTTATTATATAGCAATATACAGCACTAGACTGTGGCTAGTATAAGCCAACTCAGTTGAGGGATTCAAATATTTAATCCCATGTGAAATAATTCACTGATAATCAAGATTGCTTGAAAATGGACTTAATTAAACGTCGATCAATGCGTTGCCGGGTGATGTGTTAAAGATTGGGTTTTACTGAGGGGCAACAGCTGGGCATTTTGTTGTCGCTGTCTAAAAATTGCGGGCGCATTTCTTCAAAAAGAATTTTAATTCTTCGAACGCCAAAAACATGTATTTTGAGGAGCTTTTTCTCCTTTTTTACTGGTTTGTTCATGGAAATAAAAGGGTGTATTCAAAGATTACGTTCCCGTGCTTGCATACTGGGGTATAACGACATTCTCGTGTAAATATTTGCGAAGGATTTTTATTTGCAAATGGGCGACAAGTTGAAGTATTTCACTCATTGTCAAAGTTTCAGGACCAGGCTACAGCAGTATGCAAACAACGAATTAACCGTATTTTACTCTTGACAGAAGCTGACATATTGTTGTTTCCACAGGTGTGTTCATTAATCTATTTGTCCCTTCTCACGCGAAATAATAAGTACCTTAACATGCATTTTTCCATAGAAATAACACCTTTTCCTCCTTCGATTTCGTGAAAACTGACCTTTGCCTTCAGTTATAAAGTATATTTTATGAAAGTTAAATCATGTTTTGTTTTATTGAAACATTAGCCACTCATGGGAAAAATGCTCTAGATGTTGTAATTTCACAAACCACTTTAATATGCTCTGAAAATGCCATGTTGTAACATACTTAGGAACTTCCTCTGTTTGATGTAAAAATTGCTGCAAAAGTGATTTTAATATGTCCAAGTATTGGTTGTTATGAATTATGAAAAGTCCTATTGATTTGGTAAGTTTTAAGAATCTAACCGCAAACTCTAATATGGGCATGCTTGCTTTGTGAAATTATGTGATGCTGTGGCACATATATAAAAATATTTTAAAATTTTTACCAGTGCCTCTCTCCGAAACATGGCTTATAACTATTCATATTGTTCAAACCTCATAAAAAAGTTAGTGGGCATGCTGAGAAAAATGCGCACAATACTTATTTTTGTCTGTAAACAAACATATAAATTAGCCTGTGGGATATGTTACTTCCTATTTCTGATCATTTAACTAGAGTATAATAAAATTATTTGAGCAAAAATTTAGTATAACATTGCTTGCATCAAAATACAATAATGAGGAATCCTTAGAACCTTTTATGACATGATCTTTAGTACCTTTAGACCTAGAGGAAAAGGTGTTATTTCTATGGAAAAATGCATGTTAAGGTACTTATTATTTCGCGTGAGAAGGGACAAATAGATTAATGAACACACCTGTGGAAACAACAATATGTCAGCTTCTGTCAAGAGTAAAATAGGGTAATTCTCATACTTGTAGCCTGGTCCTGAAACTTTGACAATGAGTGAAATACTTCAACTTGTCGCCCATTTGCAAATAAAAATCCTTCGCAAATATTTACGCGAGAATGTCGTTATACCCCAGTATGCAAGCACGGGAACGTAATCTTTGAATACACCCTTTTATTTCCATGAACAAACCAGTAAAAAAGGAGAAAAAGCTCCTCAAAATACATGTTTTTGGCGTTCGAAGAATTAAAATTCTTTTTGAAGAAATGCGCCCGCAATTTTTAGACAGCGACAACACAAAATGCCCAGCTGTTCTGAGGGGCTTGTTTACATTAGCCCGGTTACCCGAGATTCAACGAAGCGTGAGATGATTTTGAGGTATTGAAATGAGCAGATAACATGATCCTGGCAGTCGTATAATTAATCACCACAACAATAGCATGTGTTTGTTTGGTGTCATATATAAAGACTTATTTCAATACCCCAAAGTCCTCTCACGCTTCGTTGAATCTCGGGTAACCGGGCTCATGTAAACAGCCCATGAATGCGACTAGTGCGAAGGGTATACACAGATTAGACTGTATTCTATAATTTCTATAATTTATTGGAAAAATCCTTGATAAAAGCAACCTCGTGACGTTTTAGTTCCGCTTTGATATTTGCTGCCGAGCGTAGCGAGGCAGCACACTATTCTTGACACGGCAGAGATTTCTCCAGAGTTCATTCGACCCATTCTTCCGCGCCGAACTATGTATAGTCGAAATCTCGATTCGTGTCCGTTTGTCCGGATGTCTGCATTTTCCGGGCCAAAGTTCGATCATCAAGTCACTTTTAAAATTGGGGGGAGTGGACAAAATATTAGAGCCGTCGGTACTGGACAAATGGGATATGCAGAGATATGTTTTTTTTCTGCTTTCATACAGATACATATACATGAAGGCGATGCATGAACGTTCATTGTTCAATCTTAGAGGAGTCCTTTCATGTGTTAATCGGCTACATGATTCTCAAAGCAATGTTCTCATCTGAATCTAGAGCGGTGCTTTCATTAGTTTATCGGCTATAGCTCATATACCCTAGCGAATGGATATTGTTAATCACGTAATTGTATACGCAGAATTGGAACAGAAGATAGACATTTTTAGAACAAGGATATATTTCTTCCCGCACTTAGACAGAGCGGTGCCTTCATTAGTTGATCGGATATAGCCTATATGGTTCATATATGACAAATATTGAATATATTATAGCTTATATACCTAAGCGAATGGATATTGTAATGTCCAGACCGGACGCGATTTGACAACGCGACGCGATTTTACGATTTTCACTGACCGATAACTTTGATCCTGGTTCAAATCCTGCATATATTTAGACGCGCTATAACATTTTAACAGAAGATAGACATTCTCAGAACAAGGATATATTTTTGCCGCTCTTATATAGATACGTATACATCAAGCGATGTTCTTATCTCAATCTAGAGCGGTGCTTTCATTAGTTTATCGGCTATAGCTTATATGGTTCTTATATGTCAAATATTGAATATATTATAGCTCATATACCCAAGCGAATGGATATTGTTAATCACGTAATTGTATACGCTGTAACACAGGATCGGAACAGAAGATAGACATTTTCAGAACAAGGATATATTTCTTCCCGCACTTAGACAGATACATATACATCAAGGCGATGAATTTTTATTGTCAATCTAGCGCGGTGCTTTTATGAATTTATCGTACTTTTATGAAATTTCGTACCACAACGTCAGCTGTTGCTAAGCATTTACAACATTGTCATTGAATTCATAATCATTACGAATTCTCGAGTATAGTTACTGAATGGAAAAGACTTGAACAAGTGATTTGCTCGAACTTTGCACTTCACATCATAGTGATTTTATTAATTAAACACATTGCAATTTTATTCCTTGACCTTGCAACGCTTTGCCTTTCGGTTCCATACTGAGCAAATTTAGGAACACTATTTTAATGTTCGTGAATGAAATTACTTAGATATTAGCAAGTTTCCTTGGAATAGGTTGAATCTTTCTTTGCATATTCGCGTTTATAAACTGATTAGAAGCGTAAAAAATCGCCGCTCGGAACGGAATGTGTAGGCAACGTGAAACGCTGCTGCGACAAATTGCACTTCGAAAACATTTTTAATAGTGAATACAATCATGATGTGTATTAGTTTGTTGAAACACAGTAACAGGAATATTGCATTTTTGTCCTATTTTATATAAATGTTTACAGTGTTACCTTGTATCTTTGAATTTATCCACTGGATAGTGGATTTAAACCACCTCCGGACCTTAGATAAATTTATCCGGTAGATAGCGATTTTTATCCGCTGGATAACGTTATCCAAGCTTCGTGCAACACAAATCACACGCTGGATAAAACTTATCCGTTGGATAGCGAGTTATCCGTTGGATAGCGACTTATCCACCTTTCGAACAACCGGCCCCAGTTCCACAAATTGAATAACGATCTTTTAAAAATGAATACTGTAAGAAAATACAAGACAAGCTTAAACTAAAATCATTATGAAAGGAAAATGAACCATAATAGTTTAGTCGAAACAAATTTCAAAATGTCGATCTCGCTAGTCGATTGTTGTGCTCGTATAAACATATAAACAACCAATTCAGAAAATTCCGCATTCTGCCTTTAATCCTTGGCCTTACCGGGGATGTTAAGGCAGCAATTTCCTTGCGATAGTAACTCCTAGAAATTTCTAATTTCTGGAGTATGTGAAATAGTGAAAATTTAGGCGACCATGATGTCGTACTGTTCGGTCGTATTGTCGTCTGTCGACCATGATGTCGATATATTAACGTACTGTTTGAGGGAATTGTTAGTCTGAGGCGAAGGGAAATAAAACACAACTGAGAAGGCGTTCAAAAAGAGCTACCTTTGCCTTTGGCCGCTAATGATGATCCATTCGGTGTTTTGACGAAGACTTGAGGTTGAGTATCATATTTGAAAATTATATGCACTGACACTTTATTTACTTGTCTGGAATTAAGTATTCAGACATACAGGGTGGATTTTATGACGAACAGTCCCATAATATTGGGCAAATTAGGAAATAAACATTGTGAAACAAAACGTTGTATCTCTTCTGAGACTCTTCAAAACGTTGATTTTCTTCAGTCTTTTGTTACAAATCAGGCTCTGGTTACACGCAGCTAGTTTTATTTGTATTTAATTAACTTCCTTGTTAGTCTTTCATAACTGTTCCTATTATCAGTTGTATTCCTACAAAGCCAAGGGAATAATTTTCTAGGTCGTCCTATATACCTCTAGGTCGTCCTTATTAATAACTACCATTATTGCCACTGTATATATATATATATATATATATATATATATATATATATATATATATATATATATATATATATATATTTATATATACAGCGTTATTGTTATTATAATCGATATTTCACGGTTGGAGTAAATATGGATTTTATATGGCGAACACAATTCATATCTTCGAGCGAACCGTGTAATGTTCTGTTTATTATATACCAATATGAACTAAAATGAAAGTGACAAAAATACACACAAAGACGACAAGTAAGACGCCGCGAAAGACCATTATAAAAGCGAATATTTTTGTGGGTAGCCTGCGCATGCGCGGCTAACCACTATGTAGTCGAAAAAGTGTCCGGATGTTTGTGTGTGTGTGTGTGGGTGCCACATCTTCGGTAATCGTCGGATATACGAAAGATGACGAACGGTGGTTCTTCTACATCCGGAAAATTTCGTTGTTTTCAAAGGACGGAAGCAACCGAAGTCACGTTAAACAAGCGAAGGCGAGTACATTAAAGACGAAAAAGCGGTGATCGGTGAGCGTTGAATCTACAACTACAAAGTTACACTAATAGAAAATAAATAAAACATTACCTTACTCGGCAAATGGTAGTAACAAGTTGCCCTGTTTTATAAATTATAATGCAATATTTCACCGGTCAATTTCTTGCTTGGGGACATGCAGCTATTTAATAAACCAAATACATTAATACCTGTCCTGTTTTATGAATTATATCAATTTCTTGGTTGTGGACATGCAGCTATTAAACCAAATGCTTTGGAGTTTAAAAAGAAGCTTTTATTTGAACATAACTAACAAAACATATCTTTAAAATATTGTTCAGTTACATAGATGAGTCCTTTGAAATTGTTATGCTGAAATGTTTGAAACAATTTTGGACTCTTTGTTATATATATGTGACTGTAAACAAGAACAAAGTTCTCTGGTAACCTTACTGGTAAATGCTACTCATACCTTCCTGGTAACTACTACTGAGCAATACACATTTATATCAATGATGAATATATGATGGCATTCAATGTTGACTGATTGTCAGGCTGATTACCACAGTGATAAGATACTGTCAACTGATAAATTTAAGCTTTTTGGACCTACGAACTGGTGCTATTATGTTCAGCTAATTGATGCTGATAAGTTATCTGTAATAAACATTGCAAACCACCTGTAGCTTCTAATGGATCAATGAAATCATCTTCAGTTATAATGGTGAAACGTATTGCCAATAAACTTTGGAAAACAAGTGGTATAATCTTACTGGAACAATAATGTTTAACCTTTATTGACATAACTATAACATTGATTTATCAACAAAATAGCCAACCTTGTATGTAACAAAGACATGCTGATAATCAAAAGACGTCAAAACGAAATAATTCGAAAAAGTCTGAAACCTTCTTTTTCTCCTTCTAAACTAAGCTTTACGTTATCAGACAATATGTGCCGCCATCCCAGAACCTTACTCTCTTTTTTGTTCTCTTCACCTAGCTATTCTGCTTAAAAAAGTTTATTTCCTATCTCTTGTAAAAATACTTTTATATATGTTTTGATCTGTCTAAAATGTATTCAATACAATAAAATATTATAATATATAGATTGTGTAATAAATTGACTTCGTTATAACTGTATTCAACCAGCTAACTATAGGGCGTTTATTCCCTTGTCTATGGCATTAGAACATAAGACTAGAAAATAATATTTTATTGCATCAGTTGATATTTACTTGCCACTATAGCAGCTTTATCGCAGTTAATAATGTTTTACAGGCTACCCACATGTACGCATTGCGTACCTATTTTTTAAGTTGTAACCTAAACTTTTCTGAAAGTAGAATAAATTTACTTTTCTGAAGATGTCTTTTAAGTGTTTTAATTTGCATTTCCAACGTTAATTGCGGAAAAATTTCGAAACTTGTTATGTCACTCCTAAACGTGACATATACGGAAAATACGCGCACTGTATCCCGAATGGAGTGGCGTATGAGTTCTGCATATTTATTAAGACCAGCATATTTAATGCAATGTGATACGAGTGTCCCTCGTATACACAGTAAAAACATGTAAAGCACAGAACCCATGATGCATTCAGTTCAGGGGCGTGTTGCCAAACCTTAAAAACGGGAGGACTCTCTGATGTATATGACCAGGGCCCCTTTTAGCCTGCTTTCCATTTAATCGTGATTGTAGTAGTAGTAGTGGTAAAACTTTATTTAAAAATCACACGCTAGCCTCGTCAACTGTAAGCTGGTTTCCACGAGGGGCATGTGAGCAACATAATTTAATATACAATTATATACATTTACATTAAATACAAGATATCTTCAATACACTACATACAACGACAGATATAACTACAGGACATGCACAAGTAGTTAAGTTTAAAATTACAGAACAACTAGAAGTAGAAACTTAGAAATCAGATATTTAGAAAGCGTGAGCACGAATTCCATTTTTAAAATTTGACAATGTATCCGAATTACGCACATCTGCAGGTAAAGAATTCCAGACTTTAGCCCCGTCATAGGAAAAACTTTTCTTTAGGTTTTCTGTTTTCGGCTGAGGCAACTGCAGCGAAGTAGAAGAACCCCTGAGGTTACGATGAGTGATATTTCGTTTACATTCAAACAATTCCGTAAGTGAACTCGGAGCCATATTATTTAGAACCTTGTACATTGTTTTTGCTTTGGACTTGGCTCGTCGAGTCTCAATATAGAAGCCTATTTGAAAGTCCGACACCTAAGGTATCCCATACCTCACTGCAATAATCAAAATGAGGATTAATTAAGGCATTGTAGATAGAAATCAAGGTGTCTCGATCAACGAAATCACGAATTTTCCTAATACCCCCTATTCATGAGGTAACTTTTTTAGCGACTTTATCAATATGTTTATTCCTGGATAGTTTCTCATCAATTTCGTGAACATGTCAAAAAGCTGATGCAGTAGAATTTTTCTGACTGTGTATACTATGTTGAGTTAACAATGATCCATGTCGGCACGAAATTTCTCGAAATACTCAGTGATCTGTTCTAAATAAAATTTAAAGTATGAATAACGATAAAATAAAAACTAATGTTTACCTTCGGTAGAAATCGATAGTTCAGACGTCCCGCGTGGGATACAGACATTGCGTAATTTCCTCGCAATATGGGGGGGGGGGTGTTACCTACTTCTGTCCCACTATGCAATTCGTGTAAATTTTTGTGTTGCCATCCCTCAAGTTTGGGAATGTTTTAAAAGTGAAACAGGCTGTTCGGATAAGTCTCCTTTCTGACGTTGTCTTTAGAATCATATCTGCATATCGATACAGATGAGCTCACGATCAGCCGATTCATTCAGTCAATTATGATGCATTTGATTTTAGATTAATGATGGCTAGTGCCAACCCAACAACCACAATAACGGATGAAGAAAGAAGATGGGTTGTTATTGGAGTGTGCTTGACCAAAGTTTTCACACCTGCGTTAAGAAATGTCCTGGCAACGGAAATACCAAAATGGCATCAGGTTCTATGTCAACCACCGACTGACATTGACAAACAAGTGTATGGCCGATATAAAAAACAGTTGAGTCCATCAACTATAAACCTCAACTATAAAAATATTAACAACAATAATGTTCATAAATCACCACGGTTATATGATTATGCAGTTAAAGACCCATTGTCTTTGGCAAAGTTGTTTGTTCAGCCATTTATGTCCAAGTTCACTGGCTTTGACGAAACAATGGATACTTCTGCAATATTATCAGTGATTTGCGAAGCTGCTCCATTTACAGCAGCTGCTGCTGATGCAAAGACAGTCCGGTCTGACATCAGAAACGAGTGGGCACATTGCAACTTTGCAAACTGGACTGAGGCAAAGTTTAATGCTGCTTTTCTTTGCATGGAAACTTTGCTGAAGAATGTGAATCTTCCACCTGAAGAGGAACAACAAATGTGTGATGATCTGAATAGCTGGAAAGATAAAGGTAAAATATTTTTTATATCTTTGGTATAATTCATGATTATCACTCAGGGCGTTTCATATAGTATGCAAAATCAAACATGCAGGGATATAAGTTTTTTTTGCGGTGGCCAATTGGATCAGGCGTTTTCGCTGCTGCACAAGATTTATATATAAATTATGTTTAACATTTTTCAGGTTTGCAGTTGTGTTTCAATAGTCAACTTGTTGACATCCACGTACCGAGTTTACTCAAAGAGAGTGTCGATGAACTTCGTTTATCTCTGCAGACATTGAATTTAGAGAAGGAACAGGTTTGTCGATTATTTTATTCGCTGACTTGAGTAATTGAACGTTTTTGTCATCCCATATACAATTTAGACCGTTTCGCCATAAATCACGAGACTCACTAAGATGCAGTTAGTTGTTCTGATTGTCTTATAATTCATCCTAATTTATAGCAGAATTTAGTTAACATAAACTTTGCCGTATTACAGGTGTCTACAGTACTTTTGAATATCGATGAGATACAGTCAAAATTGAAAAAAGAAATTGACGACCTGCGTGAGAAAGTCGAAAAAATTGAAATACAGGCAAATGATAATTATAAAGAGATAGAGCTTCTCAAGGAGGAACGATTTTTTGGTCAACTTGCAAGATATATTGCCGAAAAGGAGAAGCTGCCCTATGTCTTCAGTGCACCGGCACGAAATCGTTATTTTGCTGGTCGGATTGAAGAAATGAAAAAGCTTAAACATATTTTGAAAGTCGAAGAAACGTCGAACGAAAAGAAAGTACGTGTCGCAGCAGTATGTGGATTGGGTGGAATTGGTAAAACAAGCCTTGTCACCGAGTATGCTCATCAGATGAAGGATTTCTACCAAGGAGGGGTTTATTGGTTCTCTGCTGAAGATGATAAGTTTCTTGACAAGTCGGTGAATGATATTGCGTCAAAAATTGTTGCTGTCTCCGATAATTCATTCAATTCGGATTTAGGATTTATCCTAAGAAGGATTAGCACAACCAATGACCCATGTCTTATTGTGCTCGACTGCTTGGATCAACTGGAACTTTCATCCAACATGATGGAATTTCTTTCCTTCCCTTCGCACACAAGTATCTGTGGACACTTTGTCGTGATTACCAGGCGAAATCCAGAGCGACTTATCAATGAAATGTCGGTTTTGGACGATCAGTCATATCTTCAATTGAAGTGCTTTCAGCTTGAAGAAGCGAAGCAATTTCTTTTTTCTAGATCTGGCATAACGCATGATGAAAACGTTGACAGTGACGCTGAATGTCTTTGTGAAGAGCTGGGAAGATTGCCACTTGCTTTGGAGCAAGTCGGATCTTATATTAAAATGCTTAAATGTAGTTTTTCTTCATATCTGGAGCAATATAAAGACGAAAGCTTGCGACTGCTTGAACAGCAAAAAGGGAGCCCGGTAGCACCAGGTAAAGAGTCACTGGAACGTATCGCTGTCCACACAACATGGCGTATCAACATGGAGCATATAAAGAAAAGTTCGAACGGCGAGGAAGCTGTACGGTTTTTGAATGCTTGTGCGTTTTTCAATCGAAACGAGATTGAAGAAGAATTGATCAACGTTGGAAAACCCGAAGTAGAAGGCGTCTCGTATCGTAAATGTGTGTCATCGCCTTTGGGTAGCCGTCAGACTCTAAAATTATTGACCGACTTTTCCCTTTTCAATTATGTCGATTTACACACTAGATCCGTCACAACCCATCGTTTGGTCCAGGAATTGGTAAAAGAAAGTCTTGATACTGAATCGAAAGCAAAGAGTTTCACTGATGCTATGCGGATGCTTTCGTATGCATTCACCAAATGTTCTTCACCAAACGATTTTGTGAAGGTGAATGAGGATAATGACGATGAGCAATACATGGCTATTTCAGATTTCCAGCAGAATTCATCCCAATTCTACATGTGGTCTAAATTTTGTATGCATGGCCATAAACTTTGCCAAAGTTTGGAGAATTTCTTGCAAATTCCCGTTTGCCTGGAGGCATTGTGGTTTCCTGAAACAGCCAAGATGTTTTACGAATGTGCCGTTCATTTGAGTGCAAATCGTAAACAGAATGAAGCAAAACGCACTTTGAACTTTAGCTACCGTATATTAGACTGGCTGCCGTCGAAGGAGTGTGAAACAATAAACCGTGATCTTTCAAAGTTGTTTCCTCTTCATATTCCTTTACCAAAGCAATTGCGGGTCGAGATCCGACGATTTTGCGCGCCACCTTCTGTTTATCATCAAGCTCTGACTAAGCAACCTGCTCCAAGAGATCGTGATCTTGACCAAGTGAGAATTCCGAGATCAAAGAATGGCGTAAATAACAAAGAGGATGATGAAAAGTTTTCGTTAGAAGATTCAAATGACATAACACTTCGTCCAGATTGTTGGAAAGGTTATGCTGAGAGGGCTCTGGCATTTAAACGCTCGGATGAGAAATTCTGTGCTGAAATAGCTGCTGCTTTAGCTTTTTATCACAATAGGAATATTTTTTCTAATTATTTTGCTGTCAACGACTCTCTCTTGGACCTTCAGCATCGTATTCTAATATGCGATTCTGTGGATGAACTGCGAGAAGCCATTTATTCGCATGAACAAGACGATGAGTTGAAATTTCTGCTTTTGGGATCACCAGAGTACATCCTAAATGTTGCAACATTCGCCCGACCCTGGAACAACTGCGTCCTTGTTGGAGCAAGAAAAATTTGTCCCGTTTCAATGAAGTTAGATGGCAGCATTGTCTTGTTAAAATGCATGCTAGTAAATCTGTCATTTTATTTTGATAAAGGTCAATTGAATTGTTTGTCTGAGTCGTTCGTCAAATTGTTAGGCTGTAACTTCACTTCTGGCGATGAAGAAACGGCGCGTAACAACTCGTGGTATTTTAATGCAGAACAATGCAAATTCGAATACAGTAAAGGTGTTGGTCTCTTTTGTTGTAAACCGGGGAACGTTGTTGTTGCTGACTGTTCCTTTCGTTTCAATAGAAAGGAAGGGCTAGTAATAGAAAGCACGTTGGCATTACAAAGCGATGCATTAACATTTAGTGCGATTGATTGCGATGTTCACCATAATGGGCTGGACGGGATTTTGATATTCCAAACTGCGAATGTCACACTTTCACGTAATAACGTCTATTCCAATGGTCATAGTGGAATATTTGTCAACGCTGTGCGGCGAAAATAAGAGAAAATAACGTTTTTGATAACGATTCGTGGGGCATTTACTCTAGATGTTGTTCAAGTTGCAATATATCAAACAACAAGATATTTCGCAATAGAAATGGAGGAATTCGTATAGTAGATGAAGAATTTGCTCCATTTGTCGTCGAACGGAATACAATTTACGATAATGGTGGCCCTGGATTTATGCAAAATGTAAATGGTAAACCAGATTTCAGGGATGCGAATTTAACGTCTTCTGATTCTTCGCTCTTTACAATATACAAAGATAACGAAGTCTGGAAAAACGCGGACACTGAAAATGTTGATGAGTTGCACTTTTCCGTCCCGTATTGTTCACATTGTCATAAGAAAAGCCAAATTTGCGCCTGTAACAAGTGTTTTACTGCCACATATTGCAGCCGAACTTGTAAAAAAAAACATTTGTCAAAGCATAAGAAGATTTGCAAAATCTTACGCGAAAGGTCAAGTTATTTGATCACCTCCATGCAAGAGACTAGTTCCAATTATATTCAAGGTATTGATTATCGAACAATGTATTTTCGAAGCTTCAGTCAACCCCCGCCACGAGATGGGTCGAGGTTTATTGTTAAAGTCTTTAATATATATAGAAGTCCAGAACACGTTGGTGAAGAAGGGGAAAGCACCCTCGTTCTGTTTGATCGTTCCCTTCAGCTTCTGGTGAGATTCAATTCCATCGTCATCACTGAGCTTGTTAGAGAATTCGGAGTCTTGTGCGAGCGAAAAGTTTCAGAGAAAAAACTTTTTTTTCATTGCCAGTTCGAAGGCCAGAGACATCTTCGACTTATCACAAATGAATTTGCTGAATTTCAAGATTGGTAAATCCATATGTTTCACTCTGTGTATATGAAGTGAATCATCACCTGATAATGATTAATTGTTTATAGCGATTAATTGTGATATTCACAATAATGGGCTTACCATGATCTTGATCTTTGCTGCAATATATCACGCAGATGCATGATAACCTTTATTTCAATGCCCACCGTTGATTTACGAGAATGCTACAACAATTCGTGGGGAATTTTCAGGAGATATAGCTCAGGTTGCCATGTATCAACGAACAGCATTCTTCGAAAAAAGAATGGAGGGATTAGTGCGGGAGGTCGAGGTCCAAAAAAGAGTTCCATGGGTCGTTGAACTGAAAAAACGTTATGATAATGATCGCCTTCTAATGTTCATCCACCACGAGATGGAACGAAGTTTGTTGAAGTCATCAATATATTTACAAGTAGGAAACACAGGGGCAAAGAGCGGGAAGCACCCTTCTGCTGTACCATGGTAATATATAGCTAATCTTGAACTTTTAGCAGTGACTTTTATTTTTAGTTTTATCGTTATTACCGAGCTTGTTGGAGTACTCGCATTACCAGTTCAGATACAAAAGACGGTTTCTACTAATTACAAATGAATTTGCTGATTTCGAAATTGGTAAATCTATGCGTTTAAATCTATATGAACGCAATTACAGAGCTTAGTCTGTAATTCACTCATTTGAGATACGCCTTATGATGGAACTTATAATTAATAATAATTAAATTCGGTTTTCGATCACGACCAACTGAGGCTGTTTTGTTATTTTTTAAATATTAAAAATTACAATTTTATTCGCTTGCTTTTGCGTTTTCCCACGTCTCCGATCCCTTAGGACGGTGTTTTGGCTATTGGCGTGACGTCATAATGTGGAGTACGTCTATTTATCACGTTATGACGTATTGCGTAGAATCCCGTACATAAAACTCGTTTCTTATGTTGTGACATGACTCGGACATGACGATTTACACATAGCTGTTAGCCAATCCAGTCGAATCAGTTGAGGCTGTAAATTATTTCAAATAAATAATAATAGTGCGCAAGCTGCAATTTATAATTTTAAATTAACACAGCGTTACGGCATTGCATTTCAATTTTTTTATTTATTATTAGCATGGATAGTTTTATTATCCATGTTAATAGCGTGCTAAAATTACTGGATGCTGATTGGTTGAGTGGAGTACAATTATTTCATTACTTTTATGCAGTACAATTAATGATTTTGCCAAAATAATCAAAATGACGGAAAGTTTTTTGCATACAAACTAAACAGCCCTGGAAGAACTAAAAAAGGTCAGAAAAGTGAGTAAACGAAAATACTGCCCAAAGTACAAAACAATGGATAGAAGTCTAGCAGGACTGTATTTTTACAAGAATCTATGGACTATCGTGTTTGTGTTGAAAATTACGCTCGCAAAGTTCGCGATAAAGCGCCATGAAAGTTGTACGATTTTATTATTATTACTATTTTATTTTTTGCGCTAGCAAAAATATTTACAGCGAAAAAAATGTCATCTATGTTATTTACTGGAAAGTGAATGCAGCTGCTGTTTTTGCAAATCGAAGCAAAGCGTCTTCAAACTGACGGTGCTCGAAGTTGATTATGAGAGACATTCACATCAAAACCGCGTTGAACCACTTACAACTACTGACGGTACAGTGATATTTATACCACAGGTTTTTGCATTATATAACAAACACGGCAGCCCCATAAATATACCACTAAAGAAGTTCCAGTTTACGTAATTGCAATGAGTTTTATTACAAGAATGTAGATGACCTAAAATTTTATGTACAGACTACAGAACATGATCTGATTCTCTTCATTATGTGTGCAATATGAACTTCGTTGAACATTCCAACCTTTATCAAGCTATTTTTTCATTGAGAATTAAATCAATTAAGTACTCATCATGCCACTAGGTACACTAGAACCCAGGATTTCTGCAGGATTGCCATCGCCTTTTAATACAGCAATACACTTCCAGTTATCAAGATAGTTAGCTAGAACAAATAGAATAATCAGAATCATAACATAATCATAAATTTAGAGATAGATTTTGTAGTATTTGTCTATATGTGATGGTGCTATTTTCATAGTACATGAACCTTAGTAGCGTGGAGCATTACCTTTCCAAAGTCGTACACTACCATCATCACCAGAAGAGGCTAATATGGTCCCCGTTACATTCCACTGTAACCTCCATACCTAAAGTGTATAAATTCAATTTTCCAGCGAAACATTGTGATTAATACTGTTGGAAAACTTGCAGCAAGTAAATCTAGTTTGTACTTTTCTCGAGGTTTCATAATTCGCGTGACTTTTAAATCTATGTGCTCTGATTTGAGGTATTCAGTTATGACAATTATGTCAGCGTTTATAATTCAAACCTTTCCGTGTTCTTTAAATTGAGCAACCATATTGACAGAAAACTTTGACGACGATTGAGTTTCTTTGCTGTAAATAAAAACCTACACCCTGCAGTTTACCAATTTACAATTGATTTGGTTCATCACATCGATGTTCATCAGGCCCTTATGTAACCAAAAGGCAACTGATACTTCGAGCCCCAGATCTCTAAACAGTGGTGTGCTAGGTAATATGCATCTGGGAATATCAATTATGTCCCCATGTAGGCCACACTTAGTGCCAAACCCAAACATGCTTAATAAAAAAACAAATTTATGCCTTCATAACCGTACCTATTCGGATTATTAGTGTTAGGTTCAAGTGTTGCAATCTTGACATCGTTGCAAGCGATACCTAACAAGTGATAGGATCTAAAAAACAGAAAGTAACCGGTCACTGTTATGTATATGTTGTGATAGGTTATTTCGGGGTCACGTGACAACAAGTGAAGAAATGTTGCTAATTCTGAAAACAAAATGGGACTGAAACTTTAAAATTGTCTCGCAAAATCATTGAGACTTTCGGAAAAAAAACGTTGTGGACATTAATATACACTGAGTGCATGAATCGCTTTCACCTGCCAAGATTTGGAGCAAACTCCACATCGTGGACTGGTTCTGTTATTCCATCTAACGTTTTAACTTTTTGCCACTTTCTGAAAAAATAAAAAATCCCGATCACTTGATTTGAGTTACTTCTACAGGCTTAAAAAAATTAATAGCCTTGAATAGGAACTTTTTGGTTGAAAACTTTACATCCAGACAAATGTATGTCGCTTACTGCATGATGTGTTATCTCTCACAATTCCTCTACAAATTTGTAGCAGACATTCCACGAGAACCCAAACTTTACTAGTATAAATATAAGCTTTTAATACCAGGGTCAGGGGCCCAGGGTTGAAGGCCAACAATCAAACCTAGTTATGAGTTTCAAGAATTTGCGCTAGGTGGTATATAAAAGACAAGAAAAGTAATTGATTTTCTCGTTGACTTGACAAAATCAACTGTAAGACGCAGGGACGTAACTGGAACGATAATTAGGGGGGGGGGTGAGGTGGATGTTATTCATATAATGATTCAGTTAATCCCGAAAGACATCTATTGCAGATTTCTTAAGCTATTACACTTACAATGAAAAGAAATCCGTCAGGCAGAACTGTATATATGAATAAACACTCCCCTCCGCCCATACACCCGTTATCGTTCCAGTTACGCGCCTGATAAAGTGGAACGTATGCAGGCAACGACAATGTACCCTTGAACTGTGGGTGAACAGTGTAGGTAGTTTCGTTTATACTTCAATGCAATGTACATGTACATGGGCATAGTCATTTTCGGTGAGTAAAATTGACCAACCTAGAAATTTCACTATATTCTTGTATTTGTACTTTTCCTCCAGACGAGTGATTAGCGTCGTCACTACCAACTGCGATCATCGGAGCGTAGTTTCTGTGACAAACCATAATTCAGGTGACAAAGTATTCTTTTTATACGTTTATATAATTAAAACGTTTCTTTTTTCAGTGAAAATCGCAATTCACCTTGATGGATTCCAGGATATGCAACTGCAGCTTAATTTACATTTGATCTCGTGCTACAGAATATCACAGAATCAAACAGTTTTGAAAGACAAGGTGACGTACACTGGGCCATAGAAATGAAGGCAAATATTATATGCTGCATGCAGATGATGTAATGTTACAGTGTGTGAAATATTCGTGCTTTTGTTTAACTTCTGTTTACGCCACAAGGCACAGCGCATTCAAAATACCCCCAAATTAGGTTGGTAAACGTGTTTGTATAACCATAATATTTTCAGGGCTGATAACGGGGAATTTCTTTTTAAACCAATCAGCATATTTGTTTACATTTTGCAGGCAAAGCCAATCAGAATGCCTAAATTTTAAATACTTCGTGTAAATTTGTAAATAATGTACCTTTTCACCGGAAGCAGTCAAAATGTATGCTTACTGAAAATGAATATGTAAACAAACTTGCTGATTGGTTTAGAACGAAATTCTCCTTGTTAGGCCTGATACTACCACTATTAGCCAGAGATGTTTTGTCTAAATAAGGCATCTGCTAACTTATGATTTAAAACTTACCATCAATGTCCAGTGACTTAAATTAGCTATATTTGCAGCCTCATAAATTCTTACAATTCCATCTTTAGAACAAGTAGCCTAAAAAATGTATGTTTCAATCGACATATGCAAAAATCATTTTGTTTTGTTGCCAACATTTATTGACTATTTATAATCAAATACCTAAAACTGGTTGTAAGGTTCTAAAAACTTGTTTAGATTTGATTTGTAAACCATTTTACTTTATTATACAGAGTTAATTTTTTAATATTTTTTTTTTCTGTGTAATGGTTCTGAAAGACCTTTATGTATGTTAATATATCAAGGATGTGAAGTTACAACTGAAGATAATGAAATAGATCATGCTATGTTGATATCAGTTCTAATGTATTTGCTGTTACAAATCATTTAAGATTGAACAAATGGAGACTCATATCATTATCATTATGTATGTATAATATTTGTTTTCACTTCTAACATTTTTATTGAAAGTTTAAATTTGCCTGGGTTTGTTTAGCCTGCAACGCAGACTATATATTGGGGTATATATACCCCAATATATAGTCTGCGTTGCAGGCTAGGGTTTGTTGTGAAGACAGATATTGGAAACAAAGAGAATAATTTACCAGTTGTAAATTGAGATGCCGTGGGGCAAATTTTACATCTGTCACAGATGTTCTACTGTCCACCAGCCCTGCTTTTCTTTCCTGAATTAAAACCAAGTTAATATCTGATAATTACAATGGAATTATTGATAGTGACAACAAATATCAGTCTATACATTACCCAGAAGCTTTGACCTCTCAGTGTCCCTGTTCCACGTCGGGTTTCTGTTGCAACTACAGAAATTTAAACCTCAGTATATATTTACTTTAAACCTCAGTAAATATTTACTGTGCACTCTTTTAGAAAACAGTAAGATTACATGAAGTCACACTTCAATTGCCTCAGGTATGTAAAATAATGTCCAGAATCTTACTGTATGTCAAAGATAACAAAAATTTCTAATACATAACGTTGCTTGTCATGAAAAATTACAGTAACATTTATTGTTAGGCTAGATGAGTAAGTTATAAGGCATGCACATATGGTGTGTTCGTGTGTAAATTATGTTTTAATGATTTGAAGTAGTTTAAATTCTTCAACAAACATGATCCTGGCATGCATGTAAATACCAAGTTCATATAACTTTTCAAGAAACTGAACATACTCTGTTCCTCCCATACAGCAGCTGTATTATCAAATGAACATGTTGCTAGCACTTGACCAAACTCTGGATGTGCCCAAGTTACCCGCCACACAGAGCCATAGTGAGTCTGAAAAAGGTACATGGGGCAGATAGACTGTAACTGAATGCATTTCAACACTGCTGCAATTTTTGCAACTTGTGAGCACTCTTATTGTACATTGTGTGCAATTGTTTTGATATTAAACATGTAAAAATAAAAAATTTTCCTTTTTTACCTTCCAACTTGATGTGCATTTCCATTCTCCATCCTCACCCAGATCCCATACCTTTTGAATCAGAATTATTGTCAGGCTAACTTCAGGATTATGCACCCTGTGTATTTAAGTTGCATTTAGTGGTGATACAGTAAGTGCAGAATCAGCAATCTATAATTATCCCATTAACTTGCAATGCACCTAAACTAGATGTGCCTTACTTTGTACAATGTTACTATTTTACTGTCTAATACCAGATAATATATTTTACTCATCAGAAGCTAGAGTACTGCTCTTATAAATATTTAGCTTTCAATCTACCAGGTGTACGTAATGTACCCTACTTAGTATTGTACTTTGTGTCTCTGTCAAATGCCAGATTATTTTATTCATCAGTAAGAGCCCTGCCATTCAGCTAAATAATTTACCCCAAGACCCCTACCTAATTTAGTATTTTACCCTAACGCCAGCTGATTTTACTCATCAGTTGAAGCATACTGTGATTACTGTCAGTTAATAATTATAAAATCTAACTGAATTACCAAAACCCTTAGCTTTAATGCTCCCAGGTGCACCTACTTTAATATTTTACTCTGCCTAATGTCATATGATTTTACTCATCACTTGACCATTAAAGAGTACTGCCAGTTAATAAGTTACCAAAACTAACCTATTAGCTTGCAGTGCACCCAGATGTACACTAATTTAGTATTTTACTCTAACGCCAAATGAGTTTACTCCTCAATTGAAGCATACTGCCAGTTAATGAGTTAATGTGAGCACTGCTCAGGAGCGCTGAGAAGCATCGAGAGCAACTCATATAAACCACGGCGAATATGTTAATCTAGCATTATAATACTGAGTATATATAGATGTACCTTCACTGTCTGATCACTTGAGCATGTGGCCATTCTACGACCATGAAAATCAAACGAAACATCGTGAATCAAGTCTTTGTGATCCGAAGGAATTTCTTTCGCCGCTAACATTTTTTTATCCGATTTTATTAATATGAAAACAAAATAATTTAGGAAAAATCACGAACTTTCTCTTCCACTGCTTTGATGTGCCGTCTTGGAAAATGCTTCGGATTAGGCCTTTACTTCAAGTAATTCCAAATATAGATTAAACATTACTTTTTTATTTTAGACTTTTCTTTTTTTTTTAATTCTAGTGACTTTTTCTTATTTTACTACATTAGAGTCAACTATTATTTGTTATTTCTTTTGGAAATTGTTAGTTGATCAAGATACATTTCCACCAACAACATTTATCGATTAATCGATATTGCATGTTGCGATGTTGGTTCACTCTCCCCCCTGTTGGTATAAATAAAGCAACAAACTTGAAATGGCGCATAACTATAACATGAGGTGTTCTAAATTTTACATATCGATAACTGCGTTGCATTGTGTGTAAATATTAGCTTTTTTAATTTCTCGTGTCGTATCCCGTCGATATTTTGGCGACGATGTTTGTCTTCGGTGTTAAATTGAAAGTTTCAAAAGAGCTTAGAAATTTAAGATTGATTGATGGCGTTTTCTCCACTCAATATCGTGATCAATATTTATGTCGTTGAATGATGGAGTGTGATGATAAAATTAGACATGCTGAGAACTCAAAGTTCATGTTTATAAACAATTATTTCAGCCACGTTTAAAATTGGCTGTGTTTGAACAATGACCTCTCCGATCTTATGCGCTGTGCTCTTCAAATTTTGTCTACCCATCATTTTGGTTGCAGGTAAGACAATTATTAAATTTAAAGACTATTTTTATATGGTTTGATATATAACAAATAGCAATCCTTTTGAAATTTACTATCAATGAACATGCCATGAAATTTGAATTGTTTCAGCGGTCCATTGCAAAATAGCATAATATGTGTGTTTCCGAGCACTACAATCTTTCCTTATATATTTAGAATTCAACCACCATTCAAATTCAAAACCAAATTTCACAAGAAACATAAGTATAAGCCTATAAGGATGTCTTGAAGCACAGTAATATTACTGCAGTCATAGAGATATTCCCAAGCGGTATTGCTGTCCCATAATGCAAAGACTTCCTTAGACCAAAGTGTCCCTAATTAACATAAAAAGCTTAACTAAAGTAGTTGTCCCAATGTATAAAGCCTCATCAATGACTAGAAAATAAAATTGCAAAATTTGCATCAGAAAAGTTGGCAAGATGGGTCAGGCTGGCAATTTTCAGTCGTTAATTAGATTCAAAGGCTTGTGCAAGATATTTTAAGGGTAGATCGATATGCAGACATTCTGTTCTGCATGTCTCTTGTAAACGTTCATGGCAATTACCAGGACCTACTGGTTTGAAAATTGCTCATATTTCATTTGTTCGGAATTCTTAAGGACCTAAATTCCGGTTATTTAATTAATTATTTTATGTTTATACACATTGCAAACCAAATATACTGTGTTGGATATATGACAGACAGTAGAAAACTTTTATACAATGAAAGTTCAGAGTGCATACAAAGTGTTACTGGATATTAGACACTTTAACTCATTATTAGGGCATCTAGAAAATATTTTTGTAATTCAGAAATCAGATATTTGCCTGTAATACTGTAGATTTATTCAACAAAGTTTCTCAAGTACTGAAAGTGAAATAGAAAGTATAGGAATGCACTTGCAGTGATATTGGCATGTTTTGAAAAAATTATTTGCCACCTTAAATCATCAGGATTTAGGATATAGTTTTTCCAAGACACTGCATGATAGCCTTTGCTTGTAAATAACCTATAATTGAGACTGAATTTTGTGCAGAAACATTTCAGAAAACAAGCCTGAATATATAAAACAATACCAAAGGGAAAACTTGCTTCTAAAATGGCATAAACTTTAAATTTTAAATTAGTTCAATAATTGTGCCTTTGTGGAGATTAATCAATTTTATATATACCTGAACCAAAAATATAATTTGCAGTTATAAAAAGAAAGTAAAAGACCTAAATATGTCCTTTGAATTATAATAAATCGGCGCTGCAAAGTTGAAAGTCGAAAAGCAGTTACAGTTTCAACAAAAATACATCTGAAAATACCTTTGATAGTGTTTTTCCCCTTCTACTAATGACTTTGAAATTTGAATCATCAAATATTGAAATTTCCCACGATGAAAAGGATTATTTCATGCTTTTTTAAACAGAATTTCAACCACGACTTACCCTGACTTCGTTTCGTTTTTTCCCCGCGCGGCAAACTTTCACGTGACCAATTAGTTGCGTTTAGGAGAAATTAATTTTTTATCAGCATCGAAAAAACGTATTAATCATTTTATAGTACAGAAATACAAAAATTTCTTATTGTTTTGCGTTTTGAAATTCTCATTCCAAATATCGTCGAGGCTATGTCATAAACTGGCGAAATTAACACGAAATACAGTATAAAGCAGGCATGATTTAAGTACAACAGTCGTTTCGACCGCAAACATCAAAGGAGAGTTATTCGGTTGGCTTTTCCTTTTATATTCATGCCATTCTTTAACATTTAATAATGATGCAAATTTTTCTTCTTTTAGCTTTCATATTTAGATTTAATGGATTCTCTCTGTTGTACCTGTGTTGTTTCTTTTGTATTCCACTTCTGCCAAGCCCATCGGTTAGAAATTGCCGAGGTAAGAAAAACGGCCGGCGAAGAGTCAGGTTGACGATATGTAGTCAGGCCATCCTGGGTTCAATCTATTTTTAAGTTCGAAGATTTATGTACAGATTTTTTAAGCGAGTAATCCCCTCCACAATTGCACGTTGCGTGACATGTTGTTTAAGTTTCGAAACTTTCAAAGAAAATCCAAGGAGTTTCTGAGAATTTGCCAAAAATTTAATGGCATTTCAAGGGTTCTTGAAATATAACGAGCTCAAGGAGCTCAAGAAGGTGCATGAATTTCTTGGCTGCGTTATTACTTGAAATGACAAAAACTGATGATTTGCTTTGATTCGAATTGACAACAACAATTTATTTAATTGTTGCGAATGTACATCGTGTAACATGTTTCTCACGTCAGTAAATGCCCAATTATAATGTTTGTGTGTTGTGAAAAAAATTCTCTTTTTGCAGGTAAAGGAACTACAATTTCATTTCTGAAGGCTCTGATATTCCTGTCTGGGTTAGCGTCAGTTGCACAAATTGTTTTTCAAATCATACTTGGTTCTTTGTCCCCATATGGACACTTTTTGGAGAGATGTAAGTAAATATCGGTCTGAACTAGCTTTAAGTCTAAAGATGAACAAGATTTCTCAAATAAATTTCGATAAGTGCTACTTTCTTCTCCGTCATTTTGTGGCTTCTTTAAAATAGGTTCTCTGCTTGAAGAAGTTTTACGAGAAATTGGCTTGAACAGGTTTGTGTGCCATTTGTTTTTATCGCTTGATAGTTTCAGCCAGGCGCACAAATTTCAATGCAATACGAGGAGACAGCTCAAAGCAAGCATCTATAAAATGCCTGAAAAGATAAACTCTCTGATAAGAAGTGAAGAGTTGTTATTGAAAATGCGTATGATTTTACACATTTTCTTTCTAGATTCGACAATGTTTCTGCCTTGGATATTTTCCGTTTGCTTTTGCCGGATTTGATCATTTTGGTATTTTCCATATTCTGCTGGATAAACACCAGAGCGTTGGGACGTTTGCGTACAAATAACGTCAACGAGGGATCGAACCGAGATAAAACTTTCAACATCAGTTCCAACATAAGAAATTACGTTCTACCATATTTGGTATTGCTTCTGCTTCTAGTGGCGGGAATATCTGTACCATGCCTGATATCCTGTGTGTATTTTCTGTTGTTCTTGTTGTTCGGCACGATGTGGTCTATGCATAAGACATTGCATTCGCATTACTGGACGACGTTGTTTCGAGTCAGACTATTTCTTATGATTTATTCTGGATCGCATCTCCTGGTGTTGTATTTCTATCAGTTTCAGTTTTTCCAGTCGTCGTTACCAGTGAAATCTTTGCCAGCGAGGTAAGTGCAATTTTCTGGTCTCTGTTGGACACGACCAAAATGTGACACACAAATATAAACAGTACTGCATGCATGTATGACGAAAAGATAGCAGTTTACTGAATCACATTGAAGAACTAATCATGATGGTGTTAAGTCCTTATTTCCCTTTAGACTTCTAGGATTGGTTGGTTTTGTCGAAACAAGATGTAATAATCCACAGGCTCTTCATTATCGAGGTGAAGATCTGGACTGGCCTCATTTTGTATTGGTCGCCGTCGTTGTGACCCTCTACTGGTTCCTTGCCACGGAAATCAGATACGATAACACCGATCAGGTCTGGCAGTTTGAAAGTTCATCCAGTCGTAAATATATTATTAATTTAGCAGTTCAATCGCGAATATTGTTAAGATAGAAATTTATAGAAGTACATGTATAAATGTAGTAAATATTGTTAAGATCATTTACACAGTAGTCCATCCATAAGTTATAAATATTGTTAAGATAGTTTAGTACTTAATTCAATCGTAGATATTGTTACGATAGTGTAGTGGCTCAATCTTACGTATTTTTTGTTATACTTCATTTAGCATGGTGATAAATGTGACGAAGAGGCGGAACAGGCTTCAGAACAAGACGATGAAGAAGCGGAAGCCGCAAGAAACGGCAGCGAAGATCGTCCAAAACTGACCGTGAAAGAGACAGTATTTAGTATTCTATCTTTCTTCATGGCGCAAAGTTACATTGCTTCTCTAATCATCATGATGGTGAGTGTACTGTAGGCTGAACCAATAACACGTTCTCGCTGAGCTAATGGGGAAATTTACGTGAAATTGTCATGGGTATATATGGCGTGATATGCACATCCACGGTAGTGCTTACGCCATACATATCCACGACATTTTCCCGGCGTCTTATAGGTTCTTGTTTGCTATATATTTCACTAATACATGATGTAAAGTGTGTCGCTAAAAGTTAGCCTAACATAAGTCATATTCAAACAGCTTGATTCCAATTGGGGTATTTAGTTTCTGGGAACATTCTGTGTAGAAAATAAAGCCTTTAGAGAAAGGTGATAGCTTAATGATAAAGCTTTTTATAATCTATAAAACCCCGTTCAGAAATTCACCTTGTAAAGAATTCAAAAACATTAGTCAAACTCTATTCGTTGTCTAGAAAAAAGCTGGCTTAAAAACTATTATTGAGAGAGTTTCAGCCGATGCTACTGTATCATTTCATTTCCAGGCATGGAGTATTATCTACCATTCTTGGTTGACTTTTGTCCTGCTGCTCTGGGCTTGCCTAATCTGGATAACACCTTTCGCTCGGTCCTTTTGTATGGTAACTTCGCCATATCTGGTAATATATGCCGAGGTGTTACTACTCATACAATATATTTATGGCCTGGATTTGAACGACGACGAGCTACCGATGAAGAGCGCGTCAGGCGAACTGGATTACGAGGAATTGGGACTCAAAAAATGGAGATACCCCTGTGTGCATTTGGCTGTACAGGTAAAGAGTATTGAAAGATGGAGCTGTCCATTCTGTTACCTGTAGCGTGTTCGTAGCTTAGCTGTTTTGACGTGAAAATTCTTCTCATACTTTTTAGAATGATCTTTTCAGGGTTTCAACAGTAATTCTGTCTGTTCAATTCATCAGCGTTCTTTATCAATAGAAATTTATTTGTTTTTTTAGACTCTATTCACGTGGATCTTCTGGATCACACATCACCAGTACGTCAAAGAGAAGCAAAGCCGGACGGATGGAGAAGAATTCGCACTGCGACCAATCTTCATCGCGTTAACAAGAATGGGTAAGTGAATCTACAGTGTCGATCGAGGGGACTAATCTCCCCAAGGTCGAACTAAGTTGTGTTATGTACAGGCTTTTGAACCCCACCCAAAACGCTTGCTTTGACGAAATCAGAGTTTGTTTTGAAAACAGTGTTACCCCCCTGTCTGTCCGTGTTTTATACATAACCTAATCCATCATTAAAAGCGTTCCGTTCTTACATTTAGTTACGGGGGGCCAAGCTCAGATGGCTGCTCCAGCAGAAGGTACAAATTTTATATTCCTAAGCTACATGCACCTACTAATTACGTATGTTACATCAAAATTACGTATGTTACATCATCGTGATACACCAAATCCGCACGTAAACAAACAATGCGAGTCGAAGTTGTAATTAGGAACTGTCAACCGCAACTAAATGTTTTATTATTATTTCACAATTACTCGCCAAAGGCAGCGTAAACATCGCTGAATCAAACAAAAACGAGAAGAAGTTTTTTCCAGTAATATTTACTGAACCTGTATAAGTATGTACAATGGTGATAATATGAGATAGTGTCCAGACAATGCAAGATAAAGTATAAAAAATTCTCCAAGGTGGTTTTTAGCTCAAAGACAAGGCAAAAATCTTGTAGCTCATCACAGTACATCTTGTAGCTATGATATAAACGTGAATTATACTTTTACGTGCATTAAATCACTTCTGACTATTCAGAGAAAGATGTTGCATAATCGTTTTCATCCCATAGGCAATGAAACGTCTCAAAGCATTCCAGATACCGGCGATACAACTGTTGATGTGATATTTATGAGATGGATAAAATCGGTGCTCAGTAAATACTGGATCCTAGTTTGTTGTGGTGCTTTCCTATTGGTCGGTCTCCAGAATGACGTATCAATGTACCAAATTGGGTACATGGCCATATTTCTGTTCCTGTTCGTATGTTATCAGGTATTTGATTGCTCTGTTGTTTCTTACTTGTGTAGTACGTATGCTATAGAACCGCGGTTTCCTGAATTACCTAAAATTGCACTTTTTGTGCCTTCTCCAGATTTTCAAATTCCATGCCTAATCATTCTTCTTTATAGGTCTCGTTTTCATTTTGGCGTGTGATCCTGCGTCCTGTGTGGTGGGCGATGGTGATTTACTCTGTGTGCATTTTGCTGGTTATATACACGTACCAGTTCGAAAATATGCCAATGTACTGGCAAAATACGACGCATCTTTCTCAAGAATGGTTAGTTGTATTTCTTTAACTGCAGTCTGCATTTGACCAAGAACTAGCACTATTCATATGTCGAATGAATGAAAGAAATTAAAATACTATTAAGTGGTAATTTATCATTTTATTGTTCGTAATTTGATTTATGCTACGTGCATGCATGTGATTGCAATGGCCATGTTCTATTAATTGGTCTTTGACTTGGTAAATTCATGAATGTTTTGTTTTCGATAGCAAATTTAAATTGTATGTTTTCGCAGGTTATACGACCTGGGTCTTCGTCAGCATACAAAAGCTAGTCTGCTGCTAGAACTTTTGACTCCAACCGCTTTCTCAGTAATAATTGTCATCCAACTGCATTTCTTCTATCGGCCATTCATGGCCATGATTGACCTTCGTCCACCGCGCCAAGAGGTCAGGCCAACAACTGATGAGGAGAGGGTCTCCCTCACTCTTTCAAATGATCAAGATGAAGGGGAATTTATCCCATTATCTAATATGAGAGCAGCAAATGGCACTGCGTCCAATCAGGAGGCATTTTATGGTAGAGATGAGAATGATTTGACGCCACCCCAGAAAGCGTGGTTGTTAGAGTGTTATAACCACATGACTGTATTGTTGTGGAGATTGGGTGAACTTCACATGGCCAAAGTCATCAGCTTCACTTTGATTTGCGTCGTTTTATCGAAGGTACAGTATGTATTCAAATTTAGATCACCAGTAGGTACTGTAATCCTTTGAATACCATCCCTAAAATGCTATTACAAATGTTCAAACATATATACTGTATCTATGTCATAAAGTATGTATATATGTATGTTTTGTGGAGGGATTTCCCAAACTTTTAAACCCGGAATTTTGAGCCCTTTCAATTTTTTATTACTTTACAAAAGAAAGCTTTGCAAATGCATACGTACAAGATCTTATGGAGCTCTAATTCTAGTGCAGTCACTTATTTATTTTATATAAAAAACATACAAATGAACTTCTTTATTTGTGTAGCTACGTTCGTAGGTAACTTGAAAACAACCTTCAGTTTCATTGATTGTGGTATACATTCGAAATGATGTTCTTTTTTAATCATTGATTGTAGGTTTGTGCCATAAATGCCGTAATCATTGTTTTGCTGGCTATAGCAATGCCTTCTGGTATCATTCAAAGAGCATTGTCGTACTGTTTTCTAATATGGAGTTCTTTGGTCATCTTGGCAAAGATGTGTTATCAGTTACAGTTCGTTCAAGAAGATGTATTTCAGCATAACTGTTCCAATATGGTAGGAATCTTTTTAATATATTTTATGTTGAAAAACGTGTGTGAAAATTAAATGTCGTCTTTATACTATGATGTACATAAGTGGTACTTACTCGGAAACTTTTGTATTTGATGATGAAAGCATAAGTGCATAACTCAAATTTTTTCTAGCTGAACATTTAATTTAATACGGGAATTGTCTATTACAAGTCACTTCTTTTAAAATGATTGATCTGTATTTGTTTTTCGAAATGTATGCGGATTTAAATGTCCGCCTTTTTCTTATTGTAGGTGTTCCGTCGATCTAACGTTGTCAACCACTTCACTAACAATGCATTATGGGTTGGCTTTTATAAAACGGAAAATATATCCGCTGACATACAGGTACTTTGTCACTGCATATTTCGTGTCTCAGGAACTATGCTGTACTCTACACTATAGCAATATATTTGTTAAAAACGTGCTGTTGTGATTCTGTTGTATAACTAGATTAATCTGGAATGTGTTTTGTGTTTTTATTTCATAAGGGGTATCTTTTCATTGTTTTCGTGATCGTTTTTCAAACAGTCATAACGCATCATCAGGTGAGATTGAAGAAAATAGCTGTGTGCTCGGGTTCCTTGTTTGTGATTGAAAAATCTCCCTAAATTTAGAAGTTCCTATGAACGTTTTCATGCATACAATTTTCATACACTCTTCTTACATGCACACCTGCATCGGGTGAGGTCTTGCGTATAATATTACTTTTTGCTCTGACACAAAAAATTTTCATTAAATCGAAGTACTTGGATTCGGTATAGTTATTATAAATAATAAGGCCAGTTTATCCTGGTAAAGTTCCCGCATTCATGCAAAGTAACAAATCATGTAGTCATGTTTGATATTACCACGTACGTTTCATGTACACCTAAATGAAGAAAGGTTTTCGTCTGCAAATGTTCCGAATACTCCATCTGAATTTGTCATGCCGTTTGTCTCTCCTTATATATTAACATTACCCTCTGTTTTAGAAATTGTGCCGTATTAAATACTGTTCAAGGGAAATACCGAAAGGAATATTGTTTCCAGACAGCGTCGAATTGGAGCATGCCGACAAGGGTTTGGCGGAGATGTTCAAATATCTTTGCAATAAATTTTTCTATAATTTTGGATGGGAGGTAATTACATCATAGCTTTGTCCAACTTTAACTGTCGTGTAAATATCTCATGCCTGTAGATTTTATTTTTGTCGAGGTAGGCAATCTTCAAACGGACCTAGGGTTAGAAAGTGGGGCTATTATTTTTATTGAGTTTGGAGTTCAACCGACCTTCAAAGCACGGTTAATTCCCTGGACACCTCTTACCCAGTCTTCGGTCCCTTATCCCAGTTTGTATTTTATCCATCGTGGCCCACGTGTGCGCACCCCCTGTGCACCCTCTCAATGAATCCTACACTGTGGTGTGAATGACCCTAACCCAGTTATAATCCCAATAAGCCTTAATCTCCAGTCTCTAATTCCAGGTGTGTGTTGTATCCATCGTGATAAACATGGGTGTTCGTTGTGATGCAGTCTCTGTTGTATATTCCTTCTGGCTGGGAACCTTTCTCATGCTTGGTCGTAAAAAATCATCGTCCATATGGAGACTGTATCTTCTGTTTCTTGCTATAATGTTACCCGTACAGTATGTTCTTGTCTTGGGATGGCCTCCTGGGCTCTGCACAGGTAATGATAACTATATGCAATTTGTTATCGCTAAGTTCCAATGTTTTAAAACTAACGAATGTTTTAAAATGATAAAGAGATGAAATAAAATTATTGTATTCTAAATACGATGCATAATTTGTTTATTCAATTTATAGGGTATCCATGGACAACACGACTTGACCATAATCTGATCCATTGGATGTTCCTAACTGATCCCGAGGATCCCCAAAATGCTAAATTGTTATTAGGTAAGTTTGTTGTGTTTGATAAAACAGTAAAAACATTTAATAATTACCGTAATTTATAGTGTCTAAGGCTTTGACCAAGGGACGGTTGAAGAATTTACAAACCGCTTTAGTTTGACTAACATGCTTTCCTTTATCATGGAATTTGTAAAATCTATCACAGGCTGTAACAGTACATTAATCCCGATGTGAAAACAATGCTTTTAGTGCCATCACTCTGATCTATGCAGACATAGATTAGCGAGGTTGTGATTTGTTTATCGCTTGTGGACGAAAGAGCAGTTTAAAACTGATGCAGTATTATACATAACTATTTATCATATGGCAAAGGAGTTGAAAAACTTTTGACTAATTCTTCGCTGGTTTGAGACATTGTTAGCCCTGTGCAATATGTACTTATAAAAGACAAGTCAAACATGATTATGACTTTTTTAGTTTCATAGATATGTACCTTGGTCACAATAAAATCTATTTATTTGCAGTTGATTTTTTCCAACTTCTGCTGGCTTGCTGTCAGCAAAAGGTGTTCGCAAACGAGCGAACAGAACCGACCACCGAACCTGTACCGAATGATTCTCCAAGTCATGTCAACATTCAAGAGACAAGAAGTAACAGATTTAACTCGTCAGATTTTATGAGAAACAAAACGTGGTTGGATATGTTTAAGGTATATTCGTGGCTTTTCCTCAATTGTTGAGCATGCATGGATTTTAGATAAGGTGAAAAGTTTTTGGCTCGAAACCTAGTCATAGCTCTGTTCCGGGATTGTGCATACGTAAAGCTGGTTCCCACTCCCGGACCGTATCGGACAGAAAAGTTCTTTTATCCGTTTGTTCGCAACCAAAACTTAACGTTTTAAACACAAAAAACCCATTTGATCCGGTCCGGGGCATGATTTTTTTCAGTGGAAAGCTGCCTTAAACAAGATTTTAATGAATCAATATATAGGAAGAAATTTTCTTTGTATATACTTTACACCGGTGAAGATAAAGATTTCTTAATATTGATAAATCGCGCTACTAAGGGAGGGGAGAACGAATTTTAGAGAAAATTTCATAACCAGCGGCTATCTTTTGTTTTTATTCGCTGAAATTAACCTGGCCTTCGCACCGCCTGACTGTACACCAGGCACAAATTACAGGTTCATTCACGAGTAAACTTTACTTTTTACAGATTTTTTTATTTCAACACATTTACTGGGTCACGTTGACCGTAGTGTACATCACGGTGCAGAGCACCATCAGTATTTTCAACTTTGGTTTTATACTCGGCTGTTTCTTCTTCCTGTGGCACGGGCAATCACTTTATCTTCATACGAAGTTGATTTATTGGTGGAAGATATTTATGGGTTATAATTTCTTCGTTCTCTTTCTCAAAGTTTGTTTACAAGTAAGTTAACAGAATTTCCGCATTCCGAAAACGCATTTTGAATTTCGTCCAAAAATAGAAGTTATAATCTGTAACAGTTCACCTGATCATATCAGAGATAGCGATACCATTATTTCATTTATCACCAGTGTTTCCTCCATAATAATAAAATTATTATCGCTGTGTCATCACTGGGAAGACGTTTCATGATACCCAAGAATGCTTAACGAAATCATTTCAAAATTATCAAATAACACATTATAATGTTTTTTAGCTGGTGTCCTGCGTTTGGATTGACGATGTTAAAGAGTACAGCGGATGCTACGTCCTACAGTTACTGAGTCTTTACTGCCTACGTCAGGCTGGGTATACGTACAGACCGCTGACACTCGCCGAACGTGACTGCATATCTCCAGATGATACCGGCCTTTCTATGGACTGCGCATGTTTCGTATTCCTGTTGATACAGTATCGGATCTTCACCAGTGACTATTTCTATTATGTCAAAAGGGAATTGAGAGAACAAGCAGAAATGGCTTCCTGGTAATGTGCTCAATTTTTTTGTTTTAGCTTTAAATTTTAGGGCATGCAGGCGATTGTATATGGAAGGCGTTAGGTCTAATAGCGAGGAGGAATGTTCTGATGAAAGAGTTTCTCAACAGATTCTCGTCTGTTTCACGATTCTGTATAAGTGGTATTGGAAAAAGATCAATGTTGTTAATTTTTCTTTTTGAAAAATATAGGGGAGCTCAATTTATTGACCAACAACTTAAGGCGAATCTGGAGGCCGTGAAGAAAAGGGATGAAGAAGAAATGTCAAAAATAAAGCGAAGGTAACAGGAATGATTTGATCACTTTTTCCAATGTACTACACACTGCTCACCAAAATCCATTATACTAGCTGAAGCTAAATTTACTTCAACGAGAGGTCGAATGTTGAAAGTCAAATGTATTAATGAGACTAGTGTAAATGAAGCATTATATATATATACAATCGCCGTATTGCAACATCAAACGAAAAGATAAAAGCAATTTGCGGACGAGACTTTTCAAATGGGCATATCTTATTTTCTTGTTCAGTGTGAAAAAACTAAAGAACAAGCGAACACTGCAACACAGGGCACAGGAACCCAAGTCACATTACGAAGGTATACGAAAAACTTTAGATTAGATTTATTTGTGCCTGTTAAATATAAAATGTTGCTAGAAGATCTTTAAAGATAATATTTTTACTGGAATTCTTCAAAAGTATAGTATATCCAGCCACCAATCGTTTTGATATTACATGCCCTATTGTCAAAATCCTTTGTCTATCGGAAAATAATACCATGGATCTCGATTCTTAGTAGCTAGTGTGAATAAGGCCTTAGTTTCAGGTAATCTTAGCACTTGAACAATATAAACATGTACGGAATTACTGTAAGCGTCACTTTTGTTTTCTTTTAAGCGATATATTCTGGCGGTTATTACCAGTTTGAAAGCGGAGAAGAATCAGGTTCTGATTCCGACAGCAATTCTGATGAATTCCCACAGGATCGCGGTAGTCGTGGCTCCAATGAATTTAATGGTTTGTACTATAAACGTAATTTTAACACGATAAAGTGCTGATTGAATGGGATCGAATGAATATGAAATAGATATGAATTAAGTGGAACTGAAAGAGGTAGATGAGATGGAGTGGAATGGGATAAATTGAAATCGGATAAACGAAGTGGGGACCGGTTAGAATGGAGTGGAATAGGGTGACGCGGAATAGAATGAAGTGGAATATATTGAAGTGGAGTAGAATAAAAGTGGAATATAGTAAATTAGAATGATATTGTGATTGAGTAAAATGAAGAAGGATAGAATAAAGTAAAGTATAAGTGAAGTAGAATAAAATGAAGCTAAATGAAGTGGAGTAGAATGATATAGGATCGAAGGAGCAGAATCAACATAGATTATGATGGGTTAAGACTGATGTAGATTAGTTTTAATCCCTTACAATAAATAGCTAGGCTTATCTTGATCGATGCCGTGGTTTGTTTTGTTTTTAGAAAATGGAAGTGAATCGGAAGAATTCGTGAAAGAGGAAGATAAACAGAGTGAGAAAGAAACGTCTGTTGGACAAGAGCAAGACCAGCCAACGGATTCCCAAAGCAACACTTCTCAAACAACACGTGCGCGTGTCGTAAAGAAACTAAAATCCGTATTGAAATTATTCCTAGTTTATGGAAAGTGGGTTTTGGATAAATTGATTGGTTTCCTCAATCTACTTAGCAAGGATTATCGAGCTGTTGCCAGACAGCTCAAGAAAGCTCGAAAAGAAAAGAGACAAATGGAAATAATCAGGGAATACAATAATAGATCACGTGAAATGATGGCTTCAGAGTCGATTGATGACGATTCAGTGGATGCAAAGGTGTGATGAGTTACATTCGTTTTCATGAAAAATGTTTTTTCCACTAAGTAAATTTAATGTTTGCACATATATTCATGAAATAGAGTAACTTTTCGGTCGGATTGAGTAGCGTCGCTTTTGAAAATGAAAGATAGAATTTGTGTTCAGCCAGAACAAACTGTTTAAAATTGTTGTACTTAATCATTATTTTATGGACCTTCAAAATGATCGTTTGTAACATACAATATATTATGTAATGTCAGTAAACGAAGTAATTGCAAACAATGTTGTAACATTTCCTATTCATGTTTCCAGTTGATCAATTTGCAAGATGATACCATATCCTGGACTAGTATAACGACGGGTGAAGTTGACACGATTGAAGGAGGTTCCATACCAAACTGGCGTCTCATGAAATTCGTCCGGGCTTTGTATTACGCTATCATTTCCCAAACGAATTACCTTTGCTTCCTGATGATGATCATCAATCACGTCGTGTACGCGTCGGTATTGTCCATGGCATTTCCATTGTTCATCTTCCTTTGGGGAATGTTATCCATTCCACGACCCACGAAGATGTTTTGGATCACGGTCATAACCTACACGCAATTCGTCATCATCATCAAGTATATCTTCAAATTTGAGTTCATTCATTTCAACGACTGTAGCAGCACGATCGAACTAAGAAATGATCCCCTGTGTCCAGCGAGAATATTTGAAATAGAAAGAGACGGAGCGACTACCGCGTACGATTTATTGCTGTTGTTAGCAATTTTCTTCCATCGCTATGCATTACAGGTAAGGCAATCACAATTCGTTCTTTCCAATAATAATTTCCTAATTTTTCATTCGAACATGGTCAGAGAATGCTTCTGTTTGCTCTGTATACTGGATTATTAAAAATTTTTTATAGTGTTAAACACTTAGTTCCTAATGAAGAGCGATTGAGTTTAGGTGCAATGATATTGTCCCAATATTTAGATCAACAGTTTAGGTGTAATGATATTGTCCCAATGATATAGATCTTACGTGGTGAATTTTATATCTGGGCTACTCAACCAACCAACCAATCTAGATATTTTCGTGCACACCAACATGACCCTTATTTAACATCGATGGATTCTTAATGATTTCACAAGCACTATCTATTTTTTATATATATATTTTGTCTACATAGGCTCATGGTTTGTGGAGAGGTCGATTAAGCTCAGAATTTGGGAATGCTTTTGGACGTAATTCCTCTTCAAATGTGGAAAATGGTAAGTTTTTTACGTTGAATTGTTTAACAAGATGACAAGAATTGTAGGCATGAAGTAAAGAATCTTCGCTTCTCTTTTTCACGCACGTAGATTCCACTACAGTTGATTCTCGGGGCGACGCTAGATCGGATGATGGTACCGTTTCGGTGGTAGGAAAATGTTATTTATTTATTTATTTATTTATTTATTCAACTTTTCCATAATGCTGGATCTAGGTCCCAGTTGCTTTTTATAACTATATTACCTAAACCTGTTGTAGTTATAGCTTTTAAACACATTCAATTGGCAAGGGCATCCACAAGTACCTCCTTGCTTCCCTTTTTTTTCAGCATAGAGAGTATGCTTATCTGCCCGCGATTAGAAATATTCTACTTTTCTCATCGAGCTGATTTTGATTCAATTGTCTTAGGAAGAAGACCAGGAGAGACTTGAAGAAGGTCCCGAGAAACATAAAGGGTATTTTATTTATTTTATTTATCATATTTAGCTTATATTATTTAGCTTAGACTTATATGGATTACGTAGTAAATAAAGTGTACACTATGTAACCAATATACCTACATCTGACCTGGGTCAGTTGTATAAAAGGCTAGTTAACTTTTGACCGTAGTTAAGGACAGAATTAACATAGTAGTTACTTTACAGTAACAATTAACAAGCGATAAAATGTCTATGTATGTAGGATTGTCAAGAATGTGGTCACGTTTATCCACCGAATGGTCGATCCAAACATCGGATCTGGTGCCACTGATGTGTATGGTGCAATGTTTGGCTGCCAATTTATTATCTTTCTCATCATTCTTTTCAGTTGGTCAGCGTTTGCTGAAGCTGAGGTACTCACTATAGTGCAATTTTGTGCGTCAACATATTAGCAAGCTTGTTTTTTCCTGTTAATCACTTTAGACAAAGAAAAACTGCTTGTAAACTACATATAGTGATATTATATATGTGTATTTTAACTACAGTATCTTTCCAATCACATTGGAAAGATACTGTAGTTAAAACACAAATATCAAGAGCCCGTGCATTGCATCGTGACATAAATTGCTTATAATGTTATACTGACAAAATTTAGGTCCCGAATATTTGTGTCATAATATTCTTGTAATATTACAAAGTGTATAAAGAACTTAAATCATAAGTTTGTAGGAATAACGCCCCCTGTGTTCCTACAAACTTATGATTCAAGATCTTTGTTTTGCGCGCGATTTTGAAGACATGTATAAACTTTTCGTAATGTTTTGCCGACACTATGGTATATATCAACTAACGGAAAAGATCATTTCCCCCTTTTTTAGCCGAGTTCCGATGCGAATTTCGCCCAGATTATCGAAAAGAATGTTGTACCCAGAACGTTTCTCTACATGGTTCTCACTCAGTTTGTCCTAATCATGATTGACAGGTACGTCAAGTGTGTTGTGTATTTATGACGGCTAGATTATAGCTTTCTATTGTAAATTTTCGAAGCGAGCTTCAGATTGGAATTTGGATTGGATAGCCATGGGAATTAAGATTATGTCTCGTGTTAATTCTATTTATTCTATTTAATGTTTGATGATGTATAATACCGATTTCAGAGCTCTGTATCTTCGAAAATTTGTTCTTGGCAAATTGTTTTATCTCGTGGTGCTGGTCATCTCGTTTCATATTTTTATGTTCTTTGTCGTTCCCTATCTTACTAAAAGGTAAGAGCTAAGAGCTGTGGTAGGTTTCCTTGTGGCTGTATTCATTAAGTAAAATCTTACATCTCTTGTTTTTTAGGCGATTCCAAGACAACGTTCCTGCGATATTCCTCTATCTTTTTAAATGTTTATATTTTGGCTTTTCCTCGTATCAAGTACGCTGTGGTTACCCAACGAGGATTCTGGGAAATTTTTTGACAAAAAATTTTACGTTGATAAATGTAGTTCTGTTTCAAGCGTAAGTTATCTCTTGTATTTTTGAGCATGTTTTCGTTTTATTAAACTGTCATCCTCTATAGTCGTATATTTTGTTTCGGGGGATGGTTCGTATCATCATAGCGAAACCATTGGTTCTTACAAACTTTAGTCTTGTTTTGCGTAATTTGTAACAGACCTTTCGCTTTTTATTGAATGTGTTTGTAAACTATACATTTTTATGGCTCGAAATTTGTTCAAGTTTGCTCTTTGTTTTTCAATATCCTAACATTTCTTTCGTGTTTTTTTTAATTCATTTTGAAAGAATTCAAACAATACCGTTCGTATTGGAGTTACGTAGTTTACTTGACTGGGTCTGTACAGACAGTACGCTGACCTTGTTCCACTGGCTCAAGATGGAAGATATCTACGCGAATATTTACATCTTAAAATGTTATCGTACCGCTGAAAAGGTGAAGTCACTTTTCTATATAGAACCGTTGTGGTGCTTCGACTACACCCTAGCCTCTAGTTGCATTCTGCAAAGTAAAACGAGTTTCGTTTATACCTCATCATGCTTCTAAATCACACGCTTCTCTCTCTCTTTATCAGGAGTTTGATTGTATGGTGGAGTAAAATTATGGCCTAATATTAAACTTCATCAGTGAAAATTAGTTATGTTCTTTTTAGACGCCATGGTTTCGACATGATCGTGGCGCCCAGTATCCGTCTCTCAACAAGTGGGCCGTCGGTGGTTTCCTAGTGCTCCTGCTGATTTTGATTATTTGGTTCCCATTATTGTTCATGTCCTATATCAACTCGGTGTACACCAGCAATACTCCTACTGATGCCACATTCACATTGACCATTGGCGGTTATCAGGTAAAACTTTTACCGCGTAAAATGCTTTCATTTAAACGATTTTTCTTAACACTCAAATATTTATTTTTTGCTCGTTCATTGTCAACCATTTTCCCATTGTGTATTCGACAAAACGTTGTTCGGTTTTTTTGTTGTTCCTGTTTTTTTGTTGTTCCTGTTTGTTTTTTTTTTTTTTTTTTTTTTTTTTGCTTTATTTGCTTTTAATGTTCTCGTAATTTTGCATGGTAATATCAGAATACAAATATAAATTAGCTGTACCTACAAACTAATTTACTTATGTTATTTGCTTTTGTTGTTGTTGTTGTTGTTGTTGTTGCATGTTGTGGTGGTTGCTGTTTTTTTGTTGTTGCCGTTTGTTATTTGTTGTTGCTGTTTGGTTGTTGTTGTTTGGTTATTGTTTTTGTTTGGTTTTTGTTGTGTGGTTGTTGTTCTTGTTTGGTTGTTGTTTGGTTGTTCTTGTTTGGTTGTTGTTGTTTGTTTATTGTTGTTTGTTTATTGTTGTTTGGTTGTTGTTGTTGCTGTTACTCTTGCTGTTGTTGTTGTTGATGATGTTTATGTTTTTAATGTTTTGATGTTGTTGTTATTGTTATTGTCTATGTTGATTTTATCCTGTCGCTATCATACCTGGCTATTTTTCGAATGCAGTGCAAGTATATTTAATATGACTTTTATAGCCTTTGTTCAAAGTCAGTGCCCAGCAGCAGTTCTTGAAAGTTTTGACTGATTCAGAAATAGAATATATCAAATCCAGTAATAGACCGTATCAAGGCTCGTCGCAAAACCAGGTAAGAATTGTGTTGTTGCCCTGATATTGCCACTAGCTATATTTCGTTTCTAAAAACACCAACACCTTCATCCTGATAAGGATTAAACCGTTACAAATACTTTGTATTGTCTATATATACTTACATTTATCGTTTTCAGATTGACAGTTTTCTGGAAAATTACAAAGCAAAAGGAAATGTAGTTTTAGTTCGTGTTAGTGGTAACTCGAGCTCAATTTGGACAATCAGTCCGCCATCAAGGAAATATTTAGTTAATGATTTATTGTCGAATAATACGAATGTCACATTGCGTTTTCAATGGGAATTTACACGGTGAGTGAGAGATTGCAACTTTTTGTTTTGTTCCCACATATAAGCCTGTTAAAGCAGAATCTGCATTGATCTGCTAAAAGATAAATGTGTCTTCTTTAACAGAGTTTAACTTATGACTAGTGTATTCCCATTTGTAGTATTGGGGGTGGTTATTGGAGCATTGGTTGTAGATGTTTCCTGTGCATGGAACCTATGATATAGATAGGAAATTTAAATTTTCAAAAAATACAGAATATCAATGTACCAATTTTAGAGAACCACTGACCGCATTAGTTCAAGAAACGATATCTGGAGTGAATTCAATCGTACTCAGTCCCAATGACACAGTGCGAACACATCTTGGCAATATGTTAGTGGATTCTGCTAGCAGGGGACAAGATGAAATGTAAGTTATTACATTGAATTATACTAAAAACAAGATGATTTTTTTAAGTGAATCTAAATAAGAATGTGTAAAAACATCGCAATATTTAGTGAAAAGTTGAACATTATCAACACTATCGACAAAGAACTCAGAAACATTAGAGGTTATATTTACAAGCAATGGAGATATTTGAAAGTTTATTATCATAGGAATATTCAAATCATTATCCATTTTCCAGAACGATCAAGAATCTTTTCCCGACATTTATTCGCGTGCCAGCGAGCGGTCAGGCCACGGCGTTGACTGAGCTGTTTAATGCGAGTTACGTTGACTGTGGAATAAAAGTGAGAGTTGGTTCAGTTCCCAACGTCACCGGCGAAGTCGAATGGTGGGAATTGACTCAGAAGAGCCCCAGACCAATATTTGACTCAAGTCAATCCACATCAGATCTGGAAGTTATAACATTCAATGATTTTGTTCCACCTTTGCATTTTTCCTTTTTCGCCAGTACTGGGTGAGTTTTTTGTGCTTATTTTTTGCTTTTCTTTTCTTAATCTACTGTAACTTTACTTCAGCCAAATACTTATCAGCAAAAATGTAGATATTTTTCAACATTATTCATCGTGTAGCTCTTACAAGCAATCGCGCGCGGTTCAAAAATCCTTGCTTTTTGTTTACCAAATTCGAGACAAATTTAATATGGCGGATTGATAAGTATACAACGAGTGTTGCGAAATACATTTTGAATATGTAGAAGGAAAGGAGAAAGTATGTATAGGGGATAAATTATGAATTATTAAATAAGGTAAGACAAATATCAAGGGCTGATGATTTCAATGTTTGCAAAATTCTGCGTACCATATCACAGACCATATATGCAGATTCAAACCTTCTCGAACCGCACATTCACAATCGGCATAATAGGTAATTCTACAGGGTGTCCCAAAAAAAACCCAAAGCTATTGAAATTACCCATAACAATGTAATAGCTAGAATGCCTATATAAGCACCTTGTTCAGACCCACAAATGTAGAAACGTTTGACATAAGCCTTTCTATGCATGATGACAGTAAAATTTGTAACATGCGATAAAATTATTTTTATTACCAATATTTACACATTTCATTACCAATATTTACAATTTTGAATGTTACAATATTTAAATTTACAACTGAAGCACCATAACCTTGAACATGTCCCTCTTCGAGAAGAAGTCATTTTAACAATTGGGGTGTATAAAAAAACTGCAACCTTAGAAATTCGCAGCAGCCTACGATATTTTTTATTGAGTAGAAGCGAACATATATGAATATTAAGTGTTGGCTGTGTTGTAGTTTTTTTATACACCCTGTAGGTGAAGATATAGCGTAGGTCTCATTCTTGGACAATACTACATGTACAGGATGTCCCAAAACAAAAACTATTGAAATCTGTAGTTTACTTACCATGCATCATCAACATTTTCCTGGGCGCCTGCATTGACCTTAATGCATGGTTACAACGCGTGCTCGTTATACCTGTAATTACCCTTACGGCCTTATACCATGCATTTAATCTTGTTTCAATGATTTACAGGATAATCGGTTTATACGTTGGATTCGTTTGGTTGGTCGGCAAGTTTGTTCGTTTGTTTTTCACGTCGATATCATATCGTATCATGTTCGACGAGATGCCGGATGTGGACAAAGTCTTCAAGTTGTGTTTAGATATTTACATGGTGAGAGAGACGAAGGAATTTGAACTCGAAGAAGATCTATTTGCAAAATTGATGTTCCTTTATCGCTCTCCAGAGACGTTGATAAAATGGACGAAGTACAAGAGGGATTAGGTATATTTTATTACAAAGATAAAGAATTCTAAAAATTAGATAGCTTTGACTATAAATTGCTGCTACAAAGCTGTTTCACTTAGTCCAATTTGGCGACGAAAAAATTCTGCGGAAATTGTCGTGGTCTTGCTGCAAAGAATAGTAAAATCTACCTGGTGCATGTGCCCAGAAAGTACACACTTTGAGAAATAAGTTTTTTTTTGTTTTGATGTCTTATTAAAATGGTGAACCAGCGTGACCAGGTTATTTAAGGTCTCGTATGCACTCATATTTATTATTTTATATATTCACCTTTTACGCTTTCGTAAGTATGCATTTAGGTCGTTACAACAGAAAACTGATTTTAATAATCAATAAGTCCTTTTGTAGGGACACCCTGCATTGAAATCGGCAAAGCCTACCAAAGACTGTATAGTCTATGAATTCAAATTGGCCATAATTATTGTGCTTTTAACTAGCCTATCTTTAAGGGGCTGTTTACATGAGCCCGGTTACCCGAGATTCAACGAAGTGTGAGATGATTTTGAAGTATTGAAATGAGCAGATAACATGATTCTGGTAGTCGTATAGTCACCACAACAATAGCATGTGCTTGTTTGGTGTCATAAAGACTTATTTCAATACCTCAAAGTCCTCTCACGCTTCGTTGAATCTCGGGTAACCGGGCTCATGTAAACAGCCCCTTTGTCAGGTATATTTCATAGAATTTGCGTGCATGGCTATTGTAATTTGAATGTCGAATTGAACGGGCAAAACGAATATTTATATGATTATGCTCTTATCTCATCTAGTATAGTTCGCTCCTGTGTGTGAAATATGATTTGTAAAATAATTTATTTATGAATAGAATCAGCAATGTGTGGACGCTGACAAAGATTATTTTATGATGGAGCTTTGAGACTACGAAGTAGTTGTTAATTGATGGGAACCCTTTAATTTAATATCCTTCCGTTGGAGGGTACTACATGCAGTACAATTTAATTTTCCCATAGTCAACAAAATAGCAGAAAGGCATTGAATATAAGCAAGAGAACCCTGGTCCTGGTTTTTAATTTAATTCTCCCAAAATAAACAAAATGGCGGATAAATATTAAAATACAAGCAAGATTTTTCAAGTTAATTAACGCTGAACGAAAATACTGATAGTACACTAATTCTTCTCTTTGACACGAAAAACTTATTTTTATTTTATCTTGCTAATAGTATCAAATAATCAGACTATTGTATGTACGTCAATTTGAATGCAACGGATGTCTTATGCCAAACAAAGTTAAACAGAAATCTACGGTGTAGTTTCTTTTTACTTCTAATATGACTAATATATAGCTACAGCACGGGAACTGTGGAGCCAGGTAGCTACCGATGCATTCGTTCATGCGAGGGAAAGCGTTTTAAAAACTAATAAAGAAATTTTTACCCCTTTTCGGTTGATTTAAGTTCGTCTTAAATTGACAAATATCAGCTTAAATCTGCCAAACTGACTGGAATCGATTAACCAACCACTAAAACATTAGGATTAATTATGACTAATGTTATGACCCGGATTTCCTTATTGGAAGTACACCATGTTTTGATTGATTCTTCGCTTACCGCGTGGAAGTAGCTGCAATTGTACAAAGAAATAATTTAACACTACTGAAATGCACATTAAATGATGTCCTGCCACTAGCATGCATTGTGTCGGTAATCGTTGTCGGCGTAATATACGTACAATGATGTAAAGTAATACCATGGTAAAAAGGTATAGCCTGACTAATACAGTGATTAACCATTTTGAAATTGAAAATGTGCATGTTTGCTTGAACTATTCCACTTGCATCCACATTCCAAAACGATTCAAATATAACCAGTAGTGTGCTTGGAGCCCGTCATTCCGTGTCCTTAAATTTGGCTTGAATCCAACGCAATTTTAAAGTGATAATTTCATGTCCAGAATCCACGAATATAATCCTGGATTCTAATCCTTTAGTATAAGTAGTTGGATAAGGGTTAGGGTCAGGTTTGGGATTAAAAGCTAGGATTATATTCGTGGATCTGGACATGAAATTATTACCATTTTTAAGTGTTTTTGGATTAAAGCATGGTTGCACATGAATGATCGCTTGCATTGTGTGTGGCGCTTGTACGTGTAGCATGTTAAAGCAACTGACACAACCAAGCCTCTGTGTGATAAATTTATTTATAAATGGAGAATTTGGCAGGCGACCGCAGCAGAAAACAAGTCATTGTACTTTTAGGACCAAGTGGATGTGGTAAAACAACGTTTTGCTTAAAGAGAAATGTAGGACAACTTCCACGTCATGCTCAAAGTATGTTTTTGTCAACCGGAGATGAACTTCGCAAAGGAAGTTGTATCAGTCCATGGCTGAAGTCTAATGTGACAGAGATAAAAGAATATTGCCATAACATGATTTGTAACACATTCGTGGATTTTAAAGAATCGACGAAACACGAACTTATTTTGGATTGTGTTAAAGACTTAAACGATGCAGAGTTTGTCGCAACACAAGCAAATATAAATGGCCTTGAAATAACCCGAGCATTTTTATTTGATATCGATGAAGAGGAATTAAAACTAAACTGGCAGAGTCGCGCAGAAAATAAAGATATGTTGCGAATGATGTTCGATTCTCCCCATGAATATTATTTTAAGTGGAAGAGGGAATCAGTTGACATGATTAACTATTACACGAAATTAAACTTGCTTTCCAAAATTCCTGGTATCGATCTACAGTTTTGGAATCGTAATGAGGATAAGTCATTTTATGACTATCCAATCTGCCTGCCGCCAAATAACCTGCAATTCATGCTTCTGGATTCCAAACGAATACAAAATGTGTTCCAAAAGTTGCTTTCGATTTTGAATATTTGCCAGTTTCAATTTGCTCTTCCGGCCAGCTTTGTGCATAGCAACCGTGATGTCAACTGGATTGCGAACCCAGCACGTTACTATGTTACCGTTAAGGCAGATGGTGTACGTTGTCTTTTGCTCAAAATCCAAGATGGAGCTTACTTTATCACCAGAAGGAATGAGATTTATCCTTGCCACATCGAAGATGATCAGTTGCCTGACAACACTGTTCTCGATGGAGAATTATTGCCTTCTACATTCATCTCAGAAATTCAGGCTAAGATAAGCCCATGTCAGCTTAAGAACAATGTCTTTCTGGTGTTCGATGTTCTTGCACTGTCAGGGGATGTCTTGTGGAAATGGCCATTCAGTATTAGACGGGAATGCCTTGATAAACTGCCAATCAGGAAAGATATTGTTGGTCTGATGAAGCAAGCATCAGTAAGTGATCAATTTTTACCTGAGGATATGTCATATGACGAAGGCGAATTGCTCACAGTCCATTGTGCAATCAAAGGACATCGTCCATCCACACCAGACGACATTCAAAGATGTCTTCAGTCTGCATTTCCATATCCTTTTGACGGATTGATTTTTACACCGGACAAAGCCTATATCTTTGGACGCGATCCATTGATGTTTAAATGGCAAAATGAAGATGATTTACACTGTGATTTACAACTGGATTCTACTGGAAATGAATCAGACAGTTCTGATGTATTTAAATGTCGTTGGAATGCAACCAAGAGTTCCTGGGACGCACTTTTTGTGCGCTATGATAAGAATGCACCTGAATCCATTGAGACCGTTGCCCATTTAGAGAAGATATGTCAAAAACCATTCACAAAGGAGAACCTTCTGTCAAACCTTGCTCAACATCGAAGCATCATGAATGTGACAGATATATCTGCCGGTGATCATCCAGCTAATAGTCTTTCATTTGATGAACTGTTCTTTAAGATTGAAGATTTAGTCAAAGTTGGTAAAGTTGATAAAACCGTTGATTCAGCCACAGGTCTAGAAATCTTCACCTATCATCGCTCCACAGCTTTGTTCAGTGATCCCATTGTTCGTCTTTCTCGTGGCCTCGTTCTTCATCCACCATCAAAGACTGTCGTTACAAGGCCTTTCGTCAGATTCGAATTCTTTGAAGGTAAATTCATATATTAAACTACATTTTGCAGTCGATTTTAGTATAGGTAATCATGCGGTAGGAATAACTTTTGGGATATAATTTTCAATGCTGGTATAAGTAGAATACGATTTGTTCATTGTCAAAACACTTCTGCCAGGCTTTCAATATTTTGTACCTTTGCCTGTATTTGCGTTTACCTTTCTGGCTTTTTTAGTTTTACGCTGTCTAGTTTGTATGCAAATAGCTGTTCTCCTGTCAACGAATCAGCATATGTAGTAATTTTATCATGCTAGCTACTAATGAACGGCTTTTCTTTTTACAGATACTGGCAGTCGTGATCCTAATGAAATGGTTGAAGCTACTATAAAATATGATGGATCACTTGGAATTGCATTCTTGTGGAACAAGGAAGTTTTGGTGACGACCAAACGAAGAATGGATTCAAATCAAGCGATTTGGGCGAAACAATGGATCAAAGATCACTGTAACCTCTCCATGTTTCAAGCAGGATATACATATCTGTTTGAAATTATTTACCAGAATAACACCGTTATTGTGAGCTATTTCTTTGAAGGTCTTGTCTTGCTTACTATCAATGACGAAAAAGGTCGTGAATTATCGTACAACACAATGCTGCGTTTTGCCAGAGCTACTGGGTTCTTTATGGTAACACCACGCATAACTGCTCCGTATTCAGAGGTACTTTGGTACTGCGGTGGGATTGAATCGAGTAAAGAAAGAACGACATCTCCCAACCTGCCTTCATCTACTTCAGGAGCTATGCCAGTTAATAAAAAGCGACAAGAAGGATGGGTTATAAAGTTCAGTGATGGTACTAGACAGAAGATCGTCTACAACTGGTGGAAGAATGCATCAAAACTTGCACAAATTGTTCACCCTCGAGTTGTCTGGTCGTTGCTTAGGCATGGCAAAATCAAAGAGGTGTTTGAAAATGCACCAAATCACATTCGGGTTGAGATTCGTCGCATGGTGCAAGCAATCGGAGGCAAGTTTGAAGAAACGTTGCACCTGGTCGAAAGCTGTCTTAAAAGGTCCCGTTCTGAAGATTTATTTATGATTACGGAAGACCGGTGGAAAGAAAAATCAAATCACAATGATCTTGATGAGTTCACGATATCAATAAAAGACGACGATCCCAGCAAGGATAGTTTGCGCCAACTTGTTTCTGAACTCAAGCCATACCGCCATGTGGTAAATAAAAGGCCACTGCTAGAATATCCACCAGTTAGCATTACAATGCAAACTTTCCACCATAACTCTTCGCCGAAAGTCAATCTTTCGCCATTTTTTGATTCTTCAAAACTCAACTTTCTCCGGTTACCAATTCTCGATTTCATTCCTCCAACATCACTGGATTTGGAAGGTTATGAACTTAGCGAAAACTTCAGGCAGACATGGTGCAAGGGATGGAAAAACCTTACGATGACTGCCCATTGGCAAGTTGTACAAAGAGTTTTGCAAGGATTTAACAGCTTTCCATTACTCCTTCACATGCCCGTTGAAATACTCATCAGGATTTTACATCTTCTTGATCACTCAAGCTTAACATCGTTGGCAAAAGTGTGCGTCCATTTAAGGCAAGTCATAAAATCCTGTAGATCACAGCTGTTGTACAAGAAATTTGAGAACTTTGAGTATGAACTGTCTGAAGACGAGTCGTGGACTATAAATTATAGGGACTTCTATGATCCCGAAAACGAAGTATACATTTACCATGACAGTGATGGTTACCTTCAGTGCGGCTAATCTTCCTGAAACCGTGTAGACCTTCAAGAGACACTGGGAATCCTGTGTGAGGGGCATATTGGAAAGCAACTAGATGATAACCAAAACATTTAAAATTCAAGTAAAGAATTCAACTTGTCGTATATTATCAGTCATATAAATTTGATACAGTATAAAACATTATACAATTAATGTATGCTCCCGAGGGAAATAGAGATTGGAATTTTGTTTTTCCAAGAGTCGGAATATTGAGACTCATTTCCCGAGGGAAATAGTGAGTTTTGAGACATTGAGAGAATATTGAGACATGAAAGTCAAGGGAAAACAAAACTCACTATTTCCCGAGGTATAGTGTACATTAAGTGCTTTGTTATATAGGAACAAAAACATACATGTTACACAACAATTTTATTTCAAAAAACACTTTGTTATGACAATATGCGCGTAAAAATTTTTCACTTGTTCCCCTGGCGGGAAACATTGCATTTATTTAAAGCCTTTAAATGGCTTTATGTTTGAGAGTGAGTTTTTTTCGGCTGCTCGATGTCATAGTTGGAATAAATTATGCATTTAATAAGGATGCAGTAAATGAAGCTCAAATATCGTGCCAAACTCCTTTTTTTTTAAATCTTGCATTCTAGATCGGTTATATTACAACGTAGAGTAATGCTGGTAATTACATTTATCGCAAATGCTTGGTATGAGAAATGCCGCGATTCAGAGATTCAAGCTCTATTTAAATTTTAGAGCGTAAAAACGTCCCCGCCCCATGCCTTACCAATTAAAAAAATTCCCTCGCCTTGAGGTCTGCTGAGGCTTTTCTTCCTTGACAGAAATGATCAACGATTTTCAATCCTTAGAATTTTTGCTCTTGATACCAAAGGCTGTTTTCCACTAGGCTGATTTTCTTGCTCGACGCGAAACGATATCTGCAATACGCGGTGATGTGGTTGGTTTAAGAAAAAAATCGTCGCGAAAAAGTGAAATCGCTTCCTACTTTTCGCGCTAATATATTCGCCTAGTGGAAAACGGGCTTAAAAACTTCCAAAAACGACCCCGTGCTGTGTTATGGGGAATTCCCAGTACCTTGTAAGCTTTTCTATTGCAAACAGTTCTAGTATCAGAGTATCTACGCCGTCAAAATGTTCCAACAGGATGATGTGCAAAGGTTATATTTTATATAGGTTTGCCATTAAACACTTGATTACGCGGGAGGAAATTCAGAAAAATACGTGTTGGGGAATCCCCTAGACGTGACGCGATTAATTCCAAACTGAATCCACTATTATACCAAGCTGAACGTATTTAAAAAATAGTGTGGAAAGTAACACCTTCCGTCAGAAGTTGCAATCCACGAGAATTTCTTGTATTTTTTCAATTATATCTGTATTTTCTCAATTATATCTATATTGCGTTTTGGGGAAATACCTACACGAGATTCTACCCTCTACGGGTTAATGAACATCAAAACAATCGTCCAATTACATGCTTCCTGCTTACATTGTTGGTTTGGCTTTAAAAGGAACTGTTCTAATATTCACTTAACCTGGAAATGCCATAAAAAGTATCTTGGAATTATATCTACTGAATTTCAAGGAGTAAAGTATTCGTATTAAACCCAATAAGAAGACTATATTAAGGTATTAAAGCAACGAATTATGCAAATATATAATGAACCGGATTTATTGTGACATATTGGTGTGATTGTTGCAAAGTAAATCTTTAAATTTACAATGTAGCTACTTAATTGTTTGAGAGTGTGGCATTTTTTCGCTCTAATCGTTGATAGATAGTTGTAGATTTCATAAATGATTGCGCTAAAATTGCAAAAGTTGCCACCTGAATATCATGTGACACACGTAAACATTGTATTGACAGATTGCTATTCAAAAACAAAGCACTATATAATAGTATAGTATTTTGTTTACAGAACACTATCCATTTTTCACTCACTTTCCATCTTCATATCATGTGTGTTCTTACGTGTCATCTGCTTTCTGTTAATGATTGTTTTGAATTTGGATGTTTGCTGCGTTCAACTTAAAAGACATATTTCGTTCGATAATTGCATGTGCTTTGGCACGTTCCGAGCGCATAGCAACAATAATTCTCGCTGATATAATCATTATCTTGCACTTGATATCATGGTGAAGTATATAAACAGACATGCTGTTTTGTTTTGATCTCAACAGTGCTGTTTATATTATTCTAAGAATTGAAATAACAACTAGAGTTGATGCATTATTTATTTATATGTTGAATTATTATAACTAATTTTCGCAACATTGTCATTTAGCCTATCTATGCCCGTGAACAGCAATTTTCAGAGTAATCAATTTGAGCTTGTTTGCGTAATGCGATGTAAGACAAAAATGTGTTTGGACATATGCCAATGTTCTCCTGGTCCCTTGAGGGATCTCAGACGTCTATGAAGTCGTCTCTAAGGCCGGTTTTCCACTAGCGATTTTTTTTCGCGCGAAGCGACATTTTACTTTTGTTTCAGAGCTCTCAACTGCAACGATCTGGAACAAATTGCTCAAATACAAAGGAATAAAGTCGCTTCGCGCGAAAAATATCGCTAGTTGGAAACCGGCTTAAATGGTGGCATAAAGAATATGTAGCAGGTGTCAAGGTCATTAGTGTTAATTAAAGGATGTGCACTGCTGCTCGCGGTTCGAGAGTCGAGAGTAAAAAGTCGTGCGTCGAGGGTAAAGTAATAAGTCGAAAAATTGAAATTATTACTACGGTTACGTATTTTACGACTAACGACATATTGGGTTTTTTTACAATTCTAGACAAACCTTTCGAGGAAACAACTATAAAGCATCTGAAAGATCCGACGGTGCTGGACAAAAACTTTAACCATGAATCCCCAACACGAACCCCTTAAAATTGAAGTGCCTCTCAACGAAATTAGCTCACCTAACCCCATTAAGAATGTTAAAGAAGGAATTTTAAAGAAGGTGGTAGCTTTTATTTGTGCATTGCTTAACACGGCTGGTGGAACATTGGAGTTAATCAATGACCGTCAGAGTAAAACAGGCCGTGAAAATGACCCCAAACAGTCAGAATTTATTCGAATGGTTGAACAACAACTCATTAGTAAAATAGGTTCAAAGCTAGTCACTAACAATACTAGCTTTGACGAACAATTTCAGGACAAGATAGTCTGCAAAGTCAAAAAGTCTTCGTCCATTATCACAATAAATTACAACTTGTACCTACGAAGTGAAAAGCAGGTAATTCTCGTCGCTCCCTACGAGGATATCAAAGACATTTTGCGCAGGAAGGTTATCTTTGAACCAGTAATCGCTGACTCACACCACAAGGTATTCATAATGAAGAAATATTGTGGCTTTCCAGAAAATAAAGTTACTGAATTAAAGTGCGTGAGTGCAAGTTCATCGAAGGTGAAAAAGCAAGCAGCTGATCGCATAGCTGGTGAAGATAATCGATTCAGTTGCTATGTCTCCGCTTTCGCCAACAACATCGGAGGTCATATCTATTATGGTATTGAAGACGACGGAATTGTTAAAGGACAGTTGTTAAATAACAAAGAGGAAAAGGAAGATATTATTCGGAAAGTTGAAAAAGCCATCCTCAAAATGATCTGGCCGGAAAATGTCGGCAAACCGAAACGAGGCGAACAGTGGGAAATATTCTTCGAGCCCGTGGTAGACGATTTCTCGATTGCTATCCCATTAACCTTTGTGATTGTCATCTTTATCGCTCCTTGTCCGGGTGGCGTGTTCACTAAGAAACCGGAGTGTTATCAAATGGTTGAGGGAGGACTTCAAGAGATGTCGTTTGCCTCTTGGAGGAATGGAATATTAAAGGAAGACGTTGTGCCACATCTAGTCCCGCGTATCCTGTGGAGTTCAGACGAGATAAAGCAACGTTGCACTCGTACGAGCAACGATCTGATGGACCTAATCAACAACGGTGAGTGGGGTAAGTTGGAGAAGATGGCAAAACTGTTTGAAAGCCAAGTTTCCGGAAGACAGGATTGCGCAGCATTGGAGGTGTTGTTGACAATCTATTCAAAACGCGTCATCGCATGCTCGCGTCAAAGTTATTTCACACAAGCTCGAAAATTTCTTAACAATTTCAACAAAATTTTAAAGAATGTCGACGATTCGCCTTTTTTCAATGCATTGGCAGCGTATCTGGAAATAGTTATTAGGCGGAATAAGAAAGACTTCGGCGGTATCGAAGAGGTGATGAAGGATGCTTTAACAAAAGCAGAATCAATCGAAAGCGGCTTTCTTACGGCTGCGATTCACGTGCTGGTAGCGACGGTTAGTTCATTCAATGATCAAGAACCTGGTTTAGCCATTGCCCAGCAAAGACTTTGCGAATTAGCCATTGAACACCTCCGGGCGGTCGAACCGACTTCTGTATCAAGAGACATGGAACAAAAGGCATACATCACCCTAGTGTTTTCCTACCTTAAATGCCTCCTTTCGAAAGATTTAATTCTAGATGGAAGATGTACAGAGGAAGGTATGAAAAAAGCAAAATACGCCCTGACAGCGTTGAATGAATTGAAGATGGAATGCCCGCTGAGTCGTTTTCGGGAGATTCAGGCAAAACTTGCGGAGGCTGTTCTTTATTATCGACAGTCGCAGCATAAAGAACCAACCGAAGCGAGGCATTTCTTGAAATGTTCTTTTACTTCCGCCCGTGATGCGAAAGATCTTGCCAAGAAGTTGAAATTCGGTGAAATGGAATGCTGGTCAGATACACTCATTTCGAAGTGTACAGGGGAACTCGTCCTTATGCGTTGCCCGATAATTGCCAGAAATTAAATCGCTGTTGAAGGCCGTTTGTGAAAGACACAAGCACGTGACAAGTATACGTGGCAGGCTCTGCGCAGGCAGAACTGTCTTTGAAATTCTGCTCATGCGCCCGTGACGAACTTCAAAAACATAGCGCGCGGGCTGAATCCTGGGGCACACTAGTGAACTTAGCGCGTACACTGTCACTCGTGACAAAATTGTCACCTACACATATTCCTATAGTCTGCGTGGGGGAATGTGAAAATACCTCAGTTTGGTCCCCGCAGACCAGGAATATGTGTAGGTATAATTGTCACGAGTGACATGTGTGCGAGCTAAGTTCACCAGTTTGTCCCAGGCTCGAGAAGACGTATATAAAGGCAAATTACCTCTGGCCAAGAGACGTTAAAACAAAGCTATACTAATATTTTAGTGTTCATTGACTCCGAAAACAATTAATTTTTAAAGACATGAATAGCTACAGTATATACGTAAACTTAAAATTTTCCGATAGTGAGACTGAATCGACAGCGGCTACCAAGCTGATCAGAGTAAAAAATCAACCAATGTGGAGCCGGAACATCGCAAAACTAAATTAACATTTCTTTTATTTCAAATAACTTCAGCGCTCAGTTTTAGAGGTATGATTTAGCATGATATGCGTATATTTGTATTCTTAACAAAACCATATATGATCAGTTGCATAAACCGATGCTTTACTGGAATGATCGCTTTGCATTTAATTTTAAAATGTACAAGTATATTTGCTGAAAAGTATTCTCAGCTTTCATACCCCATACATGCAACTTTTTGTACAATAATTATCAGTTTGTATGAGTACAAGACGTGTATTTATAAACACGCTTTCGGTTATATGCTGTTTTTTAAAGAATGCCACATGTTTATGTAGCTATAATATAACATTTATAGTGCTGATCGGTCGAGAAGTGTGTTTCTATTTAACAATTAGTCGCTGAAGGCGAGGTGATTAAATATTCACTGAGCCGAAGTCGAAGTGAATATTATACACTTAATGTATGCTCCGGAGGGAAATAGTGAGTTTTGTTTTCCTAGGAGTCTGAATGTTTCCCGTTACAAAGTCGAGGCCAGGGAAACATTGAGACTCGAGGAAAAACAAAACTCACTATTTCCTGAGGTAGTGTACTTTACTTTTACTTTGTTATGACAAGAAGCAGGCAACAATTTTTCACTTGTCTTCCTGGCGGGAAACATTGCATTTATTTAAAGTCGTGTGACTACGAATGAACCAATCACATTTAAAATACACAGCACTTATATAACACAGGCTGTTAATCACCGAGCTTGAGGCGAGTAGTTGTTTTGTTATAAATTTCTGGGTGTTTACAAAAAATAATCATTTCATAAAAATTTCTTCAAATTACTTCAAATTTCTTATTTGAAAAACAACAACAAAAAGCTATACTCACCAATCAGTGACTATCACTGCAGAGACAGTAAATCTTGACTAATCAGAATGCAGGAAAATCAATAGTCTCCTCGAAATTTATACTAAAACTGCATAGAAACACAGAAAATGTTTTATATTTCTTAAATAGTGAATAGAACCATATCTCAGTACAATACGAAGATATTTACACGGATGCTGCATGGTTACCATCTGAAAACACAAAAGTATAGACTGGGAGCGGGGGTTATTCTAAGGAAATTTTACAATTCCAGTAGACTACAAACAGCTACGTCTGTCAGTATATTAAATATGTCCTTACTGTCTGCTCAGTGTTCACTCACTTCACTGTTCTCACTTACTGTTGTGACAAACGATATGACAAATGACATAAGACAAATGATGCAAAATATTCATGCCAAACAAGCATACAAAAATACAATGAAATGAAATAGAATGACTGTATCGGTGTAATCGGCAAAACTGTTTTGATTTTTGGATCATGACAACTGATGTACTGATGTACTACATTTTATTATAAAAAATAAAAATATGATTTATTTCAAAAACTATTTTGTAGTTTTCTCTACAATGGTAGTATATATCAATTCCAATAATATTCATTTCCAACTCCAAGAAGTGGCAGCAAATCCAGCTTAGAATAACCCCTGACTGGGAGTTGAATAGAAACCATTGCAGTTATAAATGAAATGTATTTAAACCGATTTGCGTCATTTTCACTGATACGCCGTAAAATCCTGCATAGTGGGGTTCTTTTTATAAAACACTTTAATTTTAAATCAACGGGCTCAATTTCCTTAATTTTTACCATTCGAGGAACCAACCAAGTGACGGTTTAAGAATTTGGCTGTTAAATAGTAAACGTTAACAGCGTCTGCGAAATATCTACCTGCTGCATGTTTCAGCCAATCTAAGCCTAAGGACTTATATATTATGGAAGTTAGCGTTCCAATCCTAGTGTTTCCTTTTGACGCAACATTTTGATGAACGTATATAGCTTGCTTTCAGGATTGTTTATTTTTGTGTATATAATCTGAGGCTATAATTACAACCAATGTACGATAAATATGCTATATATAAAGTTTAAGTATAGTTAAATGTCAAAATACAAGTTCAATTAGACTCGCATTGTCCGACCACGTCCGTTCCTTTCTTTTTAAACAATAAAACTATCAAAACTTTAAGCAAGCGAAATATAAAAACGTTCCTTTTACGATATGCCGCCATTTTTTGTCCCAGTATACTTTGGGCGACTAGTCCCTTGTAACTCAACACCTAGTAATGTTGAATGTTTACTGTATCAACTGCTGGCTACCGCAATAATGGCGTATATACCGGACATCCTCAGCCAAAAGAAAATCGTTGTACTACTCGGTCCCTCTGGGTGTGGAAAAACGGAATTTGGCCGCATGAGAAACTCCAGAGCGAGTCCATTTCATCCTGCAAGTGTGTTTCTGTCCACTGGAGATAAACTCCGCGAAGTAAATTGGATTCGTGCATCGCGAGCTCGAGAGCCCAACATGACAGCAATAAAAGAATATTGCTATGAGTTAATTAGTAAAACCTTTATGGATTTCAAAGTGTCGAAGCAACCCGAACTTATTTTGGATTGTGTTACAAACTTGAACGATTCGGAGTTTGTAGCAAGCCAAGCTAGTAAGAATGGTCTTGAAATAACCCGAGCAGTGTTATTTGATATCGGTGAAGAACAATTAATAAAAAACTGGGAGAATTACGCTAAAAACGATGACTTGTATTTGATGGAAATGATGCTTGATTCTCCCCATGAATATTATCTTAAGTGGAGGAGGGAATCAGTTGACATGATTAACTATTACACGAAATTAAACTTGCTTTCCAAAATTCCTGGTATCGATCTACAATCTTTGCATCGTAATGAGGATAAGTCATTTTATGACTATCCAATCTGCCTGCCGCCAAATAACCTGCAATTCATGCTTCTGGATTCCAAACGAATACAAAATGTGTTCCAAAAGTTGCTTTCGATTTTGAATATTTGCCAGTTTCAATTTGCTCTTCCGGCCAGCTTTGTCCATAGCAACCGTGATGTCAACTGGATTGCAAACCCAGCACGTTACTATGTTACCGTTAAAGCAGATGGTGTACGTTGTCTTTTGCTCAAAATCCAAGATGGAACCTGCTTCATCACCAGAAGGAATGAGATTTATCCTTGCCACATCGAAGATGATCAGTTGCCTGACAACACTGTTCTCGATGGAGAATTATTGCCTTCTACATTCATCTCAGAAATTCAGGCTAAGATAAGCCCATGTCAGCTTAAAAACAATGTCTTTCTGGTGTTCGATGTTCTTGCACTGTCAGGGGATGTCTTGTGGAAATGGCCATTCAGTATTAGACGGGAATGCCTTGATAAACTGCCAATCAGGAAAGATATTGTTGATCTGATGAAGCAAGCATCAGTAAGTGATCAATTTTTACCTGAAGATATGTCATATGATGATGGCAAAATGCTCACTGTCCATTGTGCAATCAAAGGACATCGTCCATCCACACCAGACGACATTCAAAGATGTCTTCAGTCTGCATTTCCATATCCTTTTGACGGATTGATTTTTACACCGGATAAAGCCTATATCTTTGGACGCGATCCATTGATGTTCAAATGGCAAAATGAAGATGATTTACACTGTGATTTACAATTGAATCCTACAGGAGATAAATCAGACAGTTTTGATGTATTCAAATGTCGTTGGAATGCAACCAAAAGTTCCTGGGACGCACTTTTTGTGCGCTATGATAAGGATGCACCGGATTCTGTTGATATCGTTGCCCATTTAGAGAAGATATGTCAACAACCATTCACAAAGGACAACCTTCTGTCAAACCTTGCTCAGCATCGAAGCGTCACGAATGTGACAGGTATATCTGCTGGTGATCGTCCAACTAATAGTCTTTCATTTGATGAACTGTTCTTAAAGATTGAAGATTTAGTCAAAGTTGGTAAAGTTGATAAAACCGTTGATTCAGTCACAGGTCTAGAAATGTTCATCTATGATCGCTCCACAGCTTCGTTCAGTGATCCAATCGTTCTTCTTTGTCGTGGTCTTGTTCTTCATCCACCATCGAAGACTGTCGTTACAAGGCCTTTCATCAAATTCCTTGAACGTAAGTAAATTTCATGTTTAATTAATTTGGATGCATGTTTACTTACCATTAAAGCATTAATTTTATAATTATACATAAACATAAACTAATATAAATTGATAATCGCTATAGCCATCTCTTTGAAAAAACATGTCAAGAAACATCTTTAGAATTATTAATAAGCAAGAAAAATGGCAGGCCTTCAAAATTGAGCCTAAGCAGTACTATTATAAATTATATTATTATATATTCTGCAATTAAGGTCAACTAATATAACTGTACATATAATTTTAAATAAATAATGTATAAATTTTTAAACTGTCTCGTACCCATTTTTATGCTACATCGGTTGTGGATGACAAATTTCCTTTTTATAGATGCTGGCAGTCGTGATCCTAATGAAATGGTTGAAGCTACTATAAAATATGATGGATCTCTTGGAATTGCATTTTTGTGGGATAACGATGTTTTGGTGACGACCAAACGAAGAATGGATTCAAAACAAGCGATATGGGCGAAACAATGGATCAAAGATCACTGTAACCTCTCCATGTTTCAAGCAGGATATACATATCTGTTTGAAATTATCTACCAGAATAACACCGTTATTGTGAACTATTTCTTTGAAGGTCTTGTTTTGCTTGCTATCAATGACGAAAAAGGTCACGAATTACCTTACAACACAATGCTGCATTTTGCCAGAGCTACGGGGTTCTTTATGGTAACACCACGCATAACTGCTCCGTATTCAGAAGTACTTTGGTACTGTGGTGGAATTAGATCGAACGGAGGAACAATATCTCCCAACCTACCTTCATTTACTTCAGGAGCTCTGCCAGTTAATAAAAAGCGACAAGAAGGATGGGTTGTAAAGTTCAGTGATGGAAGTAGACAGAAGATCGTCTACAGCTGGTGGAAGAATACATCCAAACTTGCACAACTTGTTCACCCTCAAGTTGTCTGGTTGTTGCTCAAGCATGATAAAATCAAAGTGGCTTTTGAAAATGCACCAAATCACTTTTACGTCGAAATCCTTCGCATGGTGCAAGCAATCAGAGTCAATTTTTTGAAAACTTTGCTATCTGTTCAAAGATGCCTTGGAACGTCCAATAGGTACAACAAAAAACGGTCCCGACGTGCTAAACGGTTGAAAAATAAATCAGTTAGCGAGACTGATGTTCCTAAAAAAGGAAAGTTGACGATAGTAATAGAGGACAGACTGGACAGAATCGCAAGTATTAATAATTTATTTAAGCTTGTTTCCGAGCTTAAACCATATCACGATCTTATTTCTTCGTCAAATACTAATCGGTCGCCTTTTTATAATCAATTGAAACTTAACTCTCTCCGGTTACCAATTCTGAATTACATATACCCAAAGTCTTTTGTTTTGGAAGGTTATGAACCTTGCGACAACTTCAAGCAGACATGGTGCAAGGGATGGCAAGACCTTTCGATGGATGTCCACCAATGGCAGTTTGTGCAGACAGCCTTGCAAAGAAATAAGAGGCTTCCTAACTTCCTCCAATTGCCTGCTGAAATAGTTGTTATGATTTTAAATCTTCTTGACCACGCAAGCTTGGCATCCATGGCTAAGGTTTGCGCTTATTTGCGGCAAATCATAAAACCCTGTAGAGCACGCTTGTTGCACAAGACGGTTTTGCGCCCTGCAATTGTAATAAGGAGTCTCCCCGCGGAAAAGTGGCAGGAGAGAAATCGTTCAACTTATGCATCTGACAATGACGATGATGTTTACCTTTCTGATGACGAGTGGCGTCATCCTTACGAGGGGCGTCATTATGAGCCATAGATACAGATAGATACAATCGACCTTTTTTATAGATGATTCATGATCAAACGCTGTCATTTAATGTCAGTAATTAGTAATACTTTTGAGGACACGTAGTGTCAATTTTTTTGAAAACGCCTTGTACTGAATAAATTTTAAGTAAAGTCGGGTTGAGTATGTTACTCCGGTAATTATGATTACCTAAAATCTATTGTGCTTAAGATGAGATAATGAGATTGGCCCGATTTATACTAGAGACGGATCATCCGTGTGGACGAACTTGGGCAAAAAAAATAGTTCATCTGTTTGGTTTTTTGGGACACCCTCTATAATTCCAAAAGAGCAAACCAATTGTTCGTTTTCCCTGCTTGTACTATGTGGTATGTTAAATTATAGATAGAATAGTGAGTTTTTATCTCATTCCTGTACTTGCGACAAATATGTAAGTCGTGAAGACAACTGTACCTCATAGGTGCAACTATATTGGTACAATAATTATCAGACTATCAGTTTGTATGGGTACAACGTCGGTTACCAGATGATCTGAAAACACTGGAGTGAGCTGGGCGTGATATCGAATTAGAAACCACTGCTTAATCAAAACTACTTAATTTATAGTGAAATAAGTATAAGGTTGAAATTATACATTGGTACGTTATAATAATAAGGCACAATAGATTTTAGTTCTAGGCACAGACTTACACTAAATGGAAGAAGATTGTTCTGGTAGTATATATAGGTCAGTGGTTCCAGACCTTCTTCCCCAGGTAAAACAAAAACCCCCGTATATTTACAAGCGTCTCTTACAACTTCGCATACATGTCTTTTAACTAAATTTAAACATCTTTTTTTATTAATTTCATCTCGAAAGTCCGACTCTCAAAACAAACGAGTTTCACTTTCTCTCCGCCCGGGTGTGCGACGCCTTCAAGTACGATCATCTTTCGGAACAGTTTTTAAAAGCGTTTCACAACAAATCAATTTCTTTCGCAGATCCCGACATTCATCCTCCATCAACTTCCTTTTGTTGTTATTACTTGACATCCGGTTTCTCACCGTGCGTAGCTCCTTTTTCAACTTCTTCATATCTCGTCTTTTTTGTTCAATAGTCCTCCGCAGAATTCGTTCTTGGTTAAGGCCCTCCATGCGGCTCTCCTCAAATTCTGAAAAGTAAGCATGCCATACAGTGTGTCCCAAAAACGTGACACTATAGAAATTATCCTATTGTTTTATATTCTATGCCTGAGCGCTACGCTAAATCAACAGATGCATGCATAGACATCAGCTTCTTGAATATTAAATAGCAGTCCACTAACAATAAAATCATGGCTCAACTGGCAAAACAGAGTCTTTGTAGTATAATTCCATTAAATTCCCTTGTGCGTAATCACGCGCGTTTAAATTCCCTTGTGCGTAATCACGAGGTTTAAAAACACTGTGATAATTGCTATAGTGTCACTTTTTTTGGGACACACTGTAGATCACCTTTCTCTAATAAACGCCTTTCTGTAATAAACGCCTATTTCTAATAAACTCCTGTCTCTAGTAAACGCCTTTTTCTAATAAACGCCTCCCTAACAATCGATCTCTTATTCGCGGTTTATTGACTTGTTTTGAGGCAAAAATAAGCACGAAGCTTATCGTTACCATTGACGCTTACTTGTTATTGATTCTGTAATCTGCTGTATTCGCTTCAAGTGTCCATCTTTTGTTCTTGTTATGACGTCACTAAGGTTTGGCAACACTCCAGCTTCTTTCATGACTTCCATCAGTTTTAATTGGTCAGAATCTGAAACACGGTTAACAATCACTACATAAAGTAGTCGACAAATCGAGCATGGAGATTTTCTCAATCGGTTTTGGTTGAATATGAGATCCGAATAAACAAATCCCTGTTTATAAGCATACAGACACGAGTACCATATCTCGAGTTTCTCATGATAAAAATATTGGGAAAGTTGCCACGCTACTAGCTGTTTGTCCGGGTTCGTATGTTATTTTGGAGCATTTATGAATTTTTAAGAAAAGCATGCAAAAAATTAACGTTAAATCATAGACAGACCTTCTTTAGTTTGATCTTCGTTATTATTATTAGTGGCGATAGTGTTCTCGTCGTTGTCATCCTGTCAAAACAGAAGCTGCAAGTTAGTGAAAGTACTGAAAAAAACAATCCCAAATAAAAATGGTTGATCTCCACTTGACTCGCCTTGCACGAGCGCATTTTATACGCTGTAATGTAATCATATTTTTGCGAATTTAAATGCTAAAGACTAGAAAATGAAAATTTTGGAGTATTTCATAATATTTTCAAAATATACGGTCAGAGATTTGCAAAATGAATACTTCATGTAGCTACCCCGGAACACGTGCACATCCCCAAGTCATCTTCATCATCTTCATCATGTTTAATTTCTTCTTCTGTCGCTAGTCTTTGCAAAGCGATATTTTGTTGCTCTAATGGAGTCGAAGCATGTTCACCGAAACAGTTGAGTATCGAGGAAGAGTGACTGGACGTCTCGTCATCCTGAAAATATCCGCATTAAAATAGCTATATTAACCACGCTTGCATGCTCTTGTCAGCTACCTCTGTAGCTCAATGGCAAGAGCACCGGCTAGAATTTGAAGTGTGTATAATTCCACTCGAAAAAGACCCTTAAACCTCTAGAATTTCCCAGCATCGAGTGAAGTGCTAAAAATCATAACTGATTTTAAAATAGCTATAACCTATTTTGGCGGGAAAATTTTAAGGACTTCCGTTTTGGCGGGAGAATTTAACTTGAACGGCGGGAAACGTTCGGACTAGAAACCCGTCTGTGACTGATTCACAGCAGACGAAACTTTCCGTCTTACATGATTTTTCTGTCTATACTGAGACGGGTTTCCCGTCTGTAATATAGCTGAATCGGTTATTAAGCTATAGCTACCTCTGAATCGAGAAGGAAAATATTCTCAACATCAACATTGTCCAACTCGTCGGTTTCATTCGATTTGCTGCTCTTCTCGGAGTCCTTGCTCGGACTAATTATTTGCTGTGAGCGTAATGACGATTTCTCCAAATCGCCTTCATTTCCACGACAAAACATACTCAACGACGCCATCGTACTGTAATAAGTCGACCTTCTCTCGGACCTACGTTTTTTCGAATCCTCGTTTATCACCATGTTACTTCGGTACTCGCTGTTGTTCAGAAACACTCCACAACCCCGGAGAAAGGAGCCCCTCAAAGCGTTAGCGACATGGACGAGTCCATGACGCTCTGCGTTATCCAGGGGCCCGATGTTTAACTTATTTACAATCATACTATCGGCACCCATGTCCATGAGTTGTTCTATCATCGTAACTGACTTGCAGCCAGAGGCGAGGAGATTAAGAACCGTATCGCCCGAACCGTTTTGGGCATTTAGACACGCGAGTTTTTCGTTATATGGAAGTTTTTTAACCTCCGACAGCATACTAAGAAGGACGTTTTCATACAGTTTGTAACATTTATTTTGTAAAATACAACCTGCTGCTAGGTGGAGTGGTGTTTCTTGTCTATGATTGCCCATCGCCAGACAATCCCGAAAATATGGCAGCAGAGTTTCAAACCTTTGCATGGACCATCGTCCGCTTTTGGTCGCGGTAAGGTCAGGTAGAGTGACTAAAGCTCGGTGGACACAGGTCTCCTTGGTCTCTTTAGTTTGGACAGTCGGACTGAACCCTAAAGGCAGAAACAACATGTAAGATGGAATCCACACCAGAATTGAGCTTTCCAACACACAGAAAAATTAGACTTAAAATTAAAATTAAAATTAAAAAATCGAGACAAGAAAATTACACTGACAAAATTAAGTATAAAACTTTATCTTTAAATTAAAATGCCAACTCCTTTATGCCTGGTTTCCATTTATTTGTGAGTGTACTATGAACATGTCAAGGTGGCTGATGTGATAGAATATTTCTATGTGTGTGCCATCATCACCAATGACTGATTAGAAAACAGAAAAAAAGACATTTACATCCTGACTATTTCTCATGGGTGAAAATGACTTGTTGACAACAATCACTAAATGGAAATCAGGCGTTAGTAAGAGCTGGTTTCCACAAAGGGCATGATGGATTAAAACATTATGGTTTAATGCATCATGGATTAATACATGATAGATTAAAACATGATGGATTGGAGGCTTTCTTTACTCCTCAATTGCCAATAACTTTGTTGTGCATGGGTCCCCTTCTCAACCTATTGCTTAAAGATAATTCACACTTGTAACTGATAAGCATTTCTTTGTACCCGCTGTATTACAACATTTCTTACACTGTCAATAGCCAATCAATTATCCTGGATCCTCTCTAGAGGATTGTGGGCTTGTGTGAACAACATTGGGATATTAGTTAACAATTCCTATTATCTTATATTGCAATAGTAACTAATTACGTTCTATCCATATTTTTTTTGTACATGTAATCATCACTAAATCTTGCAAGGTACTAGTAGAGATCAGGGGTACACATGAGAACAATGGCAGGACGACAATTCAGGACGACCCATAATGTATTCATATGAGTGCGGATAGATATTTTACACAAGAGGTTAATTTTGACTTGAGGTTTACAAGTGAATACCCAGATTAGCCCAAAGTACTGTACTGAAATTGATTAGCTCAGGGTACCGAAATGAAAAAGTTAGAACTGATTATAAAAATAAGGTCTTTGGACAGTTGCCTCTTTACATTTAGAATTCATGTTGTTTTATATACAAACCCTGGTCAAGTAACCAGCGAACTGTGCGTATTTTACCCAGTACACATGCCCAGTGCAGTAAAGGGAATCGAAATTCGACATTCTCCTCCATAATATCGGTGTTTATGTCCCAGCCTTTCAACCTGTGCTTATCTATCACGCTCTTCAGCAGTTCGTGATCTTCGGAAAAGCGAGGGCATATCGTCTCCGATTCCCTCGTGTTTAAAAGAGTGACCAATAACTCGTGATGTTTATAGCCCTTGTCGCAGGGACGACAAAAAGGCGTGCATTTAATAGACATTTTGCTTTTTATGAACCTAGAAAACTTGCATTACTCCGACGCTCTCGTAATTGTTCCATCCAAACAGTGTTTCCAAACCATGAGAAATAGGCATGCGATGTAAAGATTTCCCAGTCGAAACATTCGCTTGTTGATTCCTCAATTTCAGGAGTTTCTTGCTCAAATTATTGCAAATTCCAAATTTTGAAGGCGTATTTTTTGAAATATAAAGATGTGCTATGACCGGTTTAGTATTATCAATCTTGCTTATTATAGGCTTAAATGCTTATTATCTCAGGCAAGAATCAGGAAACTTGTTATATCCAAAATTCACTTGATACCATTCTTGATAAGTAAGATTTCCTTGATATGTGTTCACAAATTTCTAAAAATAGAATTTGAGCAGATTTCCCACAAACCAGAGACTGCTGTTCGATAGTCAACATTTGAAAGCCTGGGTACGAGGTTGATGTTGGATGGTAGGACCGGGTAGGTAGGACCAGTGAACTGGTAGGACCCATTACCTCTGTCACTCATCACTGAAGTGCGGGGTTGAGTAACTGGTGATTGCTACTATGTTGACCAGATGTAGTCTCTCATCCCTTGATAGAAAGATATACCTTTTTAACCTTCCACGGAGGCATGTAAAAGCATCCAGAAAACTTGCTGCATCAGCAACTGGGTATTGTGTCAACCTTGTCAGGTAAAACATACTTAGTGCATTAGTTTGGAGTTTAGAGTTAATAAGTTAGTTCCATGATTCAAAAATAGATAATTAATGTGCAGATGATGTAGTCATTAAAGAGTGGCCTCAAATTGATGTAATATCTTTAGGCAATATGATTTTGAAAATTACCTTTGCTGTCTTTTGGTTAACAAGCAGAGACGTCCAGCCATATTTGCCATCAGGGCTTTCAATGTAGAGATAGCAAAAGTAAGTGCAGTCAATTTAAATTAGCTCTTCTATTATAATTCTTTTGTGATATTGAGGAAATTTAGGTTTATTTCAAGATTATTAATTTTATCAGATATGTGATTCTACTACTGTTGAAACAATTGGTAAAATGAAGATACAATTCTGGAGAGATACTCTAGATAGTATTTTTACAAAGGTAATGCTTTAGAAAGATTTGGAAACTATATGTCATTTAGTGGGAATGATCATGTCAGTTTTTTAATTGATTGACTGGTTTATTTGTGTAATTTTCTGGTGAAGATTTCAAAATAAAATTGATACAAAATGGTTTAAATTAATGTCCTTTTTGTTTTTTAAGGGAAATTGCCCTGATCACCCTGTTTCAAAAATGCTTCAAAATGTAGGTAACTACAGTTATACATTTTAATTTATCTTTCAGTGCCGTAATTGAAAAGATAATCTAAATGCTATTTCCTACCTACCACCTACAATAACATGCAATGACTAGTATTATAAAATTAATGTCATAATTTTTTTTGTAATTATTTAGTTTATATTGTCTGTTGTTTAGGCTGTTGAAGATTATAATCTGTCAAAACATTGGTTCACCAGAATACTAGATGGTCGGGTAAGGATTGTCATAAAATAGGTTTAGATTGTGCAAAATTTTATGTTTTGAACTAAAAATAGCAGGTGTTAGTAATGAAAATCGATTTGACTCTTGAAAATTTAAATTACTATATATGCATTGCTTTAATTTATTTTTTAATCACTATACAAAATATCTTTTGTTTTAGGAGGAAAATTTACATGACAATCCATTTAGTAACATTGAAGATCTTGAAAATTATGCAGAAAAAACAATTTCCTCAATTTTGTATTTGACACTTGAAGGATTAGGTAGGCATGGCTTTTGAGAAATGCTGTTAGAAATATACCATTGTCCATACTGCCAGAATTTGAGCCTTTTTCTTGCAAACATCAATTAACTGTTTTGCCCTGCTCACCTACTAGGTGTGAAAGATACGAATGCAGATCATTGCGCAAGTCATTTAGGAAAGGCCATTGGTATCGTGACTTTATTACGTTCAACGCTATATCATGCAAAGTCAAGACGAGTGTTGTGGCCAAGCGATGTCCTAATACAGGTGTGTAATACCAGAGTACGTTATACTTCTCGACCTTGGTAGTAAAAGTCGAATATACCAGAATATGATTAGCCTGTGCACTGACGGATAAAATAGTAAAGGTCGAATGTAACAGAATGTAGTATATTCGACCTGGTAACCTAGTATATCTCGACCTTGGTAATAAAAATTAGTTAAGGTCGAATATACCGAAATATGTATGTTGTATTTGACCTTGGTAATAAAAAAATAGAGAGCCAAACATGCTGGAAACTTTACATTGGACAAGCATTTGACCATTAAACAGCGTGGTTATCCATTTCAAAAAATTTGACATCATAACCAAAGCATTGTTATATAGTTTAATGTTTGTATATGAGCGCCAAACATGCTGGAAACTTTACATAGAACAAGCATTTGACCATTACAACAACGTGGTTATCCATTTCAAAATATTTGACATCATAACCAAAGCATGGTTATATTGTTCAATGTTTGTATATGAGCACGAAGCATGCTGGAAACTTTACATGGGACAAGCATTTGACCATTAAAACAGCGTGGTTATCCATTTCAAAATATTTGACATCATAACCAAAGCATGGTTATATAGTTTAATGTTTGTATATGAGCGCCAAACATGCTGGAAACTTTACATAGGACAAGCATTTGACCGTTAAAACAGCGTGGTTATCCATTTAAAAAAATTTGACATCATAACCAAAGCATGGCTATATTGTTTAATGTTTGTATATGAGCGCCATGCAAACATGCTGGAAACTTTACAAAGTATCTACTTTTTCCGAAGAATCCTTAAATTGGAAAACATTAATTTGCGGTCATTTCAGTGGCCTATGTATATTTCAAAATTTTCCCGGACTCTCCTAGCAGGTGCGGGGTTCCGAGCCCCAGTAATACGAAAAACGCGTGGAGACAAAAAAGTAGTGTCTAGTGAACGTCGAATATACTGCGGAATATGGTATACTCGACCATGGCCGAATATTTAAGGGTTAGAGGCTGTTGTGAGTTTTTATTTCACAAATAAACGCACGCGCTGACCATACAATGAACGAGAAAAGTTCGAATATACCGGAATATGGTATACTCGGACCTGGCATGGTGATGAAAAATTAGTGATGGTCGAATATGCTAAAATATGCTTATTATGATACTATACTCGACCGTAATAATAAAAACTGTTAAAGTCGAATGTAACGCAATATCGTATACTCGTCCTTGGTAATAAAAAATAATTTAGTGATAGTAGTAATAATTTTTCAATTTGGAGATTAGAATTTACACCGTCGCCTAAAATTGGCTAAAGACAACTCTATTTTTGTAGCAACAACTTTCTCAAGAAGATGTTCTTCGTGGCAAGAATCTTCCCGCAATCAAAGAAGCCACATATCAGTTGGCCAGTCGAGCGCATGTGCATCTAAATAAAGTATGATATTTTCGACTAAAGCATGCATCTGATCTTTTAATAGTAATGAACGACTGGCCGTCTATCAAGGTCACAACAACATTAAAGTACGAAACATTTTAGGTGGCGAATTTTTCCCGTTAAATTTGATTTTTGCCTATTATGCCGACATTAAAAGCGTTAACCATTGCATTCGATTGAGAAAACTCCTGTGCTTTAGGCTAGAGCACTCAGTAGTGGTGTTCCAAAATTGGGATTTCGAAGTTTTCTTCCAGCGGTAAGTATATAATTTTCCACCAATGATATTTATGTATAATCAATTTCATCCAATGAGGGAGCAGCGCTGCTTTTTGAACTTTCTGGATATTAATAAATAGTCAAAGCCCTGGACCGAAGGCTTTAACTTGCAATGTTGAGAATGCAAAATCATGCTACTTGACAAAGCTAACTTTTGCCTTGTAGGTATCATGCAACAGTTTCTTGGAAAGCTTACAGCAAGCGGACTTTGAAATATTCGATTCCAAACTACAACAAAGAAACAATCTTCTTCCAATATTACTTCTTCGAGCAATGTGGAGGGGAACGTTCTAAAAAGGTACGTTTTTTAAGTTTCAATTATCTAATCAATCCTTTCGAGAAAAGTGTGCACCTGTATGCGCCCGTTTGTCCGAGCGCCCGATTGGGGATCAGGTATCTTAGAGTATATACAGTAATATACTGTTCTGAATATCTGATCGGGCCGAATTAGTAAAATCTACCACACATCATGTATGCTGAGTGTTACATGAAGTACTTCATATTATCACAATCTATTACCATAAGCGACTATGAAATTCTTTATTCAAAACACAAGCATGGCACATATATAGCTAACGCTTTGTCTATTACACTGAACTCTACTCTATAAAAATTTACACATACTAAAAACGCATGGTCCCGTACGATCTTGCTTGCGCGATTTACTGATGAAAAAACGAGCGACAAGTTTAAAGTAAAATCTATGATACAAATAATAAAATTTACAAGCTGCGTGGTTGTCTATTTCGGCCGAAAGATATTTGATTTGTCAATATACGCTCTTCTGGGATTTGCGACGCCATCTTGTTTTGGCAATTACAGTAGCTACTTCCTTACATTCTGCTATAACTCTGGCTAAAATTTTTTATATTATGTTTTTCTCACTTCTCCATTACAAGTTCTGCTAACGACCGAAGTGTTGATCAGCATTTTATGAGGAATTTTCTCAAAGTACGCATCATAGAATAACCTCAAAATTTTCAAGAGCCGAAGTTATATGAAATGAAGAGAATGATAATTACAGTTTTGTCGAGGATCTTTTTCGTTCGTTGAAGATTTATGTGCTCTGAGCAGCTGGTAAGAGAAGGAGAGTGAAACTACTGTAGTATAAATAATTAGGTGCTGCTCGGCCATTTTGACTACTGTATTTAGGTTTGTCCTATGAAAAAATAATGGCATTAACGCATTAAAAATATTTTCACGCTAAACAAAACCCGCGTCGCGAACCCCGAACAGCTTCTACGGTATAAAATAGGCAAATTCTATTTACATGCAAGTCGAATTTCCATCCAACCCTAAATTACCGTCATCTATAAGCAAATGACTTCACCCCCTCCAATCACCACACAGTCTGTGGTTTCAGCTCGGGATTTTGAAAATGATTTTGAGCAAATTTCCTTGTCCAGTCCCGAGCGACTATATTAAAATATCCATTGTCCTCCACATACATCCTGCCTACTGTGTGCTCCATGCACACGTGACAGTAAGGGTCGGTTAAAAGGGATTGGATACTAACCAACACCTTCGGTATGGTTAGCGCCAGGCTCCAATTGGCTCTTAGGCAATCAATCCCAATATCCCCATGGCGGTTTATGTTCGGGTGTAGAATTCGCGTTAGAAATCGGACGCGCGGAGGCATCATGGGGTAGCTTCGTGGCAACTCTAAATGAAGGTAAAAAACGCCATTTTCGTACACCGAGTCGGGCGGTCCCGCAATCGAGGCTTGCCAATTCGAGTACTCGTCGTCGATCGGACAGGCCCGGATCCCGTCGGGCGGATCGACCAATAGCTGCTTGAGTTCGCTGCGTAATCGTTTGTTTCTCCACGAGTTCGGCACGTCGTCTGCCACAACTCTCTAAATTTTAAGAAAAAATGTTGATAACTGCAGTGAAACACGCAAATTTATGGCTCAAGATGAATAAAATTTGTCAAATTTTGCGCGCTGGTCCTCGAAAAGACCCGATTTTTCGACAGTTAAGCGATAAAAGACCATCGATATAAATAAAACCTGGATACGAAGATTAGATACTTTACTGAAATATATATAGACCAGTGCCAGGGCACAGCCAATCAGAACACAGAACAATGCAAAATTTGATCGAGAGCGGGAAAAATTCTTTCATTTCAATTTTCAACCAACAAGAGGCGTGTATTGTAGCACAAAATCAAGGCTTGTAGGGTTTATTATCCAGGTAAAGTTTATCTTCGCATTTCCTAAGACTAAACGTTATAGTATATACGTGTTGAGCAGGCTAAGTTTGCATTGCAGCCTCGTAATGTCTAATGTTTCAAACTTGTTTGATATTCGTCATTCGAACCTAACTCATACAAGTGCAAACGATCTTGGTTTTTTAGATTTGTATAAAGATCTTTCATGCTCCATTGTCAGAGCTTTTGTCAGAGCTTTTGTCAGAGCTGTTATGGTCCAACATGTCTACAATATGAGGCTTGCCATCAAAGTTTGAAGTAGGCATGAATTGCACAACCTTCACTGGTTTCAATTGTTTGTTGGATATCATATGATATGGAGAATGAGTTGCAATTACAACCAAACAATTACAGTTAAATCTATGGATTTGGCAAAATGGCCTAGCTCTTACCCTCACAAATCCTTCTTCAAGACAAGGAACACATGTTGAGGATTCCACCCTGGTGAATATTAAAGTAAGAATTATTTACCTGAAATAAAGTGTGTTTTCAGTAGTTTTTATGCAACATTATTATGCGACACAAGAAAGGGGACAGCTAGGTTATTTATTGTGCTAAAATTGCAAAAAAGTACCAACGTAATGAGCCTTTAAAATAATTAAGCCTTTGTCATGACCATCCCATATTTATAGGGTGCTTTTAAAAGGTTGAAATTATAATAACATGTGAAAAGCAATTTTTAAGAATCAGCAGACCATTAAAATTAATAAATTTAACTTAAAATTAAACAAATGTTGCCTAATTAACAAATCCTTAAAAAATATCCAAAAATTGGTGGCTGATTTTTCATCATATGAAAGGCTAATTAACCTATAAACTAGCCAGCATTGCCAAGATATTGCACTGTTGTGAGTTGCCCAATGCACACATTCATAGTCATTGCATGAATTTGATGGGTTTCTTAGTAGCATATCAGCATAGCAATTGTTTGCTTTTAGTTAATTAAGCTAAAGAAACAGGCAAAAAAAGAGAAGTATTGGCCTTAAGCTAATGTTCTGCCTTTTACTAATGACTTACATTTTGACATAGAGATCTCTCCAGCATTCAACAACCCCAACAGGGAGAAACAATGGCCATTTCTTTTCAAACAAAACACTCCAATTTTCCATCCCTTCAGTAAGCATTTTCCATCTTTTGCATACTTGGGCTGCTTTGCACAATCCAATTTCATCCAAATACAAGAAAATGCGGAGTAAAACTAGCAGTTGAAAAATTATAGAATTCATAGTTAATCACAGTAATTTTTATATGTATATCACTTGTTTTTTCTCACTTCACACTCAAATTGGCAGGACAAGTATGGCAATTTGGGCCCATTAAACAACACAAATAAACCTGATCAAGTACATTTAGGCTGTCTAAATCAGACCTTGTTCACCTACTGAATTGCCATCAGTGCAAACCTATTTTGACTCAACTGAATATTTCAGATTTGTCAAATATCAGATCTGTCAGATGTTGTTCAAACAGGAATATAGTACAGTTTACTAGCTTGTACTATACTTTTTTTGACATATGTAGTACATATGACTGAAATAGGCAATTACATCTATAAGGTGATGTTCTAAAAGTGTTAACACTATTAAATATAACTGCTTTAGAACTGCGAAATCCACATGAATTACTAGAATCTCTAAATGAGCTAAAAAGGATTCCATATGCAAGCATACTGTGTTGCTTAATATGCTAATTTTCAGGCAGCTATTTTGAAAGGCTTCCATATGGTTGGTTTTCACCTCCTATGGTTGGTTTTCACCTGGTTTTTTAGCACATGGCTGACCTGACTCCTATGTATTCTTCTATAACTGGAATCGTGCATGCATCACATTGAATAATTGCATGTGACACATGACCTATTCGTTCTTCCTAGCAGATAGCGATTCAGAAGTTGTACTAGATTCTGGAGATCTGCATGGTAATGCTCAGACTTGATCATCACAATGAATCTGGAACTGTTTTGGGATAATTCTCAGTCATACTCCAGAAACAGTTCCTTGATGCGCTGAATATAACCTCGCTATCTCCAGCTCTCTGCCACAACTTTGGAATGGTCATAAAAGCAATTACCCTCTGTTGGCATTAGTTCAACAAAATCATCTGTGATCGTTGATTTAACATCTTCGAGGCACGTTGCATTATCCTGAATCACATCTTTGTCGTAAATAGCCATTTGTGCAAGACCTAACAGTTCGTCGTCTTCATCTTCTTCACCCTCGGAATCCGAGAAACACAGTATCGTTCGCTGTCTCGCCATTTGCTCAGCTGACGAGCATTGAGCAGTGTTTACACTTTCATTTCTGAACGTCCCGTCTTTACCGCAGCGATGCCGTGGCTTGCAGGTAGGCCAACCTGGACGCCTGTATTGACTGTAAGGTATATATTTCTCCTTATCCTTAGATTTGCTCCGAATTTCGTCAAATTCTCTTTGTAAGATCGTGTATTCCGGATACATAAACGAATGACAGCGCCTGCACAATGGCCCGTGCGAAGGGCTTCGTAACACGATATCACATACAACGCAGACTTGTGAGACTTCGTCGTACACCAGGTAATCTTCTATATCCGATTCTGCATCCTCGTTTTCATCGCTTTCCGTTATTTCGTCCTCGTCCGGGGGCAATGGTGTCCTACAGGCTTGCAAAAACAACTCTTCGCCTTCCATTTTCGAGTCGAACAACAAACAATGTTTCCACTTCGAATACCGGTATTTCTGGTTTTGTACACAAGTTTCTGAGAGTGTAGTAAAAGAAAGAACAGTGTACATTTTTGCTTATATCTTGCCTAAATTCTCTCCCTTAGAATAACTCCGTGCTAATTGCCATCATTGTACAGTGGTAAAAATTTGCTAAAAAAACTAAAAACTATGTTAAAACCGGCAGCCTTGATCCTTGCAGAGTTACACTACATTATATAATCGTTTCCTTTGTGATCAATCTTGTTTATGCTAATTCTAAACATCTCTCAATATCGCAATACGAACAATTAATGTCGAACAGTCTAGTAACATGTTATATTGTTATTTTGTTTCTCGTGACGTTTCGAGCTCTTGTTTTTTTGGAAGTATTTTGTGACACACCGTTTTCGAGGATTTCGGTCGAGAAAGATCTGAACATGGCGTGTAAATTCACCATAATTTGCTACCACGACAGCATGTTGAAATGAATTTATGTAAAAACATGCAAATGCCTAATGTATATATTCAGGAAATCGAAAGACTAAAAAGAAAATGTTTTGAGATGGAGACGGAAGCACCTGTAAATTCTATTGTGGCCCGTTTGTCACTGGTCCTCAATAAGGAAATTCCAACTTCCAAGTATTCATTTCCGAGAAACCCGGTTGTTTTGTCAGAAAAAATTGATGATTTAATGATCAAGAAGTTTTCAGTTTTATTTTATTTTTTAAAACAGAGTTTCGATTTCACATTAGTCAACATTATTTGCTTTCCAAATGGCGGGGACAGTTCGTATTTCGCCGGACGAATTGGTCGACGTTTTAGCAAAATTAGCAAAGGACAATAATCTTCAAGTGTCAGTGAAACAGAGTTTAAAAGGAGGGGTTATTGCTGGAACCGGAGCTACGGTTGGAGGATTGCTTGGAGGTCCAATTGGCATCGGTGTTGGTGCCACGATTGGTAAGTTACGCACTTTTTAATATTCCACATAGAATGTAGTTCTTATCAACTTGAGAATTCTGCGTCGTTTGTTGTGAGCCTGTGGCAAAGGTACAACTATAATGATAATAACTTGTAATTGATACAAATAGGGGATACATTCGCATTGTATTGTTCTCGTACTACCTATGAATATAAAAGTCCCAGTTGGTGGCTCGTTCACGAATCAACTGTCACGAATTGTATTTGTAGTATTGTTTACAGTCGGTCACATGTACATTGTACAAAACGAATACACCTATAATAACCTTTTAGGCTGTACATAAACCTTTCCAACAAACATAACATCTACAAACTGGTATATAGATGATAAATTAGGTTTTCACTTTTGTTATTTGAAATATAAAATAAGTACTGCATAGCAAGGATCGAAAGTAAAATACGTGAATGTATTATCCCAAAATTGAGGGTTTGTAGACTTGAGTACACCCTTAAAGAAGACTGTGTTATGTCTGTTGAATTTGTATTTACTATTATCATTATATCTACGCAAAATTGTCAGAGTGGTTTTCCTATATTTTACTATCCTATTGTAATTTATTACATTAGTCACGGGGTCATGCTAAAATTCAATCTAAAAGCTAGCTATGAAGTTGACACCAAAAAGAAAATACAATATTACTGAACACTTTTCTTTGTGTATTCTAATTGGTATATATCATTTTTTCATTGAGGTGGCATGATTGGTGCATGGTCAACAAGTGGAACATTCAGGTCAGTGTACTCAATATTACAAGAACTAACTCCAATTGAGAAGGAGAAAATGCATCGATCCATCATGACAGCTATTGGAGATGTGGGCCTGTTGGATCTTGTTGCCTTTGCAGCACTGATAGCCACAGATCAAGTGTATAAACAGCAAATGCTTGGGGCTATGTTTGAATACTTTAAAAATGAATTTCAAATGGAAATTGTTGAGTAGTTTGTGGAAAATGTAAATTGCATGCATTAGTACTATAAATAGTATTTGTACATTTACTGGAAACTTTACCATATTCAGACATTCTGCTTTGCGATCTTATTCAAACCAGAATTTTCTTTCAATTAGGCATATATTAGTATTTGTAGTATGCTGAACTATTAGTGTAATACCGTTTATAAGAGAAATTATGCCATAGAAAAATATTTTTACAATCAATTGTTTATTGGTGTTTATGATTTGCATGTTTGGTCTACTCATAACAATTTTGGTTTACTGATTTAAAATAACATTTCAATAAAATGACTATAAATACTAATCTATAAATATTTCTCCAGCATTCTCTTGCTAAATCATAAGTCTGTTTGTTCTACTATAATTACAAACTATACATTTCAAATTTTTTTGCCATGTTTTTGAAAATCATTTTTTTAAACTAATATTTCCAGGCGATGAAGTTGACACTGACGAATAAATTACATTTGATCAAAGCTCATCATCGTCATTGTTTGAACTAAGCAAATTCATCTGATCCTCCCTACGAGATTTGCCAGGTCTTCGAGAAACAACAATTCTATCTGCAGATCTTCCACAAAACGTCACAAATAGCATTATGAAGTTGACTAACAGGCTTATGACAAGAAGAGCATCCATCCATGCATAGTTTTTGATCAAAAATCTAGAGAATATATGAAGTGATAAAATTCTAACTTCTAACGTCTGTGGCATGCTGTAAAGTACAGGAATTTACATAATTTGACACTTATTATGTATCTGTGTTAAAACGTTTGACATGAGCATCTCAAAATTGTTTTGTCCACACTTCTGTCTAAAATTGCAACCATAAACTATGCTATCAGGTATATAATGGTGTGAGAATGTACATTGATTTGTCTTTTAAATTTTGCATCAAAAGTTGTTATTTTTGGCTTGGTATTTTGTAGGCCAGGCAAGTTAATACACAGAAATACTGTACCAATGGCACTTAACATGAAACATGATTATAATTTACCTTTTGATTATTTCTTTAGTTGTTTCATTTCTTGAAGGCATTGAACAATTCCCAGCCATTGCTACAAAGAAGAAAGACTAGGTTTATCAGGGTTTAGGTATAAGTAATGTGCATCCAGCTATTTTTTCACTTACAGCTATTGCAAATGGGCAAGATGACTTCTGTGGCATTTATTTTATCACATGACATTCCACTGCATCTTTGTTGTGAACATGATGGTCCACTCCATGGATCTTTGCATATGCATTGGCCTTTGCTTCCACATTCACCATGTCCATTGCAGTCAGGTGGGCTGCACACTTTGTCATGAACACACAGTATTGTACTCACTTTCCTTGCACAGAGATAACCATTACTATGTGATGAAAATATATGTTACAGGCTAGCTTACTGCTCATTTTTGAGATTTTCTGTGCAGCTGAAAATTATTCTGAATAATCACTTCGTACATCTCCCTCCCCAATGTCTGGATTAGGACTTACCATTGGTCGGATGGATAATTGATGAGCATGCCATTCTCAACAAATGTTGTTGAACCTCCTCCATCAAGATTGATTGCATTCACCAAACCATAAGACTTCAAGATTTTGCCAAAATCATAAAGAGTCAGTCTATAAAGAAAGTGTTTTTAAAATACTCATGACTAATGGAATATTGTGCACCTATTCATTGCCTCAAGCAACATACAGCTTTCTGGTTGGTGATTGGAGACTTAACCTAACCTTTAACTTCCCCAAATTAGCATGCTTTTAAATGTATTTGACTTTAACTTCCCCAAATTAGCATGCTTATAAATCCTTATAAATATAAGTTTGACTAATGTAAATACTAGATGAAGGTAGACATTGCCCCAAAAAAATTAATTTGCTCTGTTTTCTGAAAGATGTCTGGAGTCAGGACCCTTATAATCCCCTGGATGGCCCCGCCTTGTAAATTAGTCTCGAATTTATATTACACAAATTTCATGTCTACGATGGTTACTTCGTCTGTTAAGAGCATCATTTGGACACACTTGATTTCAGACGTTTAATTTGTCTAGAGTTTTGTCCCACCATTTTATCTTATTCATGAGACAACTTTAATTCCCTACATCTTAAAGGTCTGCCCTACAGGTGTATCAAGATTAATCAATGAATTTGTTAAATCACCCTCTGTGATGTGTTTTTCCATCAACTTGTACAATAATCACTCGTCCTTTCTTATCATGTCCCACAGCTGTTCTGCCTGATAAAACTTCTGCAAACTGCTTGAGTGTGCCAGTCTCCTCTGTATCTTGGCATTCTGCCTTGATACTCTCATTGACATACAACTTTCCATTTCTTAATATCCAAATGACACCTGTCACCAGCTGGTAATACTCTGAAGCACCATTCCCAGGGGTTACATCATGTTCAGACAGATAACCCACAACAAGACTGCCATTTTTGAGTATCCCAAAGTTGGCATTTTGCATGCCTTTTGCATCCCTGACAAGCTTTCCATTACTAACGATATTACCCAAGCAACTGCCATCGCGTGTATTGAAGAAACCAGCATTCACTGAAAACCGACAATTCATTTGCTCTGATGTTCTGGCCACAGTTGATCGTAGATTTCCCGCACATCCTCCTGGCTTCTGGGGTTCAAGGACAGATAAACTTTCAAATGGATTTGAGATTGTAACAATATGTCCATTCACATAATTATCTCCCTTCGATGTCTTCACCTTTTTAAAGAATGAATTGAACACGTATGGAGTCTTCTTTTGCTTTGTTTTTTTCGCAACAGAGTAAGTTTCGAATGTCGTGTTTCCGTATAAAATCGGCTGACAATCCCTCACGTGACGATGATGGTCAAATTTGCGAATTTTCGATGTAATTTCTCGACGATTTCTGTACGAAGCTAACAGCACATCCAAGGGATCTTCTTCCATTTGCAAAGTCCGCTGAAAATGCAATGAAATCAATAAAACCCAAAGCATCTTTCCTTGAAATAACCTGTCCCAAACTCTCAAAGACGTCGCCATATTGATTTACATAGTTACACTTACACGGGCAGGCGGGTTAAATGATGATGACGGCAAGGTCGACGGGCCTGCATATCAATACTTCGCAGAACAATATGCAACGTGTTTGAATCTGACATTGCACAGATCAATGTTTAAAAACTCCTATACCAAAAGCAAAATGCCAAAAGACCTTTCCTCCCTACCTTTTGAGCGCGCAATGCGAAATCTAGCAGGTCAAAGTGACTTTCATAATCATTACTTGGGGAAAGGTTTACCGAGAGATGACTGGCGACGCTCATTCTTTCAGTTTGATATTTTTCGTTAAAAAAACGTAACAAGTTCCTTGTCTTGGTACGCGGGGATTTCCCTCAACACCACAACAGATCAAAATAACATAAACTACCTCACGCCATAACAACTACAGGGGGTCATCGAGGAAAAATTGGGGAGCGCGCTAATGGGGGGCAAATCAAAGTCCCGGATGTTCACTTATTCACGATGTCCGAGGCCAAAATATGTCGTTTTAAACGATTTTTTCTGATTCTAAATGTTTTTTCCCTACAATATCATTTCAGGATGTCTAAGGTAGTAAAACCAGTTCCAAAAAGCACTATTTTTCATTAAAAAACCGACAAAGCGATCTAAAAAACGAATATAATTTTTTAAATACAAATATTAGTTGTTGCTAAAGTGGTTGCTAAGGAGGCATTGATCTAGCCAATCAGCGCTTGGCTTGGCATCCGGGACTTGAATTTGCCCCCCATTATCGTGCTCCCTTTTTCGACTGATCATGTTTCCGATACCAAAGCCTCCTCTAGTGTTATTTATAATCTCTGTGATAACAACGACTTGTTATACTTGTGCAGCTCGAAAAGCGTATTCTCAAACTGTCGAAAATGTTCCTCCGGAAATTTCTTTTTCTCAGAGATCACCAATCTGTCGCACTTGGCTTCTGCTTGCTGCTCGTTAGTCAGCTAGTACTGGGCAATTGCAAAGTGGAACCCGGAACTGAACGAAGGCGATACGAAAGTGCATTCGAGAATCTCTTCAAGAAAGGAGGAGATGCTGTCGTGCAACTCGCTAATTTTCATATGGCAACTAAAGACATCAAGGATTTGCAACGTAATACGGGTGAAGCCATGACTTTAGTGAAAGCGAATGCAGATAAAGTCGCAATCGGTCTAGGGGTTGTTGCTTCGAGCTGGCTTTTGTACCAAAGCATCGTGCTTGGGAACGAAATCGAGATGTTTTTCGATGATATCGACGAGCTAAAGGGCCAGTTTCATTCCTACTACTTCATGAAGGTGCCTCGATTGGAGGAATTATACCATAAGGCCAGAGAAATTGCAGGGACTGATGATCCAGTGGGGCAGAGAGAATATTTCCGCACTCTCTACAAAGAGTTGATGAAATATCACCAAGAACTGGAAACAATCCTGGACAAAGTTGATGATATCATTACTGATATTAACAAAGGCTGTAATGACGCTGTCAAAAACTCTGCGTTGTCTGGCACTATTGCCGTGCTGGCAGGCATCGCCTTCGTAACAGGCGGTCCAGTTGCCCTATCGCCAGTGATGTGGAAAGGTGGTCTCGCGGTTACAATGGGATTTTCGGGAATTTCAGTTGGGTTGTCACTAAAGAATGCGCGAGACCTTCAGATGATATCCAAAAAACTGGTGATTCTCAAACTGGACCTGAGGAAGCTCAAAAACCACGTGATGTCTAAGATGATCGAGATAATCTCTTTCGTGTAAACAAATCATGATATCGGCCTTAGAAACAATCCATAGTCACTCAAGAATTGATTAATCATTAGTTGCTTGTTCTGCATGTCAAATAATGTGTGATTATATCATTAGGTATTTGTAGACCATTACAAAGTTGTAATTCATTGCAAGATTTCTGTGTTTTTCAATATAGAGTGCAGGGTTTTAAATTTTTTTATTAAAGAAAAAAGTTCCGGAGTTTACACCATCGTCGGGTTACAGATTATGTACATTCTTTAACTGAATATTTTTTTCGTTTTTGTAAAAAAAGAGTACAGGAATATAAGCGTTATATATTCAAACAATTGCGTGGCATTTCACATTATTCACTTGAACAGGAATGCACGCTTCTTTATCCAACTTCGGGTCGAAGTTGGATTTTGACCAGTTATCTGGGTGTAGTCGTTGAGATTCGTTTGGTCCGTAACGTTGCTGCGGGCGTCGATGAGACGATACAACTCCAAAATCGCTTTCGCTCTGTTCTTGGAGAAGTCGTGTGTCTGGAGGAAGGCTGTCGTGTCTTCGTAGGACGTGCGAACGTATCCAACATGGCGGCCAAGCGCCTCCCTGAAAAATTCCACTATTTCGTTGTAGGTGACACGATCACTTACTATGGTGTATATCTTCCCCGCGTGGCGCTGAGGGGATGCGAGGATTACAGCCGCTGCGGTTGAAGCGTCGCCCGTGACAACTCCGCTAAACGGTGCGTCTGGGTCCAACGGCCAATAAATTGTTGACATGTTTTTAATTGTATCTTGGTGGGCCAGGAGATTGGCAATCAGGATTGGCAAACGAAGGACGGTGTATGGGACATTGAGCTTCGAAATGGCGGTCTCAATCTTGCTGTACTGCTTGCCAAAAATGGTATCGGGCCTCTGTGCTGCGACAAGGCTGTATATCAAAATGTGTTTCGCGCCTGCCTCTTTGGCCGCTTCCGCTGTGGCAATGGTCAGTTCAGCTCGCATTCCCACGCCATAATCCGAGCTGATTATAAAAACTGAAGTGACATCTTTGAAGAGTTTCCTGAGTCGATCTTTCTTTCCTAATTCTGCTTGATAAACAGTCACTCCAGCAAGCGACCTCAAACTCTTAGCTTTGCCAGGAACTCGTACGCCGACTCGAATGTCCAACGTTTTACCATGCTTTGCGGACAATGCGTATATCGCCATTTTACCAAGGAATCCATCTGCACCAACCACAAATACAACAGGCTTCGCCTTTTCTGGTTCAGCGGTTGAAATTTGCCGGGCTAAAACGAAAGATCGTACGATTAAATGCAAGTCTTTTAGGGTAAATGCCAGCGCACTAAGTTAAGTGCTCATACTGCCTACCAACACATGGAACGTGAGTGAAGTTATCCCTTTAGCCGAGGAGTTATTATCAAAATAAATAACTACATCTAAAGTAAAACTCTTTGTCTAGACGATATCGCTTCATGCCGACGTGTTTGAATTATTTTGGAATGCCGAATCACTGACATCAACATATAATTTAAGTGAAGCACGCCTGGCTTTAATATGCAATTCTTTTAGCTGTGAGACGTAACTACATTTTTTTAAAATCTGTGTTTCGGTGACAGAAAAGTTCAATGTAGGCGTCAATATTGCTCCTGATTTAAAAGTGGCCCGTATGCAAACCGGCGAAGTCCAGAATTAACATATTTTCAAAAAAATTTATTGTAAAAGGAACCACATTGTCAACACCATAGTCAACACGGGATAACTATTAGAGGCTATGCGCACGATACAACAACTTGACAAAGAAAAACTAAGCATCGTAATAAGAATATTTTTCTAGGAATATATTTTACTTGAATCGTGAACGGTTGTTAATTCAATGTGAATGTGAAAGGCTTTACTGTTTTTGATCACTCGGAAATAGGCCGAATTCTTTCGTAAACGCGATTTGAAATGGGTAGAGTCATTAGGCGCCATCTCGGTTGATTTCACATAGTTTCCTTCTTCTCAAGAGAACATATATCGAGTTATTTCCCCGTTTTTTTTTTCAACTTAAAATTAAATGCGCACGATAAAACAGAGATTTTTTCCTTTATAATGTAGGAATAAAACATTACCAGATTATAGTAGAATACAAATTCTCCCTACCTATATACAGTAATAACTTATGTTGCCTATAGCAGCAAAAATCCTGAGTGTCAAAATCAAGCAAGCAAGTGCAGTATTGAGTTGTTTTTTTACGAGCGTTCATAAACTGTTCAAATGTTCATAAGCAACCAGTAAGCATAAAAGGGAAATTCACTTATATTTTTTTGCTCTTTTCCAGCAATCAATTCATCATGGGTTAGCCAATTAAATTGTCTGTTTGATACGATTTATGCTATAATATTGCGAGACGTCACCCTACGTCCCTATTTGTGACGCCCCCTTCAGTTGAAGTAGCTAGAATCACATCTTATCCTATAATGCTATTATACAACTATAACACGCCCATTTCCTGTTATGATTAAACACCTGAAACTTTCTGAATCCGTCTCGGTATGTATAAATGACTTAACTTGTATAAATAAACTGCATGGCTTACCATCACACGGCTAAACCTAAACCAACTCGAATCACGATAGCAGAATGAAATTGACAAATTACAAAAGCCGAGCTTGGCAGATGACTTACAAAGCATTCAGAAAACAATTACTTCTAACAATTGCGAGAAAAAGACTTGTTTACATCATGACATGCAATTAAACTCTTCATGGGGCGTTTTTGAAGTGTTTACTATAGCTATATGCTCTGGACATTTGAGAATTGTCTTGTCAAAAATATTTTGCATAGTGACATGTTGGTTTCCTTTTTTTTCCTTTATTCGCGTGTGCTAGATATTTTTAGCTCTCTCGCGTATACTGTTTCTTTGCATAAAGTAATATTAATAGTATTTTGTACTTGAACGGCAAAACGTTATATTTCAATAAAATCAGTTTTAGTACATAAATTGTTATTTTTGAAGTTCTGAATTATCCGTAATTTTATTAGTAAAAAATTACAATGTAGTTGTTTTCGTGGTAAGTGGATGATTGTTATATAACAATTATTATATCTCAACTTGGCTCATGGTGATTAGAAAACATTATCGCGATTAAACAAAAGTTCAAAAGTGGCTATTTTCAGTTATTTTAATTAACGAGATCATAATAAACAACATCCTCAAAACCCAAAATGCCATCTAAATAATCCACTATAATCCTCTTTTCGGGGTCAATTAATCCGTATTCCTATGTACGTATAATATCAAATATTCCATAATCCTACCTAAAAAGGCCTCTCCTGAATTACTGCGATCAAAAATTTTGTATTAAGACTTGCCTAAATCAACACGTTCAAAATTGAATCAATTTCAAAAGAGGTCCATTACTCTGCAAAGTTTCAAAATATGTCGGTCTCAAAATGGCGGTGATCTGCGTGTGGGAGGTATAATCTCCCTAATTAACTTCGGCGGAACACGCAAAAGAACGCTTCCTGCAAGCGCCTCGCAGTTTAAACAAGAAGAATTGCTTAACACATGCTACATACACACGAGAAATGACTTACTTTGCGATATCGTTGTGGTCAGAAGCGAAAACAAAAATATTCTAGAAAATTTTGCATGCACAATTAAACAAACAAAATATTATGCAGGCTATAGCCCCGTTTACACTACAGTCAATTTATCGGCAAGGCACGGCTAAAATTGGTACCTGTGCCCAGTTTTACTAGTGCTCAGGCTACCAAACAAAGGCCAGGCACGGATGAAATGGACAGGGGTACCCATTTTAGCCGTGCCGTGCCAATAAATCGAGTGTAGTGTAAAGGGGGCTTATCTAAATGCCTAGCCCAGGTTAACAACGGAATGAAAACTCTGACCACAAAATACATGTAATGTTTTCTACAAATCTATTGATTTATAAGCAAATTTGCGAACTGTTTTTCGTAGCTTTACGGCTGTTTTTTGTGATTCTCCTTCCAAGTTCCATTGAGTTTGATAATCAGCTATACCGTTACGCACTGCGCGCATGAAAGGTAATTAAAGAGTCTGTGTGAAAAATAACGGTTTAACGTAATGTATAAAACCGCGGCAAATATCGTCTGTCATTACACCGCGCACTCGGACGATTGTTTAAAATAGCGCGCGCAAATAATGAATTAAAGGTTTAAAGCGAAATACAAAGGCAGTTTTGATGTAGTAAGTATCGAGTTCTGCATTCAAGAGAATATAAAAATTTACCCCTAAGTTATTAACTAAAAAATTAAATTCTAAGGACGAATTTGCCAGACCGGATGAAAGAAATATTAAGGGGCTGTTTTTTATCACCTTCAAGGTCATTCTAAAAGGGGAACGCGATCTTTTTACGTTGTTATCACAGTGGTGGGCTGACTGAGCTTATGCATCCTAAAAAAATCGCTACGAGAAACACGTTTTGGAGGCGTTTTGCGGAATGGCCGTGAGATAAACGCTTTTACCGGGAATTGTGTGGCACACGTATATTATCGTGTTGCCAAGAAATACGAATGGGCACTGAAACTCAGTGATGATGATTGAAGGGTTCATCCTGATAGAATTTTTTCCCATTTTATAACTAACTATAGGCAAACGAATGAAGTTGCCGGTGATATTTGGATGTACAATGAAAGGGTTGAACATTTTACAAGGTGTAAAAGGAGTATTGTTTTTTTGATATGCAGAAAGGTCTAGAATGCGTGCATACATTCAGGTGTTGAAAAACGAATACCAAATATATTAGCAAAGCTTTTTTAAACATTTTTAACATTTTTCACGGAAACTACCCAGTGTGACTATATATGAATATTGTATAACCAAAATTGCTCAAAATTTAGTTAGACTGCAACTTTCTGGTATATAAATTTGGTAATTATTAAGATCAAGTGGGGCTGTCTGTGCATCCGACCGAATTTGGTAATAAAAATTACCAGATCTGGTCACACTGAAACTACGTAGTATACTAAAATGATATTTTTTGACCACAGAACATATAATTATATACTCCGGGTAGCCTCTCTCGTGTAGGCGAAGTAGTACTAAGTAAGACTTTATATGTAAAAGAAAGGTAAAATTGGTACTGAACATTTACAGACAAATTGCCACTAACTGTTGGTATTACCACAATTGGTACACGCCTATCCCAAAAATTGTATCACAGTGTTATTTGAATAATGCATGCAAACACAAGCTTTTATACTTACCACTATGCAAGGGATTCGTTTTTCCAAAACTTATCCATACCATGAACAAGCAAGAAAACTGGAGCATGAATTGAAGACCCATATCGTTCTAACCTCACACGGATGGATTGTCGTTGATGTTTACTTCTTCTGCGTACACGATCCGAACTGAAGAGTTGCATCGTCTGAATAGGTGTTTATATAACTCCCAGGCCAACTTATTTTCAAGGTCAGGTTACTCAAGTGTGTCCAAGGCCAAAATATGTTTAATTAATTGGAATTTTGGCACATCAACAATTCGTCGATCGTGCAAACCAACAGGGGGTATGCTTGTAGACTGCTACCCCACCACCATATTCCTTACCCGAACAACCGGGGACCCATGCTCCTGATGTGAGACACGCCATCATGAAACATTCGTAATATTTTTATCGTTATGACAGGGATATTTCATTGGTAAAATAAGCCAGACCTTTTCTGCTGCTCTTCGCCGCACTTTTGGAAAGCTCAAAAGCTTCCTATGCAACGTATAACCGCTTCCGATCAATCACGTCTGCATGAACTATATTACGCAAAGAAATACGTGATGTAGATCAACATAGGCAACAAAAGCCCTTACATGGCGAGATAATGCGCAAATAAATGCGTCAAAATATGCTGTCCTCCGCAACATGTTCCATGCGAGTGATGCGACATGTAAGGGCTACCAATCGGAAGAGTTAGTCCTATATAGCGGAATCAAGAGAGAGCGGGTGAGCTAGAGAGTCGCAGTGCAATTGAAATCGTGGTTTTCAGATTTGGCGAGTATACTATGGCTATGAACGTCTCAGACTATCATAGCTATACAGGCGTGCTAGGTGAATAAATCGTCTGTGTCCCTGGACGTTCTCATGAGCGAAACGGCTGCTAAACAATAAAATCCATGAACGTGCACAAAACAATTGAATATTTAAAGAAGTTCAAGAGAGACGCTGCGACGTTCCGCGATAACGTCAATTCCAACCTCCTAACGTCCTTTAGAAACGCCGACGCTTGACTTGATTAAGAGCTTGGTTACAGAAGAATAATCAATTTTATGTCAGAAAAAGCACACCAATTAAATCAACAGAATCCAACCCTATATTCATCTATGCAATCGTTGATTTAATAAGTATCATTGAATTATTTTAAACTTTTACGTGCGTATAAAGGCTATTCTCCATTACCGTCCGCTTCACTCGCGCGGGCGAAGCGGCTTTTGAAAATCTGCCCATGCGACCGTGACCGCCCGGAAAAACAAAGCGCGCTTCGCCCGCGCGGGCGGAGCGTGCGTAATGGAGAATCGCCTTAACGTATACGTAGAAAAATCGCCGCGACAGTGGAAAGCAGGCTTCACTGATCGATAGGAGTTTTCGAATTTGAAAGACTAATACTAAATTATTTTTCAGGAACGATTAACTTTTTCAAAGGTTCAGACGTTGACGTTTCGAAAGGCCAGAAACATACTCTCTTGAGCTTATTTAAATATTATAATAACTAAAGTCGCCATGCAATCATACAAGAAAATTATTATTTAAATATATTCATTTCTTTTGTGATGTAATGTGTACCAGCGGTTGCCAATGGCGTTAGTGTTGTGAAATCGTCCCTATTTTCAACGGACAATGGGTATAAGATACAGGAGCCTTATCGATTTTATCCCTTCTCCTCTCAATGCCAGGAAAAATATCATAACGATTAACAATGTCCAAAGTATAGGTTTAATCCATGTAAACACACTTTTATTAATGCTATAATTTCCAGTAAGCAATTCAAAATCTGTTACTTTGTTTAAGTTATAAGTTAAACGGTGCACGATAACAAACTCAAACACTTATCGAAAACGCAGTTTCTTTTACGCGTTAACCCAAAATTCTATAACAATATATGCAGTCAATTATAATATATTTAACGTATTTAGGACAAATAGCTAGTGTATATCCAAATAGTCAATATTTTGACAATATCTATATAGTTCTTTATAATTGTTACAATTAACTTAATTGTAATATTTAATGCATGTATGTAGGAACGAATAGCGTATTTAAATTATCCTGTTACTATATATTTGTTTTTAATAGAGTTACAATAAATATAATATAAAGAAAATATAAATATAAAGCATTCACTTCGGTGCAATTTTATATATTAGTTAATAAACCTTTAATAATGATAATAATAATACTAAAGGCTGCATGCTTTCCAGTTACGCGTTTTTTATACGCAGGTAAACACACGGAAAATTTGAAATGCTTCTAAATTTTTATGATCTAACATCGATGCAGGTCTACAAGTGCATATGCGAAAAACGAAGTTCTTTCGGTTTTTTCAAAGGTAACATATATAAGGATTTAGACTTTTACGTGCGTATGAAAAACGTGCATATTTTTCCAAGTTTGCGCAAATTGCCCAAGATGACGCAATTATTCACGTTAACTACTCCCAATTTCATCAATCAATGTATTTATTTCCCATATAGGAACAGGTTTGTTGCCATAGGAATTAATCAAATGCATTGATTTGTATGCTGTGTATTTCTCTCTAATCGATCGACCTGTAAAAACTGATAAAGACTAATATCAACTATTGGAAGGAAGAATAAATGTAAAATCCCCCCGTGTAATTTTGGGCAGTGTCGCAGCTCCTTGCAAGAATGATTTTCATTGGCTGGACTTTGCCAAATACATTTCCGTTTCAACCAATAACATAGCTTCGTTCTTTAGAAAGGCATAGAAAAGCTAATATCCAATTGGACGAAATCGTCCGAGAGCTGCGACGTGTCCCGCGTAATTTTATGTATAATCTCGCGAACTCGTTGAATTGAGAAGTTTTTCGTCAACCTACTTCAAAATTCCTACTTCATGCAATCAATCATTCATTTACTCAATCAATCAAATCGCTTTCAATTTATAAACACTGCAAACCTTTGGGCTTTGGCGTTACAATCCGTTTAAAAAACCAATGATAACAAATGATTATGGTACTGCATGTTTTACAAGTAATAATGAGATTGAGATAAAAGCCGCCAGATTGGAAAGAGTTGACGCGTGCACGTAATCCTACAAACAACCCTGAAAGCTTCCACTTAAGAGTCAATATTTACTGTCAACAAATTAAACACCAAGGAAACGCGTAACGGGCTTAGCCAATTAAACTGATGCATGCATACAAACACATTGCCATTGGTAAATATCTGAACGATATATATTCAAAAGCTGCAAGCACTTAGTCTGCAGCAGCTGGTTGTATAAAACTCTTTAACTACATTTTGCATAGTTAAATCCTAGTTAACTCAGAAATACATGCATGACGACCCGGATTTGCCAATTTTGCCCTTAACTACACTTAAAAGTTAACTAGTCAGTAAAATTAATTTTATACAACTGGCCGCATAACGGCAGATCCATACAGATATATTGATTTTACAATTTCGTCAAACGGCTTATACTAATATAATAGTAAAGCCCAGTTTACACTACACTCAATTTATTGGCACGGCACGGCTAAAATGGGTATACCCGTGCCCAATTTTACTAGTGCTCAGGCTACCAAAACAAAGGCCGGGCGCGGATGAAATGGGCACGGGTACCCATTTTAGCCGTGCCGTGCCAATAAATTGAGTATAGTGTAAAGGGGGCTTAAATGCAGATGTATAGACCCTATATGCAACGAGGACAAGTACATGCAAAATTGACAAATTCATCATAAAGAAGTAATTTATTGAAAATTTGAACACTAGAAACAAAGGAATATCAATCTGTCATGTTTGTGTGTAGTTAGGAACAGGTATAGTTAGAGAGTGTTATTTTTCGACCTTTTAGCAAAAAGAGTGCGTGTATTATAAAGCAATATAGTTTTGTCAATGACCGATCTTAATTTGCGTAGTAACCATGCATGTACAGATGTATTTTGCAAACATGGTTGAAAGATAAGATTAAGCCGATTAACTGTACATGTGGGTTGAACGAGGATATGCGTGCAGATCCTTGGCAGAGCTAAGGAGGGTAATGGGTGTAGAAAAAAGATATATAGTAATATACTTAACGTGAGTGATACTTAACTGAATCTTAACTGAAATGAGGCCTAATGAAAATGGCATATAAATTCTGAGATAACATGCATAGCTATATGAAACATTGTTTTGCAACGGACTTTAATAGTTGTTGGCGTCAAAATATATATTGGGTTTTTTTTAGGCACCGCAGGCATTCTTGCATGAATGGACTACTTTTGACCACTGCTGTGTTTTTTCTGTTTACATGCGGCGTGCAATTTTTTTTTCATTTTAACACTTATAAAGGTCCATAAACACATTCCCTGGCTGTAGTCGTTATACCATGCATATATACAAGTTTTCCAGTTGTTCAATAAAAAGGCTCGTTTTTATATAGGAGAAATACCATGAGAAAAACTATAATTTCGGCGAAAATGTTCTAGTCTTCTTAAGACCGGACATCGAGTTTTACTATACATGATCTTCGTATAGCTATAACTTTTTCCCGTCACTATATCGAAGATGATTAAGCCTGTATATCAGCACCGTCAATTAAATCTCCAAGTACTAAGAATTAGAATTGCATGTTTGTAATATATGACTTGGCCAGCTTGCCGACGTTTCAACTACTTGACCTCCATCCCCCCACTCGTGGATATAAGTCGATTACTATCAAAACCTCTTCGTTTGTTTATAGATGTTCTGCATACTTTAGCTGTTCTAGCCGTTCAAGAATTCAGTTGGAAAGTAAGACCTTAAAAGATTTTTTTCTTAAGAAAATGTCCAGTCAGCTTATAATAGATACTAAGCTTATAATAAATATAAGCTCTTGAAATATTAGAATAATGTAGCTTTGCATTAACAAAAGACTATATAGTATAATCTGCTGTCCCCTTTGATTCTTAATGAAAGAAAACACTAAAGTCTACATGTCTATACCATACATTTGCTATACTTTAAAGCCTGTATTCTGCTCTCGGACAAACCACGCGTTATCGACAATGGAAATTAGGGAAATAGTAAAATCTGTTTTTCACGCGCTTTGAAACATATATATAGCCACGTTTATCGCTTGTCAATTTCTTGTCGAATTTTGCAATATAACGCCAATTTTTGCCGTACGAAATTCCATATAATCTGATCAGAATTTTCCGATATCCGCCACATTACGTTTGCCTCATCGATACACAAGCAAAATTAAACAATATATATGTAGTGGTAATGTAAAGACTCAGTTGTGTATATTAAATGTATAGGTGCAGATTAAATTTTATATACAGTCTTTTGCATTGGACTCGCAAACCAAAGGTCGCGGGCTCGATTCCCTTCGTGGCCAAACTTTTCAGCTTGCCTGGTTGCATGGTGACTCAGAGTAGCAACATCACATATACATATAATACATTTAATATATATGTATATATATATCAAAAACCCCACAATTATTCTGTGTATGCGGAACTTTTTGAACTGGAATCTAAATTCTTTTGCCAGATTGGACTGTTTAAATAAATATATTTGGCAATGTTTGGATGCATCTACAGCGTTAATTGGCAAGCTTCGGCTAGCGCGCGTAGCCGCGTAGGGCGTAGCAATTTAAGGTCGCGATGAATCATGTCAAAATTTCTGCGGTTTTTTACGTGTTTAAAATTTTGTTACTGAGATTGTACTCTGTCCATGACAGTAAATGAGGATTTCAGGGCACCGTACCTGTGGAATGCGGAATTCACAGAATGGCAATCTAATTTATCATCTCGCGTACTCGTGACTGTGTGGGGGCTGGTTTCGTGAAGGTACCTAATGCCTGGTCCATTTGTGGCTGGTGTCATGTAGAATATTTCTATGTGCATGTGCAATCGACAGTGACCGATTTGAATACAGAAATAAAGACGAATTTACATCTGCATGGAGGCTATTTCTCATCGATGAAAATGATTTGTTCACGACAATTTCGACCAAGCAGCAAATGCTCTAACAAGCACTTGTGTAATGTGATTTATTTCCCGCTTAAACTGACCGTTTGTGGTTTGGGTATTTGGTCTTTGTTAGTTTTCGATTTGCTGCTGGCCATTGACCACCTTTCCCTTATCGCGTGCACTCCATTATCTGTCGGTCTTTTAGATAGGGCGCCAAACCCATCATATAGGATTTTTAATTATCGTCGGCCAGGCGTATCCCCTTGGGGGTACACCTTGCCTTTAGGCTTAGTAGTCTATTTATAAGATCACATTACATAAATTTCTTATTTCCTTCGTAGATATTTGGTTTTATGAACTCATCCAAAAACTCTCTCGCAATTTAATTTATCATCTACATGTGACTTTGTGGAGGCTGTGACTTAGGTAGTTCAAAATTCATCAACCTCAAATTTTATCCGTACCAAACCTAAATTTGAGCGTAATTTAAACACTGCAGTATATTATAGTCATGGAACCCAAAATTGTGGTAAACCCAAATTAAGTTTAAAGCAAAAAACGCAAACGGAGTTGAACGACTTTGCTAAGTATACAGTAAGTTTGATAATGATATTATAAATACCCAAACAAACCCACAAATTATTCTTAATCGAGTGAAATATCAAAAAATACTAGTTGATTCACTTGTAATCTTCTAATAGCTAGCTATTTAAGCCATGCATTGAGGTTATTTCCATTGTCTTGTACAGTCACTAAAACTAAGATAAGTTCTTTACAATGTCGGCGTTATATAGACATAGCACACGAAATTCCGATTGACCAATACGTATATTATATTTAAAACTGACATAAGGTCTAAAACATGTTTTAAAAAATGTGTTACATATTATATAGACGCTGATTACATGCGAGCTATATAGAAGTATTTTAAATCGCAATGTACGTTTGATAATGATCAAGCATATATAAAGTCATATTTTTGGCGGATTAAATCGATGATTCGATAACATGAAATGAGCAATCTTGAAGTATTCTAAAGCTGCACTGAGCCTTTAATCCATGCGACACATGATAGTTAGAAGTTACTTATTATAGCTCTTGCTTTTAGATACGAGGTATATGCTTAGCGCAAGAATATTGCTTGCGTTGTCCCATGTGGAAAATTCTTTATGACATCTTGGACAACAAACCTTTGAAATGGTTCCAGTGAATTTGGTCACCGGCGATTCTTTCTTGCATTTCGGGCAGGTGTATTCGGCTCCTTTTTGTAAGCCTTCTAATGATTTCGTTAACTTTGCTGTTAATTCGTACCCACGTTGTTGGTAATTTTTTTTCTCTGTTTCGCTGAGATCATTCAACGTCCAGTTAACATCAAAGAATTCTAACTGAAGCACTTGGTCATTTTGTATCTTGAAGAATCCGTTGTCGGCCCACTCTGCTCCCTGGGAATTCATGAAGGTCAAGCATTTGCTGTTGTAACTTGTCAAAACGACGGCGTGACCAGATGTGCTAGATTCTTCAGATGTTGGACGTTTACGAACATCAAGTACCTCTTGCGTGAGCACACCAGCTGGATTGTGTTTGTAAAAACTAGAGAAAATCTCCCATTCATCATCAGTTAAACGAAATCTTGCAACAACAAAGCGTTTCTCTACAATGGCCTTCTTTGCTCCGATGATGTCTACTTCTTCGCTATATAACCGATATTGCGGGCAAATGTTTTTTAGAACTTTGCAGGTATTGGCACCACGTTCTCCATAGGCCCTGATTATTTCATCTTTCAACGTGTGAAAATCTGGACAGCCCTCGTCGCGACCGTAGATTCGCTGCATTGCTAAATGAAGCACAGCAGCTACTGCGTGCGCGTAGCACGTGTCCTTCTGTTGATTCTTTGGTGTAAATGTAGTTGTCGTTTTGTTGATGTACATATCCAGGTCAACAGAAGCAAGAAGCTCGGGAAGTGCATCTTGGCTAAACAACACATCTTTAATTATTTCGCAAAACTCCCTAAAACAATTTTATCAAAACTGTTAATTTCCTATATGGTAGGGTCACACACCGTTTTCGACTCTGCGCATGGATGCCCCCCTGTATGACGCACTATCTATGTTGAAAATTGTTGACAGTTATACAACTGAGTGTTATGTAAAGGATACGCCTGCCAGTAGACGCAGAAACAACTGTAAGTAATGAAATTTCCAAAACCCTTGCCATAATAATTATAAAAGCTACGACTGATAGTCCGATCAAAAAAAAATTAATAAATTGCAACCGCGCTGTTTTATAATTTATATGCAAACAACTAAAAGAAGAGGTTGATCTACAGGCCTTGCGAACTGATTAAAAGTGAAATTCTACGAATTTCTCATGTGTTGTTATATTTCACAATGAGAACAATTTCATGTACATTACCTTAGGTTATCTGGGTGATTGATTTGAATGAACAACTTCGTTTCATTGTTGGTGATATCGAGCGTCCATTCACGTTTCGCCAAAATTGCTCTTGGTAGGAGTTGTGTTGATACTTTAGAGCTCAACGAGAACAGGAACTTGGCTCCAGGCTCCCAATCATTTTCCATTTTGTCGTACAGTCGCTTCGGTTCGATATCAGTGGATCTCGTGATAAAACACGTCACGACTTTGACACCAGCATCCCTAAACTGGGAAGTAATTTGTTCAATTTGAACAGTGTCGTCATTTTTTCCGTCAGTTGGCTCACCGTCCGATAACACGAAAAGTATTTTATTCTCACAAATTTCCCGTTTAAACAGAGTTACGGCGACTTTGAGCGACTGATATAATGGTGTTAGGCCATAAATGAAGGGTTCGATGCTGGTCAGAAGCTCTCTTTGTCGGGCTGAAGAAAGTTCTTTTGTTTCCCCAATATAGCCATGAATAATGCGAGAAGCATCGTGCACACTGAAGATCGATTTATATATATCTACGTCTTGTAGAATCAGATGGACATCTTTGCCACTGGCCAGAGAGTGCCTTGTTTTTTGCTTCGAAGTGCCCGTTAATTGGCCGAAATTATTAATTAACTTCCATTTGCCTTTTGAAGTAAGGTAAGTTCTTGCTTTCTCTACAACATCCTTAATATCCTGTTCGTTTGCTGGTCTGATACGACTCATAAGAGAAGCAGTTAATGCATTTCTTTTGATTCCACCCTGATTTGTCCCAGAAACACCCTCATCCTTTCTTTCTTGTTCCCTGTCACGAACACTGTGTGGCAAAATATCTTGGACGAACGTACGTAAAAAATCCTTGTCATCCTTTAAATTGAGCAAAATTGTTTTCGCCTTGTAATCACTTACTGTTTTTTGAATGAGTGTTATATCTCTTGCCCATATTCGTATGTTGCGGGCGCCATTGTTCTGGAGAATATCGAAAATGTCATTGATGGTTTCTTTAGTTGCTGGTTCTTCCACAATCGCTTTGATTTGCTCAACAGTTCCGATAACGTCAAATATTTCTTTGGCATGCCGACCAGCAACTAATGCCCCGACGCCGATGGCGAATACCTTTGCATCATCGTGAATGAAGTAATCAATAACTTGAAATATCGATTGAGCCCAAGGCCCAACTCTTTCGTCCGGCTCGCCTTTAATTTTTCCCCGCATAGACCGAGACACGTCAAGTATCATTCCAGTTAGTGACATTTTTCCGTGCTCCAATTTCAGAATTTTATTTTGCGAAATAACTTATAACAACGCGTTGCACTGATTCGAAGTTTCTCATTGCATCATGAATTTGCGTCTAAAAAAGTGACAAAAATGTGGCGATTGCGCAACTTGGTAGGTTAAAATTATTATTTTAATACACGGGCAGCAAAAATATTAATATAAAATATTGATGATGCATGGAATACTTTGTTTAAACATGCAGGCAACCAGGCTAAACTATATATCAGTATGGACTATGGTGGTCATGTTCAATCATCCATTATTTTAAAACTCGACCATGCATCTACAATGATTTTTGAATTGCTGAAGACTGTGGTAAAACAACTGCCGCTAAAATAAAACAAGAACACCTCGCAACGTTTTGACCTAAGAACCTTCGTTTTCGAAAGTCTTTGAGTTTTTTTTTAACTCAGGCATTTGACGCATGCTCGTTATTCAGATTGATTCCATTCACAAGTAAAATGAATTCTGTGGGCAGTATTATATCTCGCGGTGAATTACATATTCGGAAGCTGTTGAAATATTCCCATGCAATCACACTCGTCATGCAATTTTACATAATAAATACGCCAAATTTAATTAAAAACACTCAAGTTTCGATATTTTGTAATATTCAATATAAGTCATTGCAGTCTAAGTAACGCCTAAAATAGACCTAAGAATGAAAACTTCTTTAGTTGTTTTCTTGGGGGACACTATCCGCGAGGGGGGACATAATCCGCTGGCGTAGATAGTTCCGTGATACTTTCTCCGGGGGACACTATCCCCTAGGATAGCGGCTTGAACGTCAAAGCTGCGAAGTAATCATTAGTGTGGTTTTGCCGGTACAACAACAACAAGGTATAAAGGGGAAACTCGTGAAATATGCTTAATGCATGCATATAAAAATGGTATAACAGTATAACATTGAATTTTCTGTTTTCGATAGGAATAAATTCAAAGGGCTATGCACGTTCATGCACGAGACATAACTTGTAGTCTGCTTACCATGTCTGTACCGCAATACATAAAAGTCAACACCCACTTTCATATATTTCCTGAACCTGATGCGATAACATATTGGGGAATTTATTGTATGTATAAGAAGACATCAACGAAAGTATTTTCTCAACACTTATATACCCAATGACATTTATATGTGCTAGCCGTCTAATGGTAATATAGGCGATTATGTTTACGGCGAAGCGCAAACGGCCAACTTAAATTCGTATTCGCGAGATAGCTTATTATTAATCAGCTAACTCGACGTTGGAAAATCTTGACCATGAAAATGGAATCATGAAATGTGAACTAAGCTGTCGAAAATTGTACGGTTTACTTTTTAATGTGATTCCGCTTCGGGGTACTGGTTTGTCGTTAATGTCAATCTTAAGGTTTCTATAACCTAATTTAATCCTAAAGCCTCCAAACCCGCGAATAAACCTCAATTCACCCTTGAAGTCTGAACTCCCCAAACCCGCGATTTAACCTCAATTCACGCCTTTATAGAGTTTATGGAAATTTCGTTTATTAAATATTGCTTGAGAAAAAGAGAAGGTTACGGGTAAATCAATATTAAAACTTTACTTACAGTGTTATGTATCCAGGTAAGTTTTCTATATGATCATATAGTCAAGTCCATCAAGCAACGATGGGCCTGTCAGAGCTGAAAATCACATCATGACACATATCTCATTAGATACAGATTCGCCCGGTGTGTATAACGTTAATACGAGCTCACTTCGTTGCGCTATACCTGCCTTTCTGTTAAATCTATATGGCAATTGATAAGTTCGGTACAATTATATACGACAGATTATTATTTATTGGCATTGTGTAAACGCAAATTGCGTATCGTTTCACATGCAGAGAGTAAAATATTCCTGCTGTGGCTGGCATGATAACATCCAGGATGCATGCAGTCGTCAATTGAAATAACATTTCGTTCGAGACGAATTGAACAATGATACATATAATCGATAATAGCCTTTACACATACCGATATTTCTAAATAGCTAAAATATAATTTTACGCAATATAGTTCCAACCATTAGTTATGATTCAAGAATTTAAAATAGCCTTGAGATAAAGGAATGTTTTATTTCAATGAATTTGTGTACAAGAACTCGATATGGGAAACGTGCATGTGGCGGTGTGGGAGAACTGAAGTTGATCTGAGTTGTCATGGTAATGAAATGTGCAACGTAAGTACATTTATATAATCACATATAATCTATTGCATGAAGGCGGAAATTAACAAACAGTTATTTTAATTTTCACTAGCGTGACTCAGATGATTAAAATTACAGGTTTCCAGCACCTAGCTGTGAAGATCATTTCCAGGTTTAAATCTTTTTAGTATCGTGTGAAACTCTCGTTTTAGGCTAAGAGAGACTGCACATGCAATTCCGCAGTGAAGTAGATTGTTTGTTTTTAGTGTTGTGACACTAACGGCTTTGCAGTATAGATTAATTGATATGCAGCAACCTCGCAAGCGAGGCTTTTTTAGCGTGGGTCGTGCAGATTCGTCAATTTTTTTGTAAAGGGGCTCACCCTGGAAGGCCAAATGTATACAATACCAATTTTGTTTACTTCTCATTATCAAAAAAATATATTTTTACGAGCTTTCAGCTATTATCAAGCTTACTAAGCGTTTCGTGAATTCAGTTTAACGGCACATCAAATTCTCCTGGACTGCACCAGTTAGCCCCGCAGAGTACTTCGGACCACGCACCTGCCGCGTGATCATGACACAGCATCATTACGTAATTATTGCTCCGTTGTCACGACTAAATAAAAACGAAAAACCTGTAGCGTTTGCAGGTACATAACGTGTAATACGACACAACAAATTCATTCAGATAAGACAATTCTGATGTCCTCAATTGTGCTGAACATCGTCAGTGTAGCGACTGGAACTGTTGTGAACAGCGTTTGTGATCACGTCGCAGGCCGACTGAGACACGGGGATTGTACGGACGAAAAATGTCGACAGTTGATAGTTCGGGAACTCGACGAAATAAAGACAAAAATCGACGGTTTGGCTCGTAAGGATCTGCAAAGTAGTGTCTGTTTCCTTAAAGATGGTCTGTGCCTTCTAAATCATGCATTTGAAGGCGCAGCAAACGACATTGAAGACAATAAACCCTTGGACTCTTCCGAACAAAGTGAAGATTCATCTTTTGCACTTGCAGAACATGATGATGAATTGCGTTCTCAAATATCAGCATTCAACAAAGCCTTAGCCCGCTCGCCACAGACGCTGACTGTCAGGTCCAAGGAACGTTTTACGTCGGCAAAGTTGTCCTTCGAAAACGCCTATTCGAAGGCAACCGAAGCCTTCAACAACGAAGCTCTGAGCACGACAGAAAGGATTTTGGCGACGAAACTACGAGTTGTTTCAAGGATGTTGCAGTGCTTGCATGAGGATCCCGAGATGGCGATGGCTTTTTGTAAACTATATTTGCAGCAATTGCACGAACTTCCTGCCGTCAGAAAACGCTTTGTCGTCTTTTTTCGAAACAAAGTGAAGTCAAAATTGAGCCAAAGAAAAAGAGGCGAAAACATTCGCTGTGTGATGGAGCTAAGCTACGCTTTGTACGAATACGCGAAACTTTTCGCCAGAACCGGTCTCGACGTTTTGGGAAGTTGGCCGATAATAAAGCTACGTAGGAAGGCAATTAATCCTTTGCTGATGCCCAATAAAGTCCTTAAAAAGATGCTGAAACATGGCGTACGTTCGCCCAATCAGTTTCTCTTCGACCAAATCGACAACTCTTCATGCATTGCGGTGAATAGTAAAGGAGAAATTGTCGCGAAAAACAACAGCGGAAATAGTTTAGAAGTGCTTGGGACCGACAGTAAAGTTTTAGGGTCGTTTTGCTTTGATTCAGAGGCTGACGGTTTTGAAATACTCGCACTGGCTACGGATTCGGACGATTTTGTGTACGCCGTAACTCGTTATAAGAATAAGTCACACGATTTGTTTTGCTACAAGTTGTACATATTTGGCGTTGACCTTGGATATGTCGAGAAACAGTTCTATCTGGAGTGTCTTACAGGTGCCGGGGAAGGTCATCACATAGTTTGCCTTGCTGTTTGTCCCAGCAGTAAGAATATCCTAGTCACAAAACAAGACGACGCGAAGGTCTTTGTTTTTTATCCCAATGGTGAGTCAAGAAACAGCTTTGGGCTACAAGCCTGGAATTTGATCAGAGATCTTGAAATTTCTGCGAGAGGCGAAGTCGCTGCTGCCGAACTTGTGGGAAAGACAGTTGGAATTTACACGCAAGATGGGACATTGAAACATGAGATAACGTTGCCCGGCTTACATAAAGTATGCGGGCTTGCATTCGATCGTGTTGACAATACTGTAGTGGTCCTTACAGAGGTTCTTACTGGCTGTTTTCATGAATATCGTTTATTAAGTTATTCTGAGTCTGGGGAATTGTTAAGAAGTTTGGTTTTACCACGACAGAAGAAAGACGTTGGTTATCATCTGACGTCACATCCAAAGGGTCCACTGGCTGTGGTACATAAAACTGGAGTTATATTTCTTCATCATTGAGTAACCTAATGCTTGTTACGTTTTGAACTCTCCACCTATCTCCTAGTAATTCCTCCGAACGAAAATTTTATGTAAGCTTTATAACTATATTAAAAATGAATTTATGTTTATCGTTTAGGATGAATCATGCATGGGGTGTTCTTAACCTTATGATTTCCTCAAGCCTCGTTCCCAGGCTCTTTGAAGTACTTCGCGGTACTTTCCGCCACAAAATCCAGTGAGTGGGCATTTCTTTTAGGTCGGTACTTTAGAATTCTAATAGTTCTTAAATCGACAAAAAAAACAAATAAACACTATAATGAGCCATTTAAAACTAATTTTATTTATTTAAGTCCCCTTTATTCAGAATGTTATCTTTATCTCTAGGCTAACAATTCGTATCACAATATTACTTATAAATCAAAGAATTAAAATGCTTGTGGAGGATCTTTTTTCTCAATTGCGACATCTCTAAAGCAAAAAGATAATAAGCTTGTTTAATGACTTCAACAACGGCCGTGTTTATTCATAAACGTCCGGTGAAATCTGCAAAATTAATGTCAAATTATCCTTACGATCTTTACTGGCTTCAAATAGAATGTTTTTTCACGTGATAATGCAGTAGCCATGCAGTATACCTTGCATTTAGAAGTAGCTAATTGTTATTGGTGGAGTAGGGAAGTAAAGAAACTTGAATGAAATGTTACTGAACTTGGTAGAAAACTTTTTCTCTTTAGAAGCAAGTTTTAAATCATTCCACTGAGGAACTCAAGTGTACAAACAGGGAAACGTTTGCAAGGCGAATATTTCTCTGAAATTCAGAATTTTTGAAAATAGCGCACCTCCATCTCATATCATATAATACAATATAATTGTTGCAGAATGATTGCGTATTATATTGTATATTTATAATGCCCATTGGGTTTAGCTAATCGCCTGGTTTCTAAAAACGCATCACATGCATGCACTCGATCGAACTCATTGTCATTGAGTGTGACATCTTTAATCACTTCGTTGCTATTTCCTAGCGGTATTTCATTTTAGATTTGATTTTTCGGCAATGTTTTACTTGAGGATTACGATTTCTGCGTGGCATTCAATAAGTGTGAGCGCACGAGTGTCACGTCATATGCAGGCGAGTGTTTTCTTGCAATTCACCCCATGACGATACATACTGTAGCTATACATACCAATTAGTCTTTACAACAAGCCTTGTTTGTATCCAAAGTGCAGTATTTTGAAGTACTGCAGTCGTGTGTTCCTGACGGGCATGGATCATCTATGTAGTAGCAAGTGCATTCAGGATAATCACAGAATTCTTTTTCTCTGGCTGAAATGTTAAGCGTAATGATGGCCAAGGTTATTTATGCATAACTTTATATATATATATATATATATATATATTTATATATATATATATATATATATATATATATTGTGATATATATTGTGATTCATACTGTGAATCAGGTAGACTCATATAACTGATGCATTTAGAGGAAATATCTTCAGAAAGGTTTCGAAATACAATAAAGCGGAAATTGATTTTCAGCCGTTCTGTGCATGCAACGTTTTGAAGCAGTAGCTCTCTTGGGAGTTGATCAATGCATGGTGCATGAGATAGGGAAAAATTTATTGACTCTTATTACTTTACCACTTCAGCGAAAAGTTATTTTATAAGGTGTACAAATGTATAACCACAAATATAAATTTATATGCATGGGGTAAAACGTTTATGAGGACGATCGAAAAAGACCAAATGTGGGATGTTCCTTTGCGAGGAATAAATCCCGCCCATATATAAACTAAATTAATTAAGATGTTTCGAACATGACATGTAATTTCAAAATTACGAAAAGGGGCTGAAGATGTAGAGTTTAACTGTTTAACAGGCCTGAGTCCTCAAACGTATACACTCGTGTTATATCTTAATCAATTCATTCCCATTAACTGTCCATTTCTATATACAAAATACTTTGTTATTGACTAAGTATACGTACGTTTTTTATAGCAACAAGGTTTGTTCGTGTCGAGGGTGCAATAATATGTGTTACTGCATTCGCTCATTCCAGTTGGACAAGGGTCATTCTTGTAATAACAAATACAGTTGGGTTGATCACAGAATATCTTGTCTGAAAACACAATTATTATCATTACTATTATTATTATTTGATAATAGAGAGAAAATGGACTGTTTAAGAAAAATTACAACAATTAGTATTAGAACCAATTATATCTTCTGTCGCCGAAGTAAGGTGTGGGAACGGTCCTGAATTATTGCAAGTTATGCAAATCGTCGTATTGTTTTATATCGTATTATTATATAGCTTAATACTAATATTATGGTAGTGGTTGAAGATTGAAGTATAGTCCCTTTATAAGTTACCTGTTTAAAAGAAAATGATACTAATAAAGCTTTCAGTATTAAATGGTTACACTTCTTCGCAGTTTAATATTGAATGACAAAACGTTTACAACAGGGACACTACATATTAAGAAACGATCGGTATTTATCAATCGAAACACTCATTTAAACTCACAAGCTTGTTCATTTATGCTTTGAAATAAAAGTTGAATTTTGGTTAAAAATATGATTTCCTGATGTTTGAAAACTCCCCCTAGCTGCTTGTCCAATATTAATAATTATTAATCCCGAATTTATTAAATAAGGCCTTATTACTATTATGTTCAATTTCAAACAAGTCAAAAATTTTTAAGGTGATGCATGTTTACGTATTTTATATACCTTTTCCCATGCTGGTATTATAGCTGCTAGTAATGTTATTAAGTAAACGTATTACGGAGAAAAATTCAATGCTGTTGCATGTTATATAATTACATATTGCTGAGAATTATAAAATGACTCGACTCTCTATAGTATTAATTGAGGATTCAGGTTACTCTAATCTCCATATTCATCGTGTATCATATTCATCCAAATCAAGACTTGCGGATAAGCTAAGACACTGGAAACAAACTAGTATAATGTACCTCGCTAAAGCAGTTTTGATCGACCTACCTTGGTCGTAAAATCTGAACGACCTGTCCCGGGTTCTCGCTGTAGCGAGCACCGCCACCAACAACACCAGGAAAGAACCTATTTCAACTTTCATTCTTTTCTTTTAGCCTATAGTCAATAAAACCAGCGTGTGGTTGGGCAAAGTGTATATCGTCCATCTTCGTGCATGTAGTAGGGCGTACGATAGGGCGTACCATGGCCCCTTAGCTTGAAAACCCATCATGTATATAAATGTATTATGATTAACACAATGAATTACGACTTACTTTGTTCTCCACTGCTAGTTAGTCGCCTTCAGGTCTTGTGAATGAACTGCAAGCTGCTGTTACGCTCTTTTTGTGTCCTCCGTGTGATCATTTAAGCCATGAATAAGTAACAAACCAGAACTGGTACCGCCTACCTGACCGGACCCACGATCACTTGAGATGCGACGTCTCGCTTTCTCTGAAGTATTTCACCATTCCTCCCCCTCACACAGCATGAATGGCAATTTGAACTTAACATTAATAAAATAGGACGGTGTTTGTTGCAAGAACTAGCAATATATTAGAATTTTAGGATAAAAACGGAATCGCGCTTTTGCATTTGTGCATCATGGTGCCGCCAACTTGGTTTTGACAGGAAAAAATATTTTTTTTTGCGGAAGTTTAAAGTAAATTAAATCATCATGATATTGATCGCTCTTAAAGTATTGTTTTCGCTGGAAAACAGAATGAATTATTATTACCGTATTCACGGATATTTTGAGAGGGTAAAAGTTTTGGGGTATACTATTGCACTGTTATCAACACGTACTCTCTTATATATACTCTCTTATATAATCTAATAATATATATAAATATAAACACACAAGTTCTAAACCACACTAATTTATGTAATATATATATATATATACATTATATATATAACAGATCGTTGACGTTGTACATTTTATATAGCGCCCGAATAGTGCAGGACTGTTTTGCAAAGTAACATAATTTCACTCTAGGTCGTTTTCAAATGTAATTTTTTTTCTCGAGTGCGTATATTAATTTCAAATTAAATATGGTGATCAAAATTTGAGCATGCACATTTGCTTCTCCAAACACTTCTTAATAATATTGCTCGTGCCTGTTTATGTAATATATTGACAATAGAAGATGTTCTACCGTATTATTTCCTTCATTTATGTTTTTACGGGTGGTTTAATTGATTGGAATTTATGTTTATCTATAGATCTAAAGGCTCATCTTTTTATAGATGCATTTTACGAGTAATTAGTTATGAATGCCCTGAAATATATACGAGCTCCGACTTGAACATCCGTAACTTATGCCTATATAGGTCAAACGTCGCCGCTCTTCTCATGCATGCACCGAACCTAATACATTTGTTTGAGTTCACTTGCATTAGGTTCGGTGCATGAGAAGAGCGACGTTTGAATTGCTTCGTAATTTTCTTGAAAGTGGTTTCTCCGGCTAACAGGGTAATTCTGCAATAACTATCTAAAGGCTAATCTTTTGATAAATCAAGTATGATTTTTGGCACTTCACTCGATGCACGTCAATTCTAGAGGTTTATAAGGGTCTTAATTTCGAGTGCATGGAATTATACATACTTCAAATTCAAGCCAGGAACAGTTGATGGAAAAATTAGTCAACTAGTTGCTTTATTTACGATTAATTAGTGATGAATAAGAGCTCGTATATACGAGTATATTTGAACACCCGTTACTAATTCACTCGTTCACGTCGATCAGAAGACGAAAATCGAACTATAAAATCCAGTAAAAATTTCAAGTGTAAACAGGCGTCCAATTTACAAATTTACCTAAAAAATTTCGTGGTGAACTAATATTTAATTAATTTCCTTATCAGCGGAAACTTCTCGTTTTCTCCATAATCTGTCGACCGTGTTACCCTTGCCAATATAGTTTCCGGAATTCGCGTTCATTTTGAAAACTTCTGAAGACGGTAGAGATTAATGAGCTGTCTAATGTTCAGCTGTGCCTGCATGATATTTTATCGAGTTTACAAACTGGAAATTAACGTAGTGGTAAATTTACTTTTCGAACTTAATTTTGCCAATTCGAATTTAATGCAAATGTGTACATACCCCATAGTAAGCGTTATAGCTTCTCATTTTTTACTGTTACCGGTTGCTTATATAATAGGGTCTGATCAGCAAAAGTGTAATTAAACTATTGCAAACATGTTCGACTTGACTAATGACTATACGAGCAATTTTCAGCTAGTGCGGATGAAATAATTTTTTACATCACGTGAAATGTATGAAATAGAAATATGATACAAGTGAGGTAATTTCATTATTTACTCGCAAGATATACAACACTCGGGATATGAAGAATGAATACATAATAAGTATGATTCGCCATATAAAATCACAGCAAAAGTTGCAAATGTAAACAGGCCACAACGTCCAAGGACCGGTTTTAGAAAACTCTTTAACTAATACGAATTCAAGGTATCGAATACGAATTCAAGGTATACCGACCTCATAGAAAGCATTATAGCTACTCGTTTCTCTACAGTTACTGCTAACTGCGATTTCTTACCACGCCGCAGTAGGTCAAACTGATTTAAAACTCTATCAGACTAACCAATCGCAAGCGCAATGTCAATGATAGGTTGACCAAAGGCAACGGTAGTGGTGGTAGGGTATATAGTCGCCTGAATCTCAACCTTACCACATTCACTGATGTGAAATGATCACGATGAAAATTCTTCTGTGTTTTCCGTATTTACATTTCTTACATAAACCGAAATGTTATTGTATAGAAACATTAGAAAACCCTAAGAAGGAAAAAATACTGTAGCTTCAAAATCCTCTTCTTTTGTATGATAATTAAAAGGTATTTAATAAGTAATAGCAGCACATGGTAACGCCAAATGCACACGCAAACACTTAAAATACATCGTCTCGCTTTTTAACTCCTTCTCATGCATGTTATGACACCTCCCCTCTGTGCAACATGAAAGACCGTTTAAATTTAACACCAAAATAATAAAACACCAATGCGAATTTAATGCGAATGTGTACAAACCCCATAGTAAGCATTATAGCTTCTCGTTTTTTATTGTTACCAGTTGCTTTTAATAGGGTCTGATCAGCACAAGAGTAATTAAACTATTGCAAACATGTTTCGACTTGACTACGCGCAATTTTCAGTGCGAAATAATTATTTACATCACGTGAAATGTATGAAATAGAAATATGATACAAGTGAGGTAATTTTATTATTTACTCACGAGATAGACAGCATTCGGGATATAAGATAATAAGAATACATAATAAGTATGACTCCCCATAAAATCGCGGCAAAAGTTGCAAATGTAAACAAGCCTCAATTAATGTTTAGGGGCCGGTTGTATAAAACTCTTCAACTGCATTTTGCTTAGGGTAAATCAATTACGATTTTGTGGCACTTCACTCGATGTAGCTATATTCTAAAGGTTTTTAAAGGGTCTTACACAACTCAATTCAAGCCAGGAACAGTTGAGAAAAATGAGTCAACTATCGGTCCTCCGACAGAAATCGTACCCACGCTTATGCGATGCCGGTGCAGAGGTCTTGCCACTGAGATACAGAGGTAGCTGATAAGAGCAAGCGTGGTTAATGTGTATTTGGAGGTGGTCATGCCGAGAATAGGTGAGGGAAAATCAATTACGATTTCGTGGTACTTCACTCGATGTAGGTTAAAATACATCTTATTATTTCCGTCACGAAATCCAGTGAGTGGGCATTTGCTTTAGATTGTGTGATTGATACGCAGCCAAATCGCGACGGTCTTTGTTTTTTATTCTTTGTTTTTTATCCCAATGGCGAGTCAAGAAACAGCTTTGGGCTGCCAGGCTGGAATTTGATCAGAGATCTTGAAATTTCTGCGAGAGGCAAAGTCGCTGCTGCCGAACTTGTGGGAAAGACAGTTGGAATTTACACCCAAGGTGGGGCACTGAAACATGAGATAACGTTGCCCGGCTTACATAAAGTATGCGGACTTGCATTCGATCGTGTTGACAATACTGTAGTGGTTCTTACAGAGGTCCTTACTGGCTGTTTTCATGAATATCGTTTATTAGGTTATTCTGGGTCTGGGGAATTGTTAAGAAGTTTGGTTTTACCACGACAGAAGAAAGACGTTGGTTATCATCTGACGTCACATCCAAAGGGTCCACTGGCTGTTGTACATAAAACTGGAGTTATATTTCTTCATCATTGAGTAACCTAATGCTTGTTACGTTTTGAACTCTCCACCTATCTCTTAATAATTCCTCCGAACGAAAATTTTATGTAAGCTTTATAACTATATTAAAAGAGGATGAATTTATGTTTATCGTTTAAGATGAATCATGCGTGGGGTGTTCTTAATCTTATGATTTCCGCCAGCCTCGTTCTCAGGCTCGTTGAAATACTTCGCGGAGAAAGCACAATGCGCCCGGGGAGTGCTTGTGCACAAAATTCAGTCAGTGGGTATTTCCTTAGATCGGGACTTTAGAATTCTGATAGTTCTTAAATCGACAAAACTGAAGCCAAATAAACACAGAGTAATGATTTAAGTCTTCTTCCTTCAGAATGATATTTTTATCTCTACGCTAACAATTCGTATAACAATATTGCTTTAAATCGATAAATCAAAATGCTTGTGGAGGATTTTTTCTCAATTGCGACATCTCTAAAGCAAAAAGATAAAAGAATACAGGCGAATGTTTTCTCGCGAGTTATCATGCACATGTGTTAACGATCAATACTGTACATACCAATTAGTCTCGGCAACAAGCCTTGTTTGTTTCCAAAGTGCAATATTTTGAAGTACTGCACTGGTGTGTTTCAGGCGGACATGGGTCATTTTTGTAAACGCAAATGCATTCAGGATAATCACAGAATTCTCTGGCTGAAATGTTAAGCGTAATGATGGCCAACGTTACTTATGCAGAATTACATAATGCGTTGTAAGTAGATTAGACGGCGGGGGGAGGGGGCGAAATTATTTTCCGGGCCTGTGGACATGCAGATAACTAGACGTTGTTGAGGGTTTCCATGCAAAAGGTAATTTTCAAGACAGTCACCAGACCTAAAATGGAATGTTTATCAAGCTTTTGTATTACATGAAAGCAGACAATATCTTACAGTCTCCTTAATTTAGACACTAAATTTCCATATATAATTTCCAAACTGTGAGCAAGCTAGCTCCAATGGACCATTCAAAAAAGTTTGGTGGCGAAATATTGTAAAGAATATTGCATGTAAAGTGTGAGGAACGTCAGCGTGAAAAGTGCTAACGCTTTTTCGAACGTGATACTAACGCACGGCGATATATATTTTGTATGCTCTTTCCAGCTGTATTCCCAAAACTGAT